AAGTTCTTTTAATACTATCCTTCAAGTAAATATGAAAGTACTGACACTGATGATGAAAATGTATCTCCTGGAAACCAAAAAGTGTTCAAGCTACTCATTACACTCGCAAGTGAGTGAGTGAGTGAGTGAGTGAGTGAGTGAGTTTGGTTTTACACAACTTACAGCAATATTACGGCGGGGACACCAGAAATTGGTCACACATCGTACCCAAGTCAGGAATTGAACCCGGGTCTTTGGTGTGACAAGCAAATGCTTTAACCACTAGGCTACCCGACCGCCCCCATATCCCTCGTGACTGACGAGCCATGGGCATATACCATATAGAACATAGATGCACCATCTTACTACACATCATTTGATATTCAATAGCTTGCTGTGTGATACAGGAAGACCAGTTCCACCATGAAATGTCAAAGATATGTATGCACCATACCTTGTCCATTGTCAGGGGAAACAGATAAACACAATGTGTAACACTGTACTACAATGTGCACTTGGTACATATCTCTACCTGCTATGGTTATTACAATGTGGGTTCATATACTGATATTCAACTACTTTACTGAGAACTATTTTGCCTTTCAGAAAACTGATCTGTATGTAGGTTGATCATAATGCTTTTTCAATGTATATATAACAGCTTAAACTGCATCCTTCAATATCCGGAGTATGTAACAAAGTGGAATAAAATCACATTTCTATTACCTAAAATCTTGCATTATCATGTGTCCTATATCATCACTCTATACCATTCCCTTTGTCTGGGAAGCAATGTCACCATCACAATGAGATTTAATACTCTAGGATGATATGGCGGTGCAACAAAGGTATGTAATTGCTGAACTTGTTAAAAGCTGTTCCTGTGTGGGATGAAAGTTCATGGTATGCCAAGTCTCAGTCTGAGACCAGAAGCAAGTTTGGACTGTTTCCCCAATGTCCTTGGTTACCATGACAGGGCCACTCATTTATTGGAGACGAGAAGCGAGAACATTCTCTGATCAAGTGGTATTTGTAACCGTGGAGGAATTTATAAAAAGATCAGAAACCTCAGAAAAATGTTTCCAAATCCTCAATGACAATGACAGGGTCGCCCAGTTACTTAAGAAAAGAAGCCAGAACATTCTCTGATCAAGCAGTATTTGTAACCGTGGAGGAATTTATAAACACAGATCAGGAGTCTCAGAAAAATGTTTCCAAAATGTCCTCCCCTACAATGACAGGGTAGCTCAGATATTTGATACAAAATCAAGCAGTATTTGTAACTGTGGAGGATTTCACAAACACAGATCTGGCATCCCAGAAAGATGTTTTCAAAATGTCCCCCAGGTAAATGACAGGGAAACCTACAAAAGGCAAGCTGAGCACCGGGTTCATGTCCCAGGATCAAGAAGCATTTGTAACAGTGGAGGATGTTACAAGCACAGTCAACTCCATCCACACTTTGTTGGGAAAATTGCCTCCAGTCACATGACTCGAGCCTCAGCCTCATATCAGCAGAGTCATTGAATCAGAGGAGGTTTTACTAAGACACCAACATCCATAGTTTGACTGATATCTGTAGGTGCTGACTGCAGCTGATTGCTTCATGTTGCATAGCTTGTTTACATATTTTAACATTGATTTTTAAAGATATTTAAACATTGATTAACATTACTCACACTGTCCTGTGTGTATCATTGTAGCTCACCTTATTTCTCAAAGATAGCAGGCACAAAAAAATATGTGGCCGCTGAAACTTGTTACAGGGTCACCTAATTGTGCCACAATGGCATCATCTATCAGATCTTAGCTGTGTGCCTACATGTGACAGACAGAACTCTGGTATCATTGGATTGATGGACGACATGCTACAGAGTTAGCTCCCCTGTCTCATCAGGGGAGCATATGATCCAAGTTAACAGCTAATTACTCAAGCTTTATCAATGTGTCACAGAGTAACCTGTGGTACCAGTGTGACTCAGATTTTGTACTTACGACTTTGTTTACTGGGTTGTGTTCACAGGAAAACAAACTTTTGAAAGCCTTCCTTGTAGCACTGCTTGTCTTGAACATGAATGAATACATGCCTGTGGAGTTGGAGTGGGGAGAAAAACCCTGGACCACCATGGCGGCTCACTTTGTGTACCGGACTTTAAATCAGATGCCTGGCATTTCATTGAGATCAAACAGTAGTTAAAGGACTTAAGCATGTTTTCCAGGATGTGTGTAGTGTCACTTACCAGATCATGAAAGTGACAGTTGGAATGTATTTTCTAATCATGCAACCTCGAATACGTTAACACGGGGTATTCCGAACGAAGAGTTACGGCCCGTACGACTGATTCCGTAAAAATTATCGTCTATCTCTCGGTTCCGTGGTATAAACATTTGAACGGAGGACATTTTGCACAGTACGTAGGAAGCACTGCCACACACTCTCAACCATATATTAGACATTCCGGAATGTTCGTTTGTTCAGTTTTCAAAATATTGTGTCAATATATTTTTCAAGCGTAGACAGAAATGGTATTTGCTAGGTTGAAACGAGTGCCGTAAAGCTTGAGAAGGCTGCTTTCTAATTGGCTGATGTAATTTCAGGCGTCTGTCAAAGTTCGCGAAAAGTCGTCCTGACGTGACCTGTAATGGGATGTCCTCAGATCCTTGTTTAGGGGCAGCAAAACATAGACCTGGTTTAATGAGATTGGTATGCAACATTTTCCAAAATCTGAAGACCCACCTTAGCTCCAGCTACAATAGTACTAGTATCTCCTAAATTTGAAAGCACTTGCTCTTACTTGTTACCAGAATAAGATATCATGGTGGTTTGGCTGTCACAAGTGTCCCGAGATCTTACCAAGTTATAATTTCACAATTTTAAAGTGGATAAAATATTTGTTATGAAATAAATCCCTTTTTCAGGTAAAAATAGAGCCAAAAGAATATGTAGCTCATCTTAGGATATTTGCAAAGTCATCAATCAAATAACTTGAGTAAAAGTCAAAAAGTGTAAAACATTTAACCAAAATCAAATTTAGTCATTGTAACTGGGATCATAAATACATGTATCACCAAAAGACATTTTGTGTAACATGCGAAGGTCAAAAGGTATAGTTGACCCAAAATCCGAATGCACAAAATATTTCTGTATCTGACTTCAACTGCATGTGAAGAAATAGCAGAAGCATCAACCAAATTGAATTTAAAATATGGTTGAGCTGGATCAGAATAAGAGGATCAGAGTAATTTGCTCGCAAAGTTTAAACTTTGCAAAATGGTTTCAGAGCATTGTCAAAAGTTGAAAGTCGATGGACAGACAACATACCACAACATACACCAACCTGAACCGATGGTTCGGGCAAGGTAGAGAATCACAGATCATTCAAGTGTTGCAGAAAGGACAGACATTATAAAGGAAACAAAGATGTTACATGGGAGGTTCCACAGGAATGTTGGCTGCATGTTTAGCACTTAGTTCAACTGATCATCATTGTCATATAACCTTTTCTAAGAATTGAAAAATATTTGCTTGATATAGAATAAGTGAGTGAGTATGGTTTTACGCCGCTTTTAGCAATTATTCAGCAATATCAGGCGGGGGACAGCAGAAATGGCCTTCACACATTGTACCAATGTCGGGAATCGAACCCAGGTCTTCGGCGTGACAAGCGAACGCTTTAACCACTTGGCTACCAAACCGCCCCAGATATAGAATGAAAAGAAGTTAAGGAACACTAATCTTTCATAGCTGGTGGGTATTGTCAATACAGCCTTCCAATTCTTGGTGTTCCTTAACCTCTTTTGAGTAGTATACATTTTTTTCACTATTTCTAAAATGTGTTAAATCTAGTTGTCTTTAGAACCAAAGGACCTTAGTGGCCGATCTCTCTTCCAACACAATCTTGCCACTACGCAACTGACATCCACCTGTGTAGACTGTGCTCCTGTGACAGCTAGATTGGCTTGAGTTACCCCCACTTGGTCTGGGAGAATTTAAAGAGGGGACTTTGCACGGGTAAAATGGCCATTCTGGAATATATGATTCAAGTCCTAAAACACTCCTTGTCAGTTGGCCAACATATATTCTATGAATAGTGTACAAGCATATTGGCATCAACTGACGAGTTGCAGCCTCCGTTAACTGCCACACAGGCTGTGATGATCCTACTTATGCCATACTCACCAGGGTGAGTGAGAATGATATTATACAGCTGCTAGCAATATTCCAGCAATATCAGGGCAGGGAACACCGTAAATCAGCATTAGAAATTGTCACAAGTCCTATAGTCCTTGCCAAACTGCTCAATAGTTAGGGCATCTTTAGGACCCGTAGTAAATTGCCCTTTTTAAGGGTATTGCTATGTGTCTTAAGGACTAGTGGAATAAAAATGTCAGTTTCTAACACTGCAGAAATAAACAGTTATCATTGTGTACAATTGAAATTGCATTTCCTGCAAAAGACATGGTTATCTTCACAACTCATAGATAAGTTGAAAATTTATAAGATTTTATAGTGTAATTACAGCCTAAACAGGAAATGATGGCTGAGATGAAATAGAGGGAATTATGGGCTTCACGCACTGTACCCACGTGAGGAACTGAACCCGGGCATACTGCGGGATGTTGAACGCTTTACCCACTTGGCTACCTCACCGCACCAAAACTGACAATAACACTTAAAGGGACACGATGTTGACTGTTCTGAAGCATTTTTTGTAAACATTAGCCGACAACCTCCAAGCTTATACAGCTCTGCTCGCCTTATTCCACAAGTGAATTTTTTGTTTCAGTGACCACGCCATGGGTGTAGGCTTATCACGTGACAGACATACTACTACATTGGTTGGATGGTTTGTTGTTTAACGCCGCACTCAGCAATATTCCCGCTATATGACGGCGGTCTGTAAATAATCGAGTCTGGAACAGACAATCCAGTGATTAATATCATGAGCATCAATCCACGCATTTGGGATCGATGACATGCATCAACCAAGTCAGCGAGCCTGACCACCCGATCCCGTTAGTCTCCTTTTACGACAAGCATAGTCACCTTTAATGGCAAGCATGGGTTGCTGAAGACCTATTCTACCCCAAAATCTTCACGGGTCTCCTACTACTACAGCTGAGACAGTGAGGTGCATGAAATATAGCTTAACACATCGAAGAGACCGTATAGCTAGCTCTCCTTGGGGCTTTAATGACAGCACCTGGAGGATAAACATGCAAATGAAAATAGTTTTTCACATTCTAGGATATTTTCTCAATGAAAGTTATGCTTATCTAAATGTGTAGACTCGTACAAAATGAAACATGAAAAACACATGAATGGACTCATGTAAGATGTGACAGATGCACAAGGCTGGCAGCAAGGAACTCTGGGTAGGAGAGTGGTTGGCTTCATATGACTGAGGCATATAAATGTTGTAATCTAGGCTTTGATAAACACTGGCTTCTAATCTAATCAAGTTGGCATTAGTATTTTGTACCTCATCCGTAAGAAAGACAGACAGGCTTTCTCTTAAATTTGCCTCAAATAAAAACACACGACTGAAGCAAGTTTATTCTGCGCAGCGCTGGCGTTGTTTTGTTTTGGTTTGAGAATTGAATTGGGCATGTGACGTCACTATTTCCTGCATGATTAAAAAACACACAGAACTGTCAGTATACTGTCCCTTTAGCAGTTAGTCAGCTAAAACATATTTAAATTTCAATACATTTCTCTTTTTACAGGAAAATTAACTCCAGTAAAATCTGGAAAGTAATAACAAAAGCATTGATCTTTTTCAGAAATGTAATAACTGGTGCAATATGCTAACTTGATCAGAACGTTTCATCAGTAATCTCTGATTGCTGATTTGAAATATTCGTCATGGTTAGGCAATAAAGTCAAAATTTGGCACAATTAGAACAAGTGTTCAACACGTTAAAAGCCTCAAATATCAGCATATATCAAAACCCAAATACATATCAAAAAGCACAAATCACTTCCCTTTCAAAAAGATGTGGCACAAATAAACTTCCAGCATTGTACGATCTTTATGACTTCCATCTTTGTGGTCACAAAACATAAAAAGATATATCTACTGACAACCATAACAACGGTGTAACGTGGAACATCTGGAGGAAGTCTGATTGTCCTCAGCGTCGGCAGCAGAAGCTGAGAAGATGGAGCAGCAAGCTTCCCGTGGGTGAAGATCAGCAACAGCTGTTGCTGACGACGATGTCAGGGACATCTACGTCTTCTTTTTTGTCTTGGCAGCAAGTCTGAGCTGCAGCTCTTCAATCTGTTTACGTAGAGCCTCTTCTTCATCATCATCTTCATCATCAACTGAAACAAGTATAACAAATGGAACATGATGCTTGACTGGATGTAAGGTGTTATCATGCTTATACAACTTATTTTGTTTGTTTGTTTGTTTAACGCCGCACTCAGCAATATTCCAACTGTATGACAGCGGTCTGTAAATAATCAAGTCTGGACCAGACAATCCAGTGATTGACATAATGCGCATTGATCCATGCAATTGGGATCGATGACATGCATCAACCAGGTCAGTGAGCCTGACCATCAGATCTTGTTAGTAGCCTTTTACGGCAAGCATGGGTTGCTGAAGACCCATTATAACCCGTATCTTCACGGGTATATTCTGAAATTAAATAATGCATCTATCAATACATATTCATGAAGACATCTTGACTTGAAGGATGTGATTCACAGTTTGCAGATGTATGTTAATGCACGGTGAACAATTTCAATGTTTGTTTGTTTGTTTGGAGCATGAAACTCATACATGTTGTTCTTGAATGTGAACAGCACACAATGCTTGTTTAGCTATGAGGCGCTTAAAAAGATATTTTCGCTTAACTGTAAATAACGTCTCGGACAATTCGTGGGTTGAGTCCAAATAGTCGCCCAACTGTACGCAACCGGTTGAGGGAGCACAACATCCAGCCCAAAGTCCAGCAATGTGCCCAATTATGCTTCGCAGTTACCGTCAGCTTGGTGCAGGCAGCATGTGATGTTCAGAAGACATGACTGGGACAGTATGCTGTCCACATAATGGGTTCATGTCTACAAGGGTCTACAGGTGTCCTGAAGAACATTTCAGTGACTCGTGTGTTACTTGATGTTGGCAGTTTAGGGGGGAAATTGAAATGGTGTGGGGTGGCATTGCAACTCACGGGAGAACACAACTCATCATTGTTAATGGCAGTATGAATTGTGTATGCATCAAGGACAACATCATTCGAGATCATGTTCTGCCCAAGTGCAAATGCAGGGACGTAATGGCATGTTGCAGCAGGATAATGCCAGCTCACACGTTGCATGACTTTATTAATGGGCAGCATAACATTGCTGTACTGTCATGGCTGGCTGTTTCTCCATAGCTCTCCCCCCTAGAACATGTCTTGGATGAGATGGAACGATGCCTACAACAGGACCAGAACCAGCCAGTAACGCCAGCTCAGTTGGGACAAACCTTGGTTGACATTTTGAATAACATCAATGCACACTCTCTGCCTTGCATGTATCAACACATATGGTGGTCACACCCGATACTGACATTGTTGAGTTGTTACACCACCCCTCTTTTAGGGCGTGTCGCCTGTTGCCAGGTATGAATTTGTTGTGATAAAACATTTATCAGACGAATGACCCAATATTATATTGTTCTTTTCAATAACATAACATTTATGCCACTTTATATGAAGCACGGTTACTTTTTTTCTGTTAGTATACATGTTATTATACAGACTGAATTTCAACGTTAGACAGACGCAATTTAACAAGGTATTATACCACAGATTGAATAATAAAGTAGGGTGGGACATAACAAGGTGTGATACATATTATCATGGTTATACCACAAACTAAATATAAAAGTAAGGTGGGATATAACAAGGTGTTATACATATCCTGGTTATACCACAGATTGAATATTAAAGTAGGTGGGATATAACATTCCTGCTGGTCCTGTGGGCCGGGGCAGATACAGCAGAGATCCTATTCCTACTGAAATCAGTGAATCAGCAGAGCAGTGGGCCAGTTAACAGCGTATACTCACATATTCTCATTGGATGTTCATATTTGTTATTCCACAGATGAACAAAAAGTACAGGAGGTCTATTTGAATTGTTAACATGATTCTATTTTCTTGTCAATATTAAGGAAGGCCAGTTGTTTTGAACACAAATCGGCATTAGATGTTCATGGTAAACTATACCATGTAAGTAAAATGTTAGAAATCTCACCTGGGCACTCTTTCTGGAACATTGAGTTGATGCTCGTGGCACCATCGTCCAGGCACATCTTGACCTTGTACACACCATCCTGCACGGAGGACGCAGTGATGGTCAGCTTCTGGTTGTCGACCTTCTCGGCAAGCTTCATTAACTCCTCTGTGTTATTCCTCACGTCCACCCCATCCAGGCTGCACTTGACCACTTGCTGCGGCAGAATGGCGAACTCCGACTCTAGCGTCTTTATCATCTGTAACTCCACTCTGTCGAAGTTTCCATAGTCACAGAAGAACACCTTACAATCAGTATCTGTGACATCCTCAACCCTCGCTCGATACCACGACTCGTACTGACTGTAGAAGGCACAGACCATATCCCCAACTTTTGGGGTGATGGTGTTTGGATTACTGGAACATCTGGTGTTGATTTCTTTCATGAGAGGTTCCAGTGCTATTGTCCCTTCGACAGTCTGGATGCTGATGGCATTAAAGTCCTCAATGTGTGTCACGCAAGCTTCAACTGACGATCCGTCTACCGGGATTTCACTACAGGTCATTACCTGGGCCACAGGTGTGTTGAGTAGGTCATTAATACTTTCCCCTTCCACCTGAATCTCAACATTGTAAACTTGATCAATTTTGTCTAAAACAGTCACCTGCAGTTTCACACCACTAATTTTCTCTTGCAGCAGAGCCAGTTTCACAGGATCATTTCGGACAGTTACATTATTGAGGTGGCATCTGTGTCCCTGGACTGGTAAAGACCGGAATTGCTGCTCCAACTTTTTGATATTGGCAGGCAGTACGACATCAGAGTTACCATAGTCACAGAAGAAGACCTTGTATCCTCCCTCCTTAGTTTCCTCCTCCACACGCGCTCGGTACCAGGTGTTGTCAAGGGTGAACAAGGCACAGACGTCGTCTCCAACTTGGGGTGTGAGGGAGTCCGTACTGCTGGTGCAGTAGACATTAATCTCCTTCATCAGCTCAATCACCTCCATGTAGCCTTCAAATGTCTGGAAGTAGACACAGTCAAAGTCCTGAATGTCCATCACAATGGCGTCAAATGTTCCCCTCGGAAGTTCAATTGTGACCAGAGCGTTTTCATCTTCAGAAGGTGCTACAGCAAACATGTCATTGATGTTGGTTTCATCTACCAACATTTCCACATGGTGTACATTCCCATTCTTGGAGAGAGCCGTCACTGACAACTTGACATTGGAAATTGTATTCTTCAACTCTTCAATCTTCTCCGGATTGTTTCTGATGGTCACCGTTGGCAAAGAGCACTGGATGCCTTGGATGGGGCAAGTCAAGAAGTTATCAGGCAGTTTTCTCAAATCGGTCATCTTGACCTTATCCGAATTTCCGTAGTCCAGGAAGAAGACGTCACAGAATGTGTCACCTACTTGATCGATCCTGGCCCTGTACCATTTGTTATCGACAGAGAAAAGAGCACACACAATGTCCCCCACAGCAGGGGTGACCGAGTCGGATGTATTGGTACAGTGCACGTTCAGCTCCTCCATCACTGGCTGGAGGTTAGTAAAGCCTTGGATCGTCTGGATGGTAATACAGTCAAAGTCATGGACATCTGTCGCTAGAGCATCGACTGTGGTTCCTACAGGCAGTTCGGCATACTCCACCATCTGCAACGCAGGAGGGGATGGACATGGCGAAGTTTCTCCAGATGAAGGAGTTACAGGAGGCAATGTTTGAGAGGGTTGACCTTGGGCTGTTTCAGATTGCTGAATGTTTGGAGGGGCTGTTTGAGATGGTTTTGTTTCAAGAGATGCTTTTCCATTATTTGTACGGAAGTAGTCGTTAAGGAGTTCCTCGTCCACCCTGATTTCAACGCTGTAGACACTGCCACTCTTGCTCATGGCGCGGACATCGAGGTTCTTGTTGGTCATCAGCTCCTGAAGTTGGGTGATGGTCTCAGGGTCATCCGTCACAGGAACACAGTCCAGCGAACAATGGATTCCTTGGATTGGGAAACAACGGAACTGATCGTCAAGCTTCTTTATCAATGAATATGGAACCATGTCAGAAATACCAAAATCTACAGAGAACACCTTACATTCTGAGTCTCTCAGTTCATCAACCCTCGCCCTGTACCACACACCAACAGCACTGAAGAAAGCACAAACATAATCTCCAACCTGCGGGTGAACAGAGAAATGGTTGTTGGTACACTGAGCATTCATCTCTGCCATCAAGTCACAGAGAACGCTGTTTCCGTCTAATGTCTGTATGTAGATGACATCAAGTCCTTGAACAAACGTAGCAACCGCTCTTGTGTCAGTCCCATCTGTGGTCAGGCTTACAAACTTCATTGGCTGTTTGTCTTTCTCATCCTTTTGAAACATGTTGTTTATGGTGGCGCCATTGACCTCCATCACCACACTGTACACATCGTTCTGTCTCCCAACAGCCTTCACCTTCAGATGCACACCAGCGATCTTCTGTTTCAGTTTTTCCAGCATCTCGGGACTGCCGCCATCAATGCCATCCAGCCGACATTTTATACCCTGCCAAGGTGGGCTGCCCAAGTGTGCATCAAGCTTCCTGATCTGTGAAAAGTCAAGAGTGTCTGAGTTCCCAAAATCAACAAAGAAAACTGTACATGTGGAGTGTGTCACTTCTGTGACCAGGGCTCGATACCACACACTGTCTTCACTGAAACATGCGCAGATATAATCGCCCACTTTAGGCGTAATGGTTGCTTCGTCCTCTGTGCATGCTGTGATTAAAAGAGCCGTGAATTCATGCAGAGCTTTGAACCCATCCATGGTTTGTATGTATATTGACGAGAAACTGTGGATGTCCGTGGCAACTGCTTCAACTGATGACCCGTCTGTTGGCAATGAAGCAGACGGCAACATTGGGACACATACAGAGGCAGATGTCTCTTTGGGTTTAGTCAGGGAGTTTTCTTTCAAGATGTCTTCCTTTGGGACAATGTCTGGTTCTGACAGGAACAACTCATTGATGTTATGTTGACCAGCCTTGATCTGGACACTGAAGATGCTGCCAGAAACGCTGACCACCTTCACAAGCAGCTTCACCCTTGACACTCTGTCCTGAAGTTGTTTCACCTTTTCCTTATCATTCTTAATGCTCACCCCAGCCAGGCAGCAATGAATTCCTTGTATGGGAAGCTGACAGAACTTAGGATCCAGCTTCTTGATTGACGAGAAAGGCACATTATCGTAGTTCCCGTAATCAACGAAGAAGATTCGACAGTTTGTTTCCTTGACTCCATCCACTCGTGCCCGGTACCAATCCCCCTCGAACGGAGCAGCGACCATCTCCCCCTTGCCAGGTGTGAGGATGGCGTTGGAACTCTGGCAGACCTCATTCAGTTCCTGCATCTGGTCTCTCAGAGCAAGGGCGTTATGCATGATCTGGAGGTACAGGTCGTCAAAGTCCTGTACGTATGTGGCGATGGCTTCCACCTCAGTGCCATCCAGTGGCAGTGATGATTTCTGTAGGCTTGCAGCTATGATAGGTGGATCACTGGAGGCTTGGTTGGGGCTCTCAGCTGTGGAGAGGAACACAATTAACCTATATGGGGAATCAAACCTTGGTCTCTCAGCTGTGGAGAGGAACACAATTAACCTATATGGGGAATCAAACCTTGGTCTCTCAGCTGTGGAGAGGAACACAATTAACCTATATGGGGAATCAAACCTTGGTCTCTCAGCTGTAGAGAGGAACACAATTAACCTATATGAGGAATCAAACCTTGGCTATAACCACTAGGCAACACCTGCTGCCCCAACCAGTGTAATTATGCCATTCATATAACAATGCATTTGAGCATAGAGAATTACACTGCTCTTAGCATTATTCCAGCCAAACACAGAAGGGGACACCAGACTTCACACACTGTAACTGAGGCAGTACGGGTGACTGTGCACTGAAGACACCAGATGATTGAAAACAGCCTATGGGCTGTTGTTCCACTTGTCAACCAATGAATGGTCCAGCTGAGCTAGCATTACTGGCTGTGTACTGTTCACATTAAAATACCAAGTACATGAGTTAAATGCTCCCAACAAACATTCAAATGCAAATCGTGAATCATGACCTTAAAGGTGAGGAGATGTCTTCATGAATATGTATTGAAAGATGCTTTATTTAATTTTCATTAAACCTTGTATGAAGCACAGTTACTTTCCCCCCCGTGAGAATATAATAAATGTTTCGCCATATTTTTTATTCCAAAATTAGGAATTTGCTTCAGACTTGGGGCCGAGTATTGGTCTCTGAGTTGGCGTAGAGAAATCTTTGCTGACTCCAGGACCATTTCATCAAAAGTCTAAAGTTCTCTACCTGAAACTGCCAATTCTTGACCCACAAGTATGGCGCTGACTTGGACAGCTTCATTACCACTGTCGGACAGTTGGACCTGGTGGACATCGTCGATCGTCCCCTTGAGCAACATCATCAACAGCTGCCCCTCGATCCGCTTCACTGCATCTACTGCATCTTGGCTCCAGGTGGCGCCCGTGGGCTTAATTCCTGTTGTGTCAAAGTGCAAGTGTAAGATTTAACCAAGGCTTAAGCAGCATAGCAGAACATGAATGTGTACAAGTATGTCCTGCACAAATGATGAAAACTAACTGTAGCCACACTCAGCAATATTCCAGCTAAATGGCAGGTCTGTAAATAATCGAGTCTGGACTAGACATCCAGTGATTAACATAATGACCATTGATCCACACAATCGATACAATGAATACAATGACATGCATCAACCAAGTCAGCAAGTCTGACCACCCGATCACGTTAGTCGCCTCTTACGACAAGCATAGTCACCTTTTATGGCAAGCATGCGTTGCTGAAGACCTATTCTACCCCGGATCTTCACTGGTCTGTCTGTACATAATCGAGTCTGAAACGGACAATGCAGTGATCGATATCATGAGCATTAGTCAACACCAATTGGGATACAATGACATGCATCAACCAAATGAGGGAGCCTTGCTGCCCGATCCTTTTAGTAACCTCTTAAGACAAGTATGGATTGCTGAAGATCAATTCTACCCCGGATCTTCACAGGGGACAAGCATGGGTGCCCGAAGACCGATTCTACCCCGGATCTTCACGGGGGACAAGCACGCATTGTTGAAGACAAATTGTAAACAGATCTTCACAGGGGACAAGCATGGGTGGCTGAAGACCAATTTTACCCCGGATCTTCACAGGGATTAAGCATGCGTGGCTGAAGATCAATTCTACCCTGGATCTTAACTGGGACAAGCACGCATTGTTGAAGACAAATTGTAACCAGATCTTCATGGGGAATAAGCACTGGTGGCTGAAGATCAATTCTACCCTGGATCTTCATGGGGGACAAGCATGGGTGGCTGAAGACTATAGTGAGTGAGCGAGTTGGGTTTAACGCCGCCTTTAACAGTATTCCAGTTGTATCACTGCGTATCAGCTTACTGTGGGAGGAAAGCCCGAAGTGATGCAGGTGAAACCCACGAGCACGGGTATGGTGCTGACAAACCCTAGAAACATAATCGGGGCGAAGCGGGATTCGAACCCACAATCATGGGTTTCTGCACAGCGAATCGCGGCGCCTTAGACGACTGGGCCACCCATGCCCCCTCCTGATACAATAGTATCTCGAAACTTAATTTGCACATGAATGCAATCATCATCACAGTTTCACACTGCACACCTAGATCACCCGTGAATACATATGGCCGATGTGTGCTGTAATAGAGACATGCATGTATTTAGTCAGTGGATTGTGTGCATAGTCGGGTCTCAGCTAAATTTGCCTGATTTCTTGGTCACAACAGTATCAACTGAGTTCGATAAATACATGAAAACAGGTCGAACAAGTAGGAAATAGCAGACGTGTCTTAGCAGCTTAAGAAATATACATTCATAACCTTTTTTCAGTTCTGAACATGTCAAGGACTCTCTGAAAATAATTAGACAAAATATTTGATATACCTTGTAATAAAGGCACAAATTATCTTTAGGGATTAAAATATGTCTACTTCTTATTTATAAGTATTTAAAAAAATAAGATACCTTCATAAAAAAGCACTGATTTTTAGTGATCAACATTTCTGTCTGATATATATGACTGTCTCCCAGCATGCTCTGTACAGATTACTCTGTACTGTGGAGCGTGTGGGACTTCCTGTAGCACCTAACAGGTCCCACTGTAGTCTACACAAGCACTACAGGGTGATGACGGTGCAGCCAGCATGTCAACAGGGGAAGGCAGGACGTATCAACTGAGTTGGATAAATACACAGCTCTTACAAAATATTGAAGTATGGTTTCAATGTACTGCAAAACAATTTTTGTATTGTGTGGTCTAATGTATGGGGATTGTCATGCTTTATCCACCAGCGGGTTACTACTTCTATATCCACCAGCTGGTGTTACTGCTTCTATATCCACCAGCTGGTGTTACAGCTTCTATTTCCACCAGCTGGTGTTACTGCTTCTATATCCACCAGCTGGTTACTGCTTCTATATCCACCAGCGGGTGTTACTGCTTCTATATCCACCAGCTGGTGTTACTGCTTCTATATCCACCAGCTGGTGTTACTGCTTCTATATCCACCAGCTGGTGTTACTACTTCTATATCTACCAGCTGGTTACTGCTTCTATATCCACCAGCTGGTGTTACTACTTCCATATCCACCAGCTGGTTACTGCTTCTATATCCACCAGCTGGTGTTACTGCTTCTATATCCACCAGCTGGTGTTACTGCTTCTATATCCACCAGCTGGTGTTACTGCTTCTACATCCACCAGCTGGTGTTACTGCTTCTATATCCACCAGCTGGTTACTGCTTCTATATCCACCAGCTGGTGTTACTACTTCCATATCCACCAGCTGGTGTTACTACTTCTATATCCACCAGCTGGTGTTACTGCTTCTATATCCACCAGCTGGTGTTACTGCTTCCATATCCACCAGCTGGTGTTACTGCTTCTATATCCACCAGCTGGTTACTGCTTCTATATCCACCAGCTGGTGTTACTACTTCCATATCCACCAGCTGGTGTTACTACTTCTATATCCACCAGCTGGTTACTGCTTCTATATCCACCAGCTGGTGTTACTACTTCCATATCCACCAGCTGGTGTTACTACTTCTATATCCACCAGCTGGTTACTGCTTCTATATCCACCAGCTGGTGTTACTACTTCCATATCCACCAGCTGGTGTTACTGCTTCTATATCCACCAGCTGGTTACTGCTTCTATATCCACCAGCTGGTGTTACTACTTCTATATCCACCAGCTGGTGTTACTACTTCTATATCCACCAGCTGGTTACTGCTTCTATATCCACCAGCTGGTTACTGCTTCTATATCCACCAGCTGGTTACTGCTTCTATATCCACCAGCTGGTTACTGCTTCTATATCCACCAGCTGGTGTTACTACTTCCATATCCACCAGCTGGTGTTACTGCTTCCATATCCACCAGCTGGTGTTACTGCTTCTATATCCACCAGCTGGTGTTACTACTTCCATATCCACCAGCTGGTGTTACTGCTTCCATATCCACCAGCTGGTGTTACTACTTCTATATCCACCAGCTGATGTTACTACTTCTATATCCACCAGCTGATGTTACTACTTCTATATCCACCAGCTGGTGTTACTACTTCTATATCCACCAGCTAAAGTTACTACTTCTATATCCACCAGCTGATGTTACTACTTCTATATCCACCAGCTGGTGTTACTGCTTCTATATCCACCAGCTGGTGTTACTGCTTCTATCTGCGAGCTGGTGTTACTACTTCCATATCCACCAGCTGGTGTTACTGCTTCTATATCCACCAGCTGGTGTTACTACTTCTATATCCACCAGCTGATGTTACTGCTTCTATATCCACCAGCTGGTGTTACTGCTTCTATCCACGAGCTGGTGTTACTGCTTCTATATCCACCAGCTGGTGTTACTGCTTCTATATCCACCGGCTGGTGTTACTGCTTCTATATCCACCAGCTGGTGTTACTACTTCTATATCCACCAGCTGATGTTACTACTTCTATATCCACCAGCTGGTGTTACTGCTTCTATATCCAACAGCTGGTGTTACTACTTCCATATCCACCAGCTGGTGTTACTGCTTCTATATCCACCAGCTGGTGTTACTACTTCTATATCCACCAGCTGGTGTTACTGCTTCTATCTGCGAGCTGGTGTTACTACTTCCATATCCACCAGCTGGTGTTACTGCTGCTACATCCACCGGCTGGTGTTACAGTTTTCCAATAGGTCTCCTCACCATGCAGGGAACACTTGAACACTGGAACCGGGAGCTCTAGGAACTCTGGCTGCATGGCCCGCAGGTCTGTCACTGTCATCTCCTCTAGAGATCCCACATCCAGCAGGCGAACACGGACAGCCACATCCTTCCGCTCGACCACCACACACCGGTACCACAAACCTGTAGAGAAAAGACGTAGTTAGACAGGTCCAGCAGGACAGAGGTCAAGAGGTCAAAAGTAGTGCAAGTTTTGGGGAAAAAAGATCATTACCTGCCATTGCATCTAGGTGTCAGTCACCATCTTGATAAACCAACAAAACTAATCTGCTGAGAAGTGTGGACATCATGATGGTCTTGTGTAGATACCAGTCTATAAGTCCTGTACACCCCAATAGTGACACATCAAACAAATTGTTTGTTTTTTTCAACATTCAATACCTTGTTTTTTAATTGGAACATAGTTGAGCAAGTGGAAAGTATTTGACCAATATGCTTTTCTGGGAGTGATGTATTTCTTTGACTAACCCCTCCTTAGTCCCAAACTTCCCCTCCCCCTCCCAAATCCAGGACTAATCCCTCCCCAGTCTCAGACTCCCCCTCCCTAGTGCCGCACTCCCCCCTCCCCAGTGCCAGACTCCCACCTCCCCGGGTCCCGGACTCCCACCTCCCCGGGTCCCGGACTCCCCCCTCCCTAGTCCAGGACACTACCCCCTCCCTAGTCCCGGGCTCCCCCCCCCCCCCCCCCCCCCCCCCCCCCACACACACACACACACTAGTCCCGGACTCACCCCCCCCCACTAGTCCCGGACTCACCCCTCCCTAGTGCTGGATCCCCCTCCCTCGTGCCAGACTTACCCTCCAATTCCGTACAGAAGAGCTGGTTCAACTGGGGGTCAACAGCAGGAGTTGTCTGCTCCTTGTGGAACAACCCCATGTTGCGGGTCAGAATGACGAAAGCTTCTTTGACTGTAAAAGAGAGATACAGAATGGTTAATATTCGAGAACTTGTCCAAGATGTCCTGAAAGACTGTCTACTAATCATGACAACAGAGAAATCACCCATCAATCTCTGACAAAATGATCCCCAAAAATCACTGGATTCCCATCTGACATGCTTGATTGCAAAAAATGAAATAATTTCTTGATTTCCTATTATTCTCTTTTTTTCTTAAAACCGACTAACATACACCTACATCAGTCTCATGTATCCATTTGTCAAAGCCCTTCACGAACAATACACTACATACATGTAGCTTTAAATATGTGAAATTATGTTTGGAAATATATGACCTGACACCATTAATTGCGTCTCAAAAACCAAAGAAATATTTCAGTTATCATATCACATGTCATGCCTTCAGAACATGTCCTTGCACTACGCACACCTGACACGTTGCACTCACCATCCTGGTCAGCAAGTTGGCAGTACAGAGAACCAGGGTGTTCAACACATGCCACAATTACAGGTGACTTGCCATCAGGTGGCGTTGTCAAGGCAACATCCTTTAGAGTGTAAACTGCCGAAGATGTCAAAGGGGGAGACAACTCATCATTCAAACATTGCCCATCCAACAAAGTGACCTTCACATCGTAAATGTCATCAGTCTTGGATAGAGCCAGGACCTGTACGACCGTGTTTGTATGTTGCTGGAGGAGCTCCAAGTGGGAGGCGGAGCCCTGTGGTACTTCTGCCAGTCGACATCTGATGGCGCGGAGTGGAAGTAACCAGGCAGAGTGGTCCAGTTTTCTAATGTCGGCGAATGGTACATTTTCTCTATTCCCATAATCCGCAAACATGACCTTGCAGTGTGAGTCGGTGACGCTTGTTACGACCGATCTGTACCAGTCCTTGTCTACGCTGAACTTAGCTCCAACCATTTCTCCCTGGGCCGGCGTCGTGTACGCGGGAGCCTCCGCGCACTTCTCCAGTGCGACCAACACCTTCCTTGCTGCATCCTCATCCTTATCCTCTATCTGCACATACTGCACGTAAAAGCAGTCACTTGACACAACTTCAATGATGGCAACCTGGACTGAAGTACCATCCAAGGGCAGTGTGTCGGTTTTGGGAACACCTGGAACATGTTCTTTCAATTTCCCAGCAACAGCAACAGAAATTGGCTCATCATTGACATCATACAGTTCAACACAAAGTCGTATGTCTTGTTTCAGCTTCACAACTGCCCGGACTTCCGTTCTAACTCCACCTGTGCCGGCCAGTCTTTTAAACAAGTCAGTGACGTCTTTTGGCCAGACTCCTGATTCAGGGGCAGTAACTCCGTGAAGCTGGCAAATAAGACACTGTATTGGGAATTGTGCAAAGGCCTCCCTGCCAGCACGAAGACGTGTATAGTCAATGTCCTCCACGTTGCCGAAATCCACGTAAAGGACCTTCACCTTGGTCTGGTCCACTTCTAAAACTTTGGCTCGATACCAACCATCATCTTTAGAGAACTGACCAATGACAAACTCTCCAACTGTAGGGCTGCAAGATAAGAAGTATATAGATGTATTAAGTCAAATGAATGTGATGAGGAGTGTCAGCGATCAGGAGTTTCACGCTATATTGATATAACGATTAAGAAGATTAACTATTCTGTATGAGTATACATAAGAAATTACCTGTACACGGGCAATTTCATGCTAAATATGAGTGAGTGAGTATGGTTTTACTCCGCTTTTAGCAATATTCCAGCAATATCACAGCGGGAACACCATAAATGGGCTTCACACATTGTACCCATGTCAGGAATCAATACCTGGGTCTTCGGCATGACGAGCGAACACTTTAACCACTGGGCTACCCGACCACCCCTAGATGTGAATGAAACATCATGTGACACCAACCACTGTTTTTCAGAAAGACAATGTGGTGATTTGGGTTCTGAAGTCGTATCACTGTTAATGCAATGATCTCCTTCTGCAACCGCAAAGATCGATCGCCAGCTAAAATGACTTGAGCTTGTATCACTAAGTAAAGACTATCTTAAAATGATGTCAATTAAAAGCAAGGCTCTCATTGCAGAACGTATCATGTCACAGTACATTAACAATTTGCTCTCTGTGATAGTTCATGCAGGTAACCAATTCGCGAAATCCCTTTCCCAAAATCATAATTTGGCGGAGGACAAGCGTAAAAGTGTAGTTTTAGGCTCAAAATCGAAATGGTTGGCATCTCTGAACTGGAACTGGAGTTTGATTTGTGTCTAGATCCACCCACCTCCGCCTTCATGAATGTCAAACAAACTAAAAGACGATGCTTTGAGAACAATATTTATGTTATTTGTAGCATGGTGTAAAACATATATATTCACCATAAAACAAGAAGTAAACAACAGCTGTACAAGGCCCAATACTCCCAAGGTTAACAACAACAGGCTCACCACTTAGGTCTCAATGAAGGGAAACTACCCTTGAATTTTGTTCTAATCCAACAAAACACATGCTAAAATATGGTTAGAATTGCTTGACTTTCAGTCAGTTTAGCTGACAAAGGGGGCCGTTGCGCAACACAAAGCAATCTCAGGGCTACAACCATCCCAACTCCCACACTTTAATGTTGACTTCTAACAGTTGGAAGTGCTAAGATCGCTTTGTGCAACAGGCCCCTGGGTGTTCAACTCAAAGCTGGCCAGAAAGCAATGGCTGCCAGGTCCTGACCTGGTGTGGGGTCCCTCCTGGGTGCATGCTGTCTCCACGTCCTGGAGGAGGGAGCGGAAGTTGGCCACGTTGTCGGCCTGCATGAGCTGGGCGGAGAAGTTGAAGGGCGACACACAGTCCAAGATGAGGATGGTCAGCTCCTGCCCCAGCTGCAGGGTTTGGGACAGCGACGTCATGTCCGCAACCATCAGGGGGCTGAAACCATGGAAACCACAGAACATCCATCACTGGAGACTAAATTAATAATGCATACATTTGTAAGTCTTACTCTAAATATATTGTAAAATCCTTTATCATAGGGGGGAAATGTGTATTTGTTGATCAATGACTCATTTATGTGACCAAGTGAGTGAATGTTGTTTTATGCCACAGTACATGCTATTCCAGCTGTTTCAAGCTGGCATGTAAATATGAGGAATCAGGTAAGTTGAATTTGTTGGATGGAAAACTTGCAGGGCCATTATCCACCCCTCAACTAAACTTTAAAAATTCATATTTTTATCTGATTTTGATCTTTTGAACAACGAGCAATTCACAGCAGTCTAAGGGAGGCAACTCTCATGGGGGCCATGTTCCACAAAATGATCTAAGTGCAAGGACTACTGTAAACCCATATTGAAATTTGGGAGTTACGATCGTCTTGGCACAAACATTGCTTTAGGGGATCGGTACCAGGGTACTGTTTGTAGAAAGAAGCATGTGACTCGACAACTACAACTCACCCCTTGGACCGAGCAAGTTTCTTCTCAATGAGCATGTCCTTCACCGGTGCCCCTGAAACACACAACAGGTCAGTTCAGAGTGGAAAATACAGTCTTTTTCTTCCTTTTCTCTTTGTCAACATTCTTGTCAAGTATCCCCTCCAGGAATTCTGCATATAGGTATTCTTCCATGTTCATTTTTTGAGCGAATTATGTTTTAGGGGCAAAATATCTCCCAGCATTCCCTGTACGGATTTGGTGGCTGGGGGCCTATTCCCATGGGATCATTGTGTGGACGTAGCTTTGTGGAACGGGACCCAGATAACATTGGTTTATGTTACAACATACAAGTGGACATGGGCTATGCACAGGGGAGACAACTGCTGTACTGGGCTAATACAAACAAATGACATTATTCATTACCTATCTTAACTCGTAACATGACTCTTTTGAGTTTAAATTCCTTCATATATAAGCACAGATTACATTCCTGGAATAATATTTACTGTCTAATATAAATGACTGTCTCCCAGCATGCCCTGTACAGAATACTCTGTGGAGCGTGTGGGATTTCCTGTAGCACCTAACAGGTCCCACTGTAGTCTACACAAGCACTACAGGGTGATAACGGTGCAGCCAGCATGTCAACAGGGGAAGGAAGGACTCTACACTGAGGACTGTTGTTTACTGGAGTCAGCCATACCTCCGTCAGGTAGGAACATCTGGCCTGTGTATCTGCCCTCCTCCTGTCCCTCGGCCTGGAACACACACACGCCCTGTGACAGCTCGGAGTGGAGCACAGACACTACCTCCTGGCTCCATCCCTCCTTCACTGGACGCACATCGTCAAGGCAACAATGGACTGCCTGCAGATAGAAATTTGATTGATTGATTGATTGATTGAGCGAGCGAATCAAAATCGAATAAGGATACAATACAGTGGGTAATCGAAGAGTGAGTGAGTGATTGATTGATTGATTGAGCGAGCGAGTAATTGTGTGTTAAGTTAGAGACAGGAATGAGGTGGTGATGACCCTTCAAAAGGTGGCATCTAATAGGTCCATGGCGTATCAAAATTGAATGAGGATACAATACAGTGGGTAATCAAAGATGGAGTGAGTGAGTGAGTGAAGCAGTTGGGCTTAACACCCTTTTGAACAGTTTTCAAATCCTATCACGTTGTGTCAGCTTACTGTGGAAGGAAAGCCCAAAGTGATGCAGGTCTCAATATGTTTACCAGTTTTGGTGAAACCCATAAGTACCTGGAAACATCATTGGGACAAACCAGGATTCGAACCCACAGGTTGCTGTCTTGCCCAAGGGAGGCAACTCTGCAGAGTGAACTGCGGCATCTTAAACTGACCCCTTGTGCTTCCAAACAAGGGCAGAAGTGATGTCACAACTATGTTCTCACTCGGTGTGTGGGGCCTTAAAACTAGAATTAATGCCCTCAGTGTCACTATGGGAAGGGGCAATTGTTGGCCTCGTTCAATATGGTGAAGTTATATCCTCATTTCCACTCACCTGGGCGGGGAGTTTGCACATTTCTTCCGTTACATTCCTAAGCTGCGAGTACGTCATGGTTGCCGAGTTGCCGTAGTCGAAGTAGAACACTGTGGCATTATCCGGGGCTTTTAGAGACCTGACAACAGCGCGATACCACTGCTGCTCAAACTGTCCTGCGACTACATCCCCCACCATCGGCGTTGTCACCTTGTCCGAGCTGCTGCCACAGACCTGAAAGGCAGCATGTCATACCTCACTAGTACAGTCTGGGTTCCCCCCAAGTAGTCCGGGTGAATCAGGATTCGAAATCACAATCATAGGTTTCAGGCATGCCCAAAGGGGACACTACTCTGCACAGCCAATTGCGGCGCCTTAGACAACTGGGCTACCTGTGGCCCCAGAAATGAGGAGAAACTTGACAAAAGACAAATCTTGTTACAAAACAAAACAGTGTTGTAACTTGTTCTTGTTGCACAAAACAGGTCCCTAGATTACCACACAGAACATTCAGGTAATAACAATGCATATTGTCCATGTAGAACAATCAGATGATAACAACGCATATTGTCCATTAGAACAATCATTTTATCTCTGAACATGAGCCAGTTTATATTTCAGTTGGTTCTCACCATCGACTGTGTATTGTAATGATTCACTGTTGCCATAGTTACAGGTCAGTGTACCTTGTTCATCTTCTCCTTCAGCTGCTCCAGTTTCTCCAGCTCCTCGTAGACGGCTGGCTGAATCCAGATCTCTGTCGGGCTCTCCATGTGGGTCACAACAACCTGCAACAACAAGCACCTGTAACAACCTGCAACAAGAGTCATCAGAAAGATGACATATCCCCCCCGTCAGCTTTCTGTAAAGTAACCACAAGTAAATGTGCAATTCTGTATGTAATGAGTCAAGAATGTTCTTTAAGAAGCATACATTGTTTACCAACAAAAGATCCACCATGGTCGCATCCATACGAAATGGAAAGTAAAACGTGTGTTTCTGTGGTTTTTTTTATGCAAACAAATGACAAATTACAAGAAACAAGCGTATAGTCAACGAAGTCATCTATATCCCCCACCCATTTTAACACGTTATGGTCCCAAATCAATAGCTGCAATGGAAATTCTAAAATAAACATTTCTAAAACTCCTTAATATCAAATGGCACCTGTTCAGTATGTACTTTATATATGGACATGCAATGAACCCACCCTATGTGAAAACTTAAATCAAACTTGCTGCCATGGAAAAGTTAAAAAAAATAAAATAATAATTCCTAAATAGCAAAAGGCACCAGTTCAGTATGTGCCTGGTAGACATGCAAAGTTTTGTAAGAGAGTATTTAACAGTTTTTGAGTTACGCTCCGGAAACGAACACCACCCTTATAGAACCTAAGTCCAACTTGTTGCCATGTAAACGTAAATAATAAAAATTTCTAAAATTCCTAAATAGCAAAAGGCACCAGTTCAGCATGAGTCTGATAGACATTCAAAGTTTTGTAAGAAAGTTTTGAATGGGTTTTGAGTTGTGCTCCGGAAACGAACTCTGCCCTATAGAACCTAAGTCCAACTGGTTGCCATGGAAATGTAAAAAATAAATATAAAAAAAATTCCTAAATAGCAAAAGGCACCAGTTCAGTATGTGCCCGGTAGACATGCAAAGCTTTGTAAGAAAGTATTTAACGGTTTTTGAATTACGCTCCGGAAACGAACACCACTCTTATAGAACCTAAGTCCAACTTGTTACGATGGAAACGTAAAAATAAAAATTTCTAAAATTCCTAAATAGCAAAAGGCACAACTTCAGTATGTGACTGATAGATATGCCAAGTTTCGATCAAATACACTGAATTATTTTCGAGTTCTGCCCCAGAAAAGGAAATGATTACGGACGGACGGACAGACTGGCTGATCGCTCTATCCCCCCGCATTATATGCTGGGGGGATAACAACAAGCACCCGTCAACAGCCTGCAACAACAAGCACCTGTCAACAACCTGCAACAACAAACACCTGTCCACAACCTGCAACAACAAACACCTGTCCACAACAAGAACCTGTCAACAACCTGCAACAACAAGAACCTGTCAACAACCTGCAACAACCATTTCAGCCCCTGGTTAATGGTTAATACATGCACCAAGTTTTGATGAAATCTTTCAGTTTTCAAGTCATGCTCCGGAAACGAAACACTGATGGACAGACAGACTGGATAATGACTAAATCTCTCTAAAGACGATCATAAATCCCACACCTTAACAAAGACTAACAACAATCGTAGGGCTAAGATCGTTTTGTGGAACAGACCCCAGGCCCGTTCCACCAAGCAATCTTAGCGCTAAGACGATCATAACTCCCACACCTTAACAAAGACTTACAACAATCGTAGGGCAAAGACTCACCTGAACAGCACTGCCGACAGGTAGCTGTGTCTTTGTAATGTTCTTGAACAAAAACCGAGTCACCACCTTTGGACTCGAGACTGTTTTCTTGCCGGCTAGACTTGCAGCTGCACCCTGTTTCGCACTTGCTGGCTGCTGGTGAGATTTAGTATGGCCACCACTAGCTGGCTTCTTATCTTTAGGAGGAGAGTTTTCACCCTTTTTCTTATTTTGCTTGGCCTTGGTGTTTGTCTTTCCTCCACGCCCATGGCTGCCACGCCCACCACCCCTCCCACTTTCAGAGGAGGAGTCACTGACGTCCCGTGATGACTTCCTTCCAGTCTTGCTGTAATATTGCTGTGAGGAAACAATCACTTTCTTGACATCGTAAAATAAATGTTGGTTTCATCAAATGGCGCAACGATTTAGGCACAAATAATATTTAACAGTAATTCAGTATAATTTAAAAACGATACCTATTTCAAAATTTATTTCTGTGTTCCAGTAATTTGGGTAAAAATACAATAACAAGTTTGGGTATCATTTGTATCACTTAAACTAAAATATACACAGAAATTCATCACAAATTTTCTTCTTTATAATTGATTGACAAAACAATGGAAATGTGGAAGTGACTTTTCTCTCACACTGTTATTTCCCCTGTATCCATGACTACAAAATGTCAGCGATTGGCCATACTGGCTTTGACATCATCATATGTATGGAACTGCCGTGATATAACGGGAATATTGTTCAAAGAAGTATTAAACCCAACTCACTCACTCACTCCCATACAAGAAGTTACATCTGTCACGAGTGGGATGTACTGACTTTTCAAGTACACAAATATCCAGCTCAAAGTTCGCACACAATGCATGTAAGAAATACATCATTATGAGTTGACATCTTACAAAGAACTATTTTCAATGAGTGAGTGAGTGACAATAAATTCTATGTTTAAACCAGACTCTCTGAATGGCAACTCAAGTGTGAACAGAATCAACTGTGGTGTGACAAGCAAGGGAAGCATCACAGTGTGACACGATGTCCGTACAGGCTGCTCGGCTGACTTGTATGGTTTTTTTCAAGACGGAAACGGGCTAATGAAGATTCTGTAAAGAGTTTGTTTAACGCCACTCTCAGCAATATTCCAGCTATATGACGGCGTCTGTAGAAAAAAATAATATCTGGACCAGACAATCCAGTGATTCACATCATGAGCATCAATCCATATAATTGGGTTACGATGACATGCATCAACCAAGTCAGCGAGCCTGCCCACCCGATCCTGTTAGTAGCCTCTTACAACAAGCACAGCCGCCTTTTACGGCAAGCATGGGTTGCCGACAACCTATTCTAACCCGGATCTTAACGGGTCTCCTTAGATGATACAATGACCCACCTCATAAAAGTCGTCATTCACATAAACCTCAAACCGGTTCTCCAGTTCCTCCATCGAACAACTTCCCATTTCACTATGAACAGAATAAACACACAGTAAACATGGTGTAAAGTAAACACTGAAGTTTGACGCATAAATACCTTTCAGGACCATAACTTCATTTTGGACACTACAGACCATCAGCAGATAATGAGCGGATAAGGGGCTGATCACTTGATTTTCTGGCACATGGAGCACCAGGATTTATAAAAGAAATAAATGATTTATTCCTGAATAAGCTGGAAAAATAAGAAACTTTTTTTCTCAGATTTGAAAAGATAAGCATATTCTGTCTCACCTTATTTCTTGACAGCAATTCTTGTGTCGCCCTTCCCAGTCCTTCCGCTGACACTCAGAGGAGCAGTATGGCATCTTGCACCGAGCGCACTGCAGCTTGCCTGGACAACAAACTCGGGGTATGAATGAGTTCCCAACAATGGTCAGCAGCAATGAGAGAGGAGGAGGCGAAAGGGAAAGACCATATTTTTCTTGAGTATAGTGTGTACCCAAGTATAATGCACACCCCTCTCTAGAGGATTCAGTATTTTGGAAATAAATTTTTAATTATTATGCAGAAAATATTTACACCGTATCCCTTCAGTGAATTCCGGTAAACTAACGGGTGAGGAGAAACTTGGTCAGTACACATATGAAATGAAATTTGAGGTAGAAAATCACCAAACATGTTGATCTACCATTTAAATTGTATTTAAATTGTATTTAATGTTCTGCTAGGCATTGTTTTACATCCAGGGATTAAGATTACCTTGCATATTTTCTTGTAAACTAAGCCGGGAAAAGCAATCAGCAGTACTCACGTTTTCATGGAAACTACTTTTAATTTGGTTAATACTTACCCAATGATATAACTTTAAAGGATTTTAATTCAAGGATATGGACAAATTGTATCTGAAACCATTTTTTTTATCAGGAATAATATATTCCAATATCATGTTATTTTAGTTGCACCTTTATTTAATAAATTTAAATCAATAATAACCCTAAGCGTAGCACTCCGGTGCAGCTGATACTGATTGCCGGTTATTATTTTTCAATGAAACAATTTGACCAGTCACCATCGAGTCTCCTGCGCACGTGATCGCGAGAACTACATGTTGACATAGAATCGTCAAACTACAACAAATATGACTTTTAACGGGTCAAAGTATGGCATTTATTATGTGTATCTATTCTCTGTCAACTAATGTTCGTTTCAAGGCGTCAATAGTGGTAATCTGACCGTGGTTGCTGTTAATAACACAATTTTGATGAAATTAATTAAAACAATGTTAAAGGTAATTTTTAATAAAATTAATGAAATAAGTTACAAAGTCCTTATCTACAATGAACACTTTTTATAACCAGACAGAGTAATTACATGATAAATTTGCATACTTCAGTATGGATTTGTTGACATGGTATTTCCGGTGTTACATGCTCACGGTTATGTCTTTGCGTTGGGGGAACAACACATCAAAACTCATTATGGTGTGTATAATACGCACAGCTTCTACACAGCTGTGTTTTTTTTGGGGGGAAAAGTGTGCACTATACTAAAAAAGAAATACGCTCAAGCCTGACAGTTCAATGACCACCATCCTTTTAGTTACGCCTAGGATTGTCAATGAGGTGTGGTGTCAGTGTCTTAGCAGTCTACACCAAGGCTAAACTTGTTTTGTTTGTTGTTTAACACTGCACTCAGCAACATTCCAGGAATATATGGCAGTCGGGAAATAACTGAGTGTGGACCAGACAAAACAGTGATTGACATCATGAGCATCGATCTATGCAACTTGGATATGAAGGCATGTATTAACCAAATCGCCAAGCCTGACATCCAGATGAGGAATTCCCACACAGATCTTCAGTTAAACTACATAGAATCGAAGAACCACATATGGTTAAACAACAGTGTGTTGACAACCAACTTTCACAGCTCACCTTTCTTTTTGCAGAACAAGCAGGGTCGCTCGCTGTCCACTGTCACAGGCTTCTCTGTAAAGAAATGAATATGGATGTCACGTGTGACGTCCACACAAGCTCTCCAACTCGAAGCTACAAATAACTTGTAAACAAGCAACTTCTGAGAATGATCCCAAAACAAAATTTACCTTCATTAGGAGAATATTTTTCTCAAATTGTAACAAAGTCAAACACATACTGTCCAATATTTCAAGAGTCCGAAATAGCTCACCTGGTGCCTGTATATTAAGACAGACTGATGCTTAATATACACCTGCTTGTGTGATTTGAAAGTGACACACAGCGGTATCGTCACTTTTTAGAGAAGTTGCTTGTAAACAGGAGAGTACCCTGATCAACATGCAGCATAATTGTGTCTTAGGTCAGAGTGAGTGAGTGAGTTGGGTTTAACGCCACTTTAAACAGTATTCCAGTTATATCAAGGTGTGTCAGCTTAATGTGGGGGGAAAGCCTGAAGTGATGCATGTCTCAGACGTTTACGCTTCGGTGAAATCCCCGAGCACAGATATGGTGCCAACAAACCTAGAAACATAATCAGGGCGAACCGGGATTCGAACCCACAATCACAGGTTTCTGGCGTGCCCAAGGGACACAACTTTGCACATCGAATTGCGACGTCTTGGACGACTGGGCCACCCGTCTTAGGTCAGAGAAAATCAGTGTAACATTAAAGAGGTAGCCCCAAGTGAATGAATAAGGACAGGTTTACTTTGTTTTAAGCAATATGCCAGCACAGAAGAAAAATGACTTTGACCTTCTTTAATGCAAGGTCTAGTCAAGGTAATAATTCCATCATCGCTACTGATCACGGAAATAAAGAAATTTCTTCTTTGATAAATACATTGTAAATCAATATTATACAAATATAAATACATTTACATTTTCTGCCAAACAGAAAGATCGTGGATGAGAATGGATATTTTCCTTTTCAGCTGAAACATTTTTGCAACAGAGCATGGTCCATAATTTGAGAATTTTATGGGAGAAGCCATCAGATTTAACAAATTAGTGGTCACTAAAATTCGCATTCCTGAAAGATGTGTTGATGGAGAGGTACACATGATCACTACACTAAAATGTTATCACTTTCAGCTCACAACCAACCTCTTGCTACTCGCTCCGTGTCTGTGGAGTAGCCAGACCTATTTTGGTCTGGGGCAGTGTTCACTTGACCTCGACCACGACCGCGTCCACGTCCATAGTAGTTTGGATTAACTTCCTGAAATGGGAAGGTGTGCGCCAGGGGCCCGAACGGCATGCCTCGGCCCATAGGGAACGTCCTGGTAGGATCCTGATAATGGCCGCCCCCCTGGAAGTGGCCTTGGTAAGGGAAGCTCCCATATGCTCGCCCCATCCCTGGCCCATTGTACATATTTCCACAATCACCGTATCCCCCCCTTCCACTGAAACCATGGAAACCGTTCATGTCTCTTCCTGGGGGTGCAAAGTTGTTATTGGTATTTCCAAATCCGACAGCAAATCCTTGCCCCATCCGGCTCAACGGCAGCTCCAAGCCTTGGCCCTGACCACCAGGGTAGCCAGGGAAGTGACCAGGGTTACCAGAGTTACCATGGTAACCTCCTCTGCCACGTTGACCACCTCTGCCCCCTTGACCTTGGTAGGGGTAACAGCCAGGGGCCACAACTCCTCTCTGACTTTCATAAGGATGACTTCCAAGTAGGCCATTGTTCCTCTTGTCTGCAAAAGAAATAAGCGTTTCTTGAAAACAAATACCAATGGCTGCTGTGGATTTGAACCTCTTGAACAAATTGGGGCATCATTGGTGGGAGCAAGTGTGTGAAGTTTCAGTGTCATTGGTCCAATGGTTTCTGAGGAGATGATACCGAGCAACCAGGCCATGGTATAAGCTCACCTGACATTCACTCAGGTAATCAAAAAATAGGCAGGTTCATGTTACACAATTTTAATTCTTATTGTTGGATAATTCATCATAAATATTAAATATGTCAAATCTGGCAACTCCTGATTTAAATGAGTGAGGTTGCACTTTGACCGTGTCCAGCAGCTGGACCACGTTACTAGAATTACAGAGCAACTTCCAACTATAGAATCAGGCCAGTACAGCAACACAACAGGTGAGGTGAAATAGGGTTTAACGTCGCGTCCAAGATTATTGCACTTATATAGCGACGTGCATGTACGTGTGTGTGTTTGTGTGGCTGCTTGTACTAGTCTGGACTGATGCTGATTTATAGTGCTAGCTCACTGAGATACCATGCCGCAGTTTAACATGAATACCCCATACCCGACCAGTCCTTGTTTTAGCCCCTTAATGCCGGGCGCCAGACAGGGTAACAACAAGTACCATCTTTTAATATCTTTTGGTATGACGCAGTCGGGGATCGAATCCCGGACATTCCGCTCTCCGGGCGGCACTCTACCACTAGACCACAGAGGCGGTCGCAACAAAACAGCCATCTGAAATTGAGGGCTTTTGGACCAGGCACACCGCTGGTGGATAACATGGGGCAGTCTGCACTTTCAGGGCATGAAGACAAATCAGCCGTGTCTCACTATGTCCACAATACACCTGGCACGCCAACAATGAAGTGTGATGACCAAGGGAGCATCCCCGGAGAGACACGTCGCTAAATGAGACACGCCACTACACTATACACCTGGCACACCAACAATGTAGTGTCAGGACCAAGGGAGCATTCCCGGAGAGACACGTCGCTAAATGAGACACGCCACCACACCATACACCTGGCACACCAACAATGTAGTGTCAGGACCAAGGGAGCATCCACTGACCTTGACCGGGCCTGCGATCTGTTGTCTCAGTATCCGTCAATTCATCCAACAACTCTGCTCGTCCCCGACCAGTTCTATCAATGGCAACATAACAGATTTACTGGTATGTCATCAGTGTCTGCTCTGGCTTAAAGTTTCTTGGGGTCAGTTGGACCCCTTCAGCATAAAATTAGGGGTCCCAAACAAAAATGGAGGGGTCCAATTTGTAGCATCATAATATAACATAAACAACAGAATACAGTGGTTGTGAAAAATCAGACATCTTTTCGCAACTGCAAAATATCAACAAACAGGCAAAGTGAGAGAAAGGTTCACATCAGGACACATCCTGCTCTCAGGACCAAGAGGTTTACATTAAGGGACAAACAATTTCTTAAAATGGAAATTTGATACTAATGAATATTTTAACACAAAACTATCCATGTTAATATCTAACTTTGTAAATGAAAAGGCAGTACACGGGTGATCAGCCATTGGTAAGGGGTCATAGGGGCAGACATTTGTTAATGTTTATATCTAGATCTTCCAATGATTTGAAGTTTATGGATTCAGTCAAGTTCAATGGCTGTTCTGATGCTACTGTACTGAGTAGTGAGTTCATGTCGTAACTGTGACAATGATCAATGAGTCATAACATAATTGGGATATCAAATAGTTTTTTTAAGTAAGAGTATGTTCAGGATCCAGCATTTCCTTCATAAATCTAGTCAACAATGAACATGTTTCAGGTGCTATAAATGTTAAAACATGTCATTTACACTAATAACGGTTCTGTCAAAATGTGTTTTGCAATTCTTAATATAACCCACAAGAGATTGAATTATAATCAGCTTGATAAGTCTGTTGTAGAATAACTAAATATTCAGAGTCCGCTAAATAAAAACAATGCTTACATTCAAGTGTCCGCATTTATTCTTTATCATATACAGTATGGCAGTATCGATAAATCTCGAAATCCACACAAACTGTCGACTGTTTACTTATGCAAATCTAAGCACGATATATTTCATTGCATGATTGAATACAGGACTCGTTGCGGTATGTCACGGCTACTTGTACACACGTTAACTTCTTTATGATAGTTTCTGGGATGTTTTTGAAGTGGAATTACCCCTACCTCCATTCGAAATTGATACGAAAAAGAACCCATTTGTTTAAACGAAGTCCCTTGATCAAACCTCGGTCGTATGTAAAATACAAAACAGGACGTGATGTAAACCATATAACCCACACAGGAACTTTGTTTACCAAACTCGGTAAAGAAAATCAGCATCGATCAATCCAATGAACAAAAAATATTTGAATCACATATTTAATAAGGTTATAAGCGTGCCCCATTTCAATCTACTGCGATAACATAGCGTACCATCCTACACGGTCGCTCGATTTCGCGGGTCACTGTTACCACGTTCTGAAGTATACCCTTCATGTGCCGGGCTATTTTTAGTTTGACACAAGGTCGGGAAATTTTCGACCAATCAAGCTAAATGAATTACGACTATATCCGACCTGCTTAATATGCGGCACCTGATTGGCTGAAGCAAAGCTACGGACCATACCAAACATTAATACATGCAAAACCGAAAATAGATATAGGTCAAGAAACCGGTTTGGGTATTTGTCATAAACAGGGAGAGAATAATGAAACTGGTTTGGTTTAGCAAACGGAAGTGTTAATCAACATGCTTCCCGGTCTTGTTTGGCAACAAATACCTTTACGCAAAGACGTACGTCTTTGATTTACGATAACAGTGTCAATTCGATATGAAATTAATAACGCCCCAGTCACTGCGTCCACGAGACCCACACATGTTACGCAGGTGCGTTCAAACTCATTTTTGTGCGTCCAAGACGCAAAAACGCGCTCTTCAGCCAACACTGATGTCATGTTTATAATGTATTTCATAATAAAATACACCTGAAAACCAAAAATATATATAAGCATTACACTTGAGAAAAAAAACAATGCCTGAAACTACTGTCATTTTGCCTCAATACAAACAATACACAAGTCTACACACCAGTCTCATCTACTACTACTACTACTACTACTACTACTACTACTACTACTACTACTAACCTTGGTCGGCTGCCTTGGAAAGATCTACCCTGCAAAACAAATAGTTCTTCAATGACAACAGTTTCACATCAAGATTATAGCTTCAGTAGAAAACTAGTTCTGTACCACAAAATGGCAAATGTGGCAACTAGAATTTTCCATAATCAGGTAATCTGTGATCTGAAGTTTGATCCCTGGATAACATGAAGGATAAATGCAAGAACAGTGAACATTCACATTAAACATGAACCCTGCTGTAGGTAAGACCATCTGCGTCTCCCACCAACATGATGGTTGATGATGGCTTGTTGTTGAACGCCGCACTCAGCAATATTCCAGCTATATGACGGTGGTCTGTAAATAATCGAGTCTGGACCAGACAATCCAGTGATTGCCATAATACCGTATATCGCTGTGTATAAGGCGAGTTTTTCGTACCTAAAATGAGGGGGCTAAGAAGGGGGGTCGTCTTATACACGGAGTCGAAGATCTCACATTTTTTTTCCACTGGCGATGTCAACCGGCGTCCGATAGCCAGCCCAGCATTTGACAATAAAACTTCGCATTTCGTCCTAAATAACTGTTCCAATAACTATTTCCATACATAAACATGATTTGTATCTCTTTTCCTTGATTAAAGTTTAATAATTTCTGCAAATAAAGTTGAAATGACCCTCTCCTCGATGCAGATTGTCAAACCAGCTGACACGGTGAAACAATCAACATCTGTGAGTAGAGAGCCGGAAGTACCGGTAATCATTTGCATATTGCACATGTGACCTAATATGTGATAACCGGTGAAGCTGAAATCAATTCCCGCTGTTTTTACAGTTGTATTTACAAGTGTTGGAGACGGTGTGTACAAGTGATTGAGGAATAAACACGCTGAATGTGAAGCAAACATAAGCCTAGTTAGTTACAACATAGTTAATTGGCGATTAAATTACTCACCATTGTCTCTTATATGTTATTACTTCATAAATGAATTTTATTTTACGGGCACCAATTTGGTGTCGTACCGTGTAAACACAAAATGGCGACGTGTGCTGGAGTTACACACGCGACCTATCATTGTAGAAAAAAAACAATGCAAGATAAACATATTTCTATTGCATATATAAGGTTTGTGTGCGCACTTGTGATGTGTGCGAAATACGCATCAGTCGGAACGCGCACATTAAATCTCCAAAGTAACTAACTAACTAATTTGTGATGTCCGTGTGCGAAATACGCTAGTCGGCAAGAGCACGTTAAATCTTCTACCGGTATATCAGTCAGACTTGTGATGTGTTTCATTCCAGGTCGCCTTATACACGGAGTATAGGATTTTGGGTTGATTTTTAAGGCGTGTACAGGGGGGTCGTCTTCTACGTGGGGTCGCCTTATACACAGCGATATACGGTAAGCATCGATCCACGCAATTGGGATTGATGACATGCATCAACCAAGTCAGCAAGCCTGACCACCCGATCCCGTTGGTCACAAGGGCCTTGGAGATCATGTTGGGCAAAAGTGAGTGAGTGAGTGAGTTGGGTTTAACGCCGCTTTTAACAGTATTCCAGTTATATCACGGCGTGTCAGCTTAATGTGGGAGGAAAGCCCGAAGTGATGCAGGTCTCAGACGTTTACCACTTCGGTGAAACCCAGGAGCACGGGTATGGTGCTGACATACCTAGAAACATAATCGGGGTGAACCAGGATTCAAACTCACAATCAGAGGTTTCTGGCGTGCCCAAGGGACGCAACTGCACAGCGCCTTAGACGACTGGGCCACCCGTGCCCCCTGTTGGGCAAAAGAGCTAATGAAGACGCTGACAGATCGTCATTCATTTCCAATTAGGACTTCGGGAGTAAGAGCAATGTGCAATTTGTAATGCAGGATAAGTTATAAATAGAAAATCTATCCTGTCGCACACTATACATTTCATCCTTTATCTTCGATCCTGGTGTGGAAACTACCTGAGAACAAAGTTTCCAGCTTAAAAAAAAAACAACACCTCCCAAGGAATAATGTTACCCGAACTGTCTTTTCTGAACATCCATTGTGACCTTCGGATCACCATACCGCATCTAAAGACACTGTAAAATTACATTCTGCCAATATTTTCTAGTGGTCTTTATGTTATCCCATGAGTTATCTCCTTTTGTATTCCACGCTCCCGCTCTTAGTCGTCGGTTTGTCTGGTCCATACATGACTATGTACAGACTGCTGAGACAGAGCTGTAACACTCCAGACTAATGCATTATTATAGCTAAAATGGATAGAATTATCATTAAACAGACTGCATGTTATCAGAAATGAGCGGGCCACTGTAACTTGATAATGCCCTCATATTGCTTGACGACAGGCCATTATCACGCCCGTTGTTAGGTGACGTCATAGGATAGGATAGGTGACGTCACGTTCAATAGTGACGTCATCTGGTTTATTCTATGATGTTTCCATATTTGTAAAAGTGGGTCAGTGACATTCATGTTGACTGCAGTAAATGTTTCAAACCCGATATTGTTTCTTTTTATTTGATAAAAAAATTCCATCCATTTTAGCTATAAGAACGGTAACGCTATTTTTCAGGGCATTATCATTTGCAGAAGCCCTCGGTCTTTTCAACTGCCCTCCTTCGTAGGGCAGTTAATGGAAAACCTAAGGCTTCTGCAAATGATAATGCCCTGAAAAATAGCGTTACCCTTAAAACATTACTCACTCTCAATGCTACTCCAGTGCTGCTACTGCTTACCTTGTTACTGCGTTCATCGGAGTCGCTTCCCATGTTGCTCCTTCTCCCACCATTCAACTGACTGAGAAACTCCTCGTCTTCCTGCAAGGAGGGAAATGCACCACACAAACCTTGAGTTCTGATAACCTATTCAACATCACCAAACAGATCGACAGGGATCCCATTATCAAGGGATGTAATCACCAATCATAAGTTTTTAATTTTCAATATCAACAAATAAGAGCTTCGGATTCCATGGGCACAGAAAAAACGTGCCTTGTTTCACATTTGGCTTGTTCTAATGTCAAGAGGCACCTATAAAAAATTAAATAATGTTGATTTCAAGTTAAAAAATACAAGTATCTAAATGAGTGAGTGAGTTGGGTTAACCTAGAAACATAATTGGGGCGAATCGGGATTCAAACCCACAATCATAGGTTTCTGGCTTGTCCAAGGGACGCAACTCTGCACATCGATCTTTTAATGTGGGGAAGATATTAAGGGTAGACTGATAAGAAAACAAGAATGTAATATTCCAAATCCAGGACAAGACATACCTTTCTTTTGCGTGCTCGGGCTGCTTTTTCTTCTTGAGAGAGAGCAACCTGCACTTTCAGTCGGTGGTTTCTGATGACAAAACCGTCCATCCTCCGGATTCCCTCCTCCGCCTCTCGGATGGAGGACATTTCCACATATCTGAGCCAGAAACAAACACATCACAGCAAGTTGTCAACTGACAATCAGAAACAAACATCATAGCAAGTTGTCAACTGACAATCAGAAACAAATATCACAGCAAGTTGTCAACTGACAGTCAGAAACAAACATCACAGCAAGTTGTCAACTGACAGAAACAAACATCAAAGCAAGTTGTCAACTGACAGTCAGAAACAAACATCACAGCAAGTTGTCAACTGACAGTCAGAAACAAACATCACAGCAAGTTGTCAACTGACAGTCAGAAACAAACACATCACAGCAAGATGTCAACTGACAGTCAGAAACAAACATCACAGCAAGATGTCAACTGACAGTCAGAAACAAACATCACAGCAAGTTGTCAACTGACAGAAACAAACATCACAGCAAGTTGTCAACTGACAGTCAGAAACAAACATCACAGCAAGTTGTCAACTGACAGTCAGAAACAAACACATCACAGCAAGATGTCAACTGACAGTCAGAAACAAACATCACAGCAAGTTGTCAACTGACAGTCAGAAACAAACATCACAGCAAGTTGTCAACTGACAGAAACAAACATCACAGCAAGTTGTCAACTGACAGAAACAAACATCACAGCAAGTTGTCAACTGACAGTCAGAAACAAACATCACAGCAAGATGTCAACTGACAGTCAGAAACAAACATCACAGCAAGTTGTCAACTGACAGTCAGAAACAAACACATCACAGCAAGATGTCAACTGACAGTCAGAAACAAACATCACAGCAAGATGTCAACTGACAGTCAGAAACAAACATCACAGCAAGTTGTCAACTGACAATCAGAAACAAATATCACAGCAAGTTGTCAACTGACAGTCAGAAACAAACATCATAGCAAGTTGTCAACTGACAATCAGAAACAAATATCACAGCAAGTTGTCAACTGACAGTCAGAAACAAACATCACAGCAAGTTGTCAACTGACAGAAACAAACATCAAAGCAAGTTGTCAACTGACAGTCAGAAACAAACATCACAGCAAGTTGTCAACTGACAGTCAGAAACAAACATCACAGCAAGTTGTCAACTGACAGTCAGAAACAAACACATCACAGCAAGATGTCAACTGACAGTCAGAAACAAACATCACAGCAAGATGTCAACTGACAGTCAGAAACAAACATCACAGCAAGTTGTCAACTGACAGAAACAAACATCACAGCAAGTTGTCAACTGACAGTCAGAAACAAACATCACAGCAAGTTGTCAACTGACAGAAACAAACATCAAAGCAAGTTGTCAACTGACAGTCAGAAACAAACATCACAGCAAGTTGTCAACTGACAGTCAGAAACAAACATCACAGCAAGTTGTCAACTGACAGTCAGAAACAAACACATCACAGCAAGATGTCAACTGACAGTCAGAAACAAACATCACAGCAAGATGTCAACTGACAGTCAGAAACAAACATCACAGCAAGTTGTCAACTGACAGAAACAAACATCACAGCAAGTTGTCAACTGACAGTCAGAAACAAACATCACAGCAAGTTGTCAACTGACAGTCAGAAACAAACACATCACAGCAAGATGTCAACTGACAGTCAGAAACAAACATCACAGCAAGTTGTCAACTGACAGTCAGAAACAAACATCACAGCAAGTTGTCAACTGACAGAAACAAACATCACAGCAAGTTGTCAACTGACAGAAACAAACATCACAGCAAGTTGTCAACTGACAGTCAGAAACAAACATCACAGCAAGATGTCAACTGACAGTCAGAAACAGACATCAAAGCAAGTTGTCAACTGACAGTCAGAAACAAACATCACAGCAAGTTGTCAACTGACAGTCAGAAACAAACATCACAGCAAGATGTCAACTGACAGTCAGAAACAAACACATCACAGCAAGTTGTCAACTGACAGTCAGAAACAAACATCACAGCAAGTTGTCAACTGACAGTCAGAAACAAACATCACAGCAAGATGTCAACCGACAGTCAGAAACAAACACATCACAGCAAGTTGTCAACTGACAGTCAGAAACAAACATCACAGCAAGATGTCAGCTGTCAATGGATCGGCATTGTAAAGGTGATAACCTCCGTATCACCCAGGGATTCAACTCGGACTCCAAACTTAGTGCCCACAGCAGGCATGTTTGAAATTTTAACATGTTCTAAATTGGGATTTTTTTAACTTTTCTTATTTTTCTAAATTCAGAGGAATTGGGGAAAGTTTCCATTCCCATTTGTGAATTTTTACTGACTGTCACATACCACATCGTACCCAGGAGGGAGGAAGTGTTACAGGCAGTCAGCAGACGTCCAGCCACAGCACAGCGGCAGATGATCAGGTGTAAACCAGGGAAACCAGTGATCAGCCAATTCATGGAGACCGACGGATCCAGTTTCACTCCACTAGGACTCTGGACTAAAGTGGTCCCCAGAAAACCATGCTTGTCAGTGGAGCTGACAAAAGTGGTAAGGGTTGTTGCCTCGGTGACTTCAGTGATTGGATGTCACCATACCAATGGGACATTCCCCATAATGTGTTTGTTGGTTGTTCAACGTCGAACTCAGCAGTATTCCAGCTATATGACTGCAGTCTCTAAATAATCCAGTGACTGACATCATGAGCATCAATCCACGCAATCGGGATACGATGACTTACATCAACCAAGTCAGAGAGTCTGACCACCCGGTCCCGTTAGTCGCCTCTTATGACAAGCATAGACGCCTTTTACGGCAAGCATGGGCTGCTGAAGACCTATTCTACCCCAGATCTTCACCCCATAATATAAACCACCAGCTTGTGGAGCACCGACTCTACTAAGAGGCTGCTGTAAAATGGCTGGAATACTGCTGACTGTGCAGGAATAAAGCATCAGTCCCTACCCAAACATGCACTGGGAGTTGTCCTTCGTGGAGATGGCGACATGAGAGTTCAATACGGTGCCGACAGCCGCAAACAGGTTCATGAGTCCTTGCTGCAACACAGTTAGAGATGTAGGAATAGTGAGTGAGTATGGTTTTACGCCGCTTTTAGCAATATTCCAGCAATATCACGGCAGGGGACACAGAAATAGGCTTCACACATTGTACCCATGTCGGGAATCGAACCTGGGTCTTCGGCGTGACGAGCAAACACTTTAACCACTAGGCTACCCAACCGCCCCTTGTATGAATAGAAGACGAGGTGTGTGGGTTTCGGGTAAACCTATATGACACTTGCAACTTGATGTATCATCAACAATACTAAGTCACAAAAGAAGGTTTTATGGACTCGTCCACATCAAGAGTTGACCTATATAGATTTACATTGCAACTCTTGATGTAATACAAAATACCGTATTCGACGTAATAAGCGCCCAGGGCGCTCTCAAAATTAGAAATAGGGGGCTCTTATTAGAATAGTATTTTGGTGAAAAAAATACAGAGTTGAAAGTTAAATTTCGCGGTTTATGCTGACAGCCTGAAATGTTTATATACGACAGATATATTTTTCCAGAATTTAATTGCCCATAATTAATGGTGCATATAACACACAAGTGCGTATTATACACGAAAAAATAAGTCTTATGTACATTGATCAATCGGAAGGGGTGCTAATTGGGATTGTTCACTAGCCAATATATTAACAAATATCGCCGTGGGCGCTTATTACGTCGAATACGGTAGTGTGGTTGTTTGACTCTTTTATAACATTAGAAGTTTAGTAAGAATTTTGGAATTTGAACAGCCCTGAGTTTATACATGAACTTGCTGCAATTCACAACATTACATCTAACATTAGGATCACGTTACTGCATAAAAACAACTTTCGGATTTCAAGTTTTCATGATCTCTCATAGTGTGCCCCTAACTACTGAAAGTGATAACGTAGCAAGTGATATAAAACTGCCATTAATCTTTTTAAAATGCCATTGGAAATGATTTAAAAGAAGTTCAAAATTAATAGAAAACAGCTGTTCGATTGAGCTGAGGTTAACTTGGGCCAAGTCACATGACTTTCATTGCCTCAGATAAAAGAGTGCGGCCTTTTGCTTCGAAGCTCAGAAACTCCCTTCCAGGTGGAATACATATTATTTTCCAAGATAACCTGGACCAATCAGATCTTATCATTCTGACATGGAGGTATGATAAATGGTATGATAAATGGTATGATAAATACTGGTATCTCAATATATTGCAATACGCTGAGAGCAGATAATGACAAAGATTCACCGTACCCTGTCAATTTCAAGTGGCAGGTTCTGCACATACAAGGTGATTCCATTGATGGTGTTCCGCTGTCTGAAACAGAATAAAGAAGGATGTTCACTCAGTGTTCTGCAATAAGATAGCTAATATACGATTCCAAGACTAATGCTATGACTTGTACATATTATACTAGGAATTTGATTAAAATGCTTTAAAACGATAATTTCAATTGTTTGACTTCCTATAATATTGCACTGACTTCTTAATTTTACCAGTGGCTACCTAGAAAAAGATATTTGTACATGGCTACTTGGTAAAAACTTATACAAACCTGTATCTCTGATGAAATCCTCTTTGGGGCACCTTTTGCATTTTCCTTGCTCAAGAAAATCTACATGACATAGTTGTAACCATTTTCCATAATAAAAAATGTTACCACACAAAAAACTTTGTTTTTGTATGATATACGACCACCCTTACGGGGCCTCACCCTCCACGGCGCGCCACGCCAGGGGGAGCAACTCTCACCCAAATCACTTTCCATATGTCTAATGCTGACGGAATGTTGGGAGGTGGGTGGCCGTGCCCCAAGGAGGATTTCATCAGAGAATCCATAACCTCTACAGGTTTGTATAATTCTCTTTCAGATTAAATCCTCCTTGGGGCACCTTTTGCATCAAGATAGACTCCTAAAGATAATATAGGAAGTGGCATCCGTCAGCAACAGGCGTAAATAAATACATCTTATTTGATTATTCACCAGAATAAAATATAGTGTTCAATAAATGGAACCAACCTTATTGTGAGGCACCACCGTCGCAAGGCGGGGGCTAGAGACAGGGCGTAGTCAACCATATATTATGATAAAGCCTCTTTTTGCGGCTTGTCATTAGTTGAGAACTCGAAACACCCCCCCTCCCCGCTTTTTTGAACAAGTGATACAGGGGCGTAGATCACGAGAGACTATAACCCGCGCTGAGCTAGGCCAGAGGGTCCCCGAGGATGGAAGGAGTGCGTGTGCAAAAACGAGTATTATCGAGTAGTAAGGACTGATATTTATCGACCGCAGAAGATAAAATCCGGACCATTACTGAGCAGTATAACCGGAGGACTGTCTAAAATCTCGAATGCTCAATCGGCTAGAGATTAGAACTTTGCCCAGTTCGGAGAACTGACTGACCAAACTGAGCATGCTCGCTTGAGTGTTTGTCGAGTTGGTAATGTTTGATGAACGTGCTCGGCTGGCTCCAAATACCCGCGGAGCAGATCTCCTCAATGGGCAAAGCCGCGGTGTACGCTTGTGACATAGCCACTGCTCTAACCGAATGAGCCTTCAGCCTGGTAGGCGTAGGTAGGCCTGTAAGCGTATACGCTGTACAAATGGTTGAAACTTTCCACCTCGAGATAGATTGTTTGCTCGCAGGTGAGCCAGCCTTCCTACCGCCTTAACAGCAAAATAGTTGGTTATCCTTACGGATACCCATAGTTCTGCTGATATAGGCGGACATCCAAGACATGAAAGAGCAGGTAGCTCAATAGGAGCTGTTCACGTGGAAGGCGTGTGCAACCTTAGGACGGTAAGAGTCCGGTAGTCGAATACTGACTGTCCCGGTGGAAGACAGTTATTTCAGGATCGGCTGACATAACATGAATGTCGCCTACCCATCTGCCGGACTTTACCGCCACAAGGTACGCCGTCTTCCAGCTCAACAGCTGAAGAGAGAGAGATGACAGATCCCGAAAGGAAGGAAGCCAATGAAGAACGATTGACAAGTCCAAAGGGGGACTGATCCGCCGGACTGGCGGTCGGATCCTGTCCACACCTGCTAAAAGCGCTGCACTAATGGGTGTGCACCCAGAAGTGCCCCGTCGACAGGGATGTGAAAAGCTGCGATAGCTGTAGAGTACCCTCGGAGTGTCGATGCGGCCAGGCCGTCATCTAGTCACGACTACGAGACCTGCAATCCCTCTATCGACACACCAGCGCGCATAGCAGGCCCATCTATCCTCTTACTGAACGTTTGTCGAATCCCTCCGCAAAGCCAGTATTGTGTCTGCAACTCGTGCAGGGATACCGCTCTTCTGGAGGCAATTCCTGACAGTGGCCAAGCCACCCATTGAATCCTGGGATTCGGGTGGAGGGCCCCGTTCTGGGATAGGAGGTCCAGTCGTAAAGGTAATATAACAGGAGGCTGAGCCAGAAACCTGAGTATTACTGGAAACCAACTCTGCACCGACTAAAGAGGTGCCAGGAGAATAAGTAGTCGCGCAGGCTGAGTGGCTAGCTGAGACAGGACCTTGGAAATCAGAGGTACTGGGGCGAATGGGTCGAGGCTCCACTCATGAGGAGCGAGGATCCGGCGAGACAGAGCATCCGCACGGACGTTGTCAACCCTCGGGAGATAAACAGGTAGCACCCTGATATCGTGAGAGTCACACCATAGTAGGAACTGCCACGTCTCTTGTCGAAGCGATGGAAACGCTGTTCACCCTTGCTTCTGGATGTAAGTCATCACCGTTTGGTTGTCCATCTCTAGACGAACCACTTGGCCACGAAGCAGATCCAGGAAGCGTTGGAACACCAACCTGACCGCTCTCAGTTCTAGCATATTGATATGCAGTTTGATCTCCTGCTGGGACCATAGTCCCGAGGCAGTGTGATCGTTCAGAACGCCTCCCCAGCCGGAGAGTGACGCATCTTTCTGAACTGTGAGAGACGGAACGGGAGTGTCGAGGGGGAGCCCCCGGGACAGATTCCCGACCTCGGTCCACCACTGAAGGTGTGTAATGAGCCACTGCGGAGTCTCGAGATCCTCCGAGTTCGCCCAAAGTCGACGGAGTGCTTGTTGAATGGGACTCATTCTCAAGCGCGCCCGCCAGACCACATCCACTGTCGCCGCCATGTTGCCCAGTAACTGGAGCCATGTACGAGCAGTGTGACTTGCGGACATAAGGAACTTGCTATCTTGTGACAGAGATACAAGTCCGCTCACCGTGTTGAAATGCGCCCCTAGGAAGACTAGATTCTGAGTAGGGCTCAGATCTGACTTCTTGAGATTGACTATCCACCCTAGAGTGATCAGAATGTCTATCACTTCTTGTGTAGCTATCTGACTCAGGGATTGTGATAGAGCTCTTAGTAACCAGTCGACGAGGTACGGATGGCAGAACCGACCTTTCGACCTGGCCTCTTGGGCAGGAATCAACATCAGCTTGGTGAACACCCTCGGGGCCGTGGAGATCCCGAATGGTAGAACCCTGAACTGATTGATAACACCTACCGTCGAAAGAAAACCTCAGGTATTTCTTGAACTCGGGGTGTATGGGTACGTGGAGATAGGCGTCTTTTAGGTCTATTGACGTTAGCCATTCTCCTGTCTCCAAAGCTGAGATCACTGAACGCAGTGTCTCCACCCTGAAGGACGGTACCTCTATAAGTTTGTTCAACCTTCTCAGACGGAGAAATTCCGCCTTCTCTCGGGTAGCAAGCACCGTAGTGTGCTTTATCCCGGAGAAGGGGGGCGGATGATGTTTCCATCGAGGCAAATGGCCATCCCTTAGAGTGGACAGGGTCCAGGGATTGTGATGTAACTGTCTCCCATTCTTTCAGGAATAGAGCCAGTCGGCTGCCTACGGGGACATCCGGCTGTCGGCAGTTCGATAACTTGCGACTGTGGGTCCATCCTCAACAGGCTGCCTTGCCCCGGCCTCTCTTGCTCCTCCCGGCACCCTTACCTGAAGGAAGCGGCTGCTTCCAAGCAGGTGTGGACTTCTGACCCGGTGCGTCAGCGTAGGAGGAGTCAAGTGGAGAGGACCGCTTACGCGGTTTAACGCTTGGTACCTCCAACAAGGCCTTAGAGTCTTTGATGGAAGTATACAATTGAGCGGCCTCTTGGACCACCTGCTGAGCCCCAGGGAAGAGGGTGGCAACCATCTTATAAGGCAAAGCAAGGAGGTCTTGGCGTGTGGTAGTCGAGTATTCAGATACCGACATCAACAGCCTGCGCATGCCCATAACAGCGCACATCATCTGCGAGGCACAGCTACGAATAGCGTCCCGCGCAAGATGACTGTGAACTTCTGTTAGTTGCACGGCCAACTCCGAAGAGTCGACCGGCCCCTCTCCCGCTAACTCCCTCTGTACAGCCGACAGATACGCGGAGTGTACGGACACACGGAGCTGTTGGCATGCATTACGATATTGCTCCTCGAAGCATATGTAAGCAGCCTTCAACTCCGCAGCGCACGCGGGAAAGGGGGGCAACCGCCGGCCTTTAAAGGGATTTACACATTGTTCCCCTGTCGGGAATCGAACCCGGGTCTTCGCCGTGACGAGCGAACACTTTAACCACTAGGCTACCCGACCACCCCCCCCTGCTTGACCTTAGTCAAGTTGGGGGTCTCCGACTCTGGCATGGGTCCCGGTGCCGAGGTGCCGGGGGTTCAACGGAACCCACCTGGCTCTGGGCTGGGTATCCACTAGTGGAAGCCTCGGACTCGGAAGAGGCGTCTGGCTCCGCTAGGGAAAAATGTGCATCGGTAGTGCATGAGCCGGTGCCCGCCATCCCTCCGCTGGGGAGCGACCTCGTGCCGGAGCCGGAGCCGGAGCCGGAGCCCGGTCTCAGATCTTCCCCGAGGCCAAGTGGTCTGCCTCAACCAATGCCGGGCATAACACAAGGTCTCGAAGCCGCGTCCGGCGCCAACAACGGGGAAGGCTCAGCCCGTAGCTCCAGCCGGAGCCGAGACTTCACTTCCTCCATCATCGACACCATCTGCGACTTAAAACACATTAAAGTCTGCCAATGACGGTTCAGTGCATACTACAGGGACCCTTGAGCCTTCTCCCCCGGCCCCCGGAGAGGGAGCAGGGGAGACAGTCTCGGCAGCTTTTTTACCCTTTTTAGATGGTGGGGGGGAGAGAGAGAGAGGGGGGGGGTTTGATCTACCCCCGCCTTTAAGAGACCTTTAAAGTGGAGCAAGTCAACTTGTCTCTTTTTTGGGGCCCGGGGGGTAAAGGCAATGCCTATCCTCCGCTAGACATTTTAGGCAGCGTTCGTGACGGTCTTGGGGGGGGGAGAGAGAAGATGGTAGCAGAACAACCCGTATACAGTTTGAAGGTCTGTAAAAAAGACCGTAATTTCTGAGGTGGGCGGGAAGGGTATTAAAGTGATCAGTGCGATATAAAGATCGGAAAGATACATGCATAAATTGTTAAACTAGAAGCAAAGGCGTAATGTAGAATGCGATTTGTAACGCGATACTAATAGCCAATGTCGTAGTATAATTATAACACCAAAGGGGGGCGTGTTACGCGCGAAGGTGTAAAAACCCGTAAAAAAGGTAAGTGTAGTTTATAAATTAACACACCACCTTGGGTGAATGTAAAGGAAAAAATTGTAGACCAATGCTATATGATATAACAAAACCCCAAGCCGTTTTTCCAATGGCCTTGGTGTTACATGTATCAGCCAGTGGAACTACAATGGACGCCATTACGGCCATTTGAATTCAAAGGTACCGTCAACGTGGCGTATAATTACAACTCTATAACTTTACAATGCGAGGTAGTACGCCTTTGCAATGAAAGAAATGTACCATACATACAGTTTGGTCAGCCATGGTTCTTGTCGAACGATAGTTATTCTCTTATTTTGTCTTGTGTGAAAAATCAGCACGTCTGTCTCTTACAGATGACACAAGGAAAGTGGTTTGGGTGAGAGTTGCTCCCCCTGGCGTGGCGCGCCGTGGAGGGTGAGGCCCCGTAAGGGTGGTCGTATATCATACAAAAACGAAGTTTTTTGTGTGGTAACATTTTTTATTAAGGAAAATGGTTACAACTATGTCATGTAGATTTTCTTGAGCAAGGAAAATGCAAAAGGTGCCCCAAGAGGAGGATTTAATCTGAAGAGAATTAAAGTTTGGGGCCTGATGGTTACATTATAAACAGATTCCTGTCCATACAGTACCAGCCCCTGGGTTACCATGGTTACTAGGGCTGGGACGGGTAACTCAGACCCGGGTCGGGTGGGTACTGAGTAGGACCCGGGTACCCACAGGACTACCCGGACCCGTGGTTAGTACGTGATATATTGTCTAATGACTAAATTTATCTGGAACTCTATGGTTACACTACAAGTCATTAATGTTCGCTATTCTTTCTGACTATGCACCCATTCCTTCTAACTTTTCATATGGTTGAATAAACATATAATTTAAGTCAACTTCAGTGTATGCATGACCAGATTGACACATGTATCTAAATACGTTTTGCCAGCGCTATGCTCAAAACGTTCCTATTCGGACATTTTGAGACATCAAAAGACCTAGAGTGGGTAGGGTAATAGAGGGGCTGATACCCGGGTAGTAAATCTGGACTCGTCCCAGCCCTAATGGTTACATTATCAACAGATTCCTGTCCATACAGTACCAGCCACTGGGTTACCATGATTACATTATAAACAGATTCCTGTCTGTATAGTACCAGCACCTGGGTTACCATGGTTACATTATAAACATATTCCTGTCCATACAGTACCAGCCCCTGGGTTACCATGGTTACATCATAAACATATTCCTGCCAATACAGTACCAGCACCTGGGTTACCATGGTTACATTATCAACAGATTCCAGTCAGAAATCAGAGTCAACCAGTGGGCCATATAACAAGAGACCTTAAACAAACTGCACTTCGAAGTAAGTAAAGAAAAAAGTATTTCTCAGATTCTTAAATAAAATGGAATTAAGTTTTTACCGGTTTTCTAAGTTTTTTCCAGGGCCTTGATTGTACGAGTTGAACTGTCGGTTGTTGTAGTCTTCCTGACATGGATCCCATCCGTCAAGTTCAGCACCACCCCTGCAGCAGAAAATACCGAGTTGGTTCTTACAACACTACTTCAGGCTATTCTTGCTAAGTTATAAGACAAGATAGACTTTATTGTGATATGTATCGCAAGAAATTTTTTAAAATTGTGTTATGTATCACTATACAGACTTGTCAGTCATAGACACCAATAGTTTTTGTCCACTAGTCCTTATAATGATAACATATAGAAAAACCTTTAAAAGGCAAATTTCTACTAGTCCTTATGATACCTTAACCATTGGACACTTTTGCAAGGACTAAACTTGTTAAAGGACTAAAGTACTGTCGGAAATGCTAGAAAACTGCTTTTTGTCGGTTAAAAAGGGATATAATTTTTCACATACTGTTGTTATTGAAATATCAAATAACTACCGATCGCCCTACCTGTGGTTTGAAGTATTTCAGTCACCAGGAGTCCTATCGACAAGTTTACAGGAGACAAATTTGAACAATAACAGGAATTAACATTTATTTTAAGTCCAATGATGGCAGTCTGAAACGGACTATAGAAATATGCGCACGTGACTCCGTTACAATTATAACAAGCATGAAATACTCACATCCCCGACTAATATGACATGTCCAGTTGTGTGCAATGCATTAGCTCCTGTGAACTATGTTTTTTTTTAAATTCCAAACTATCAAAAGGCACCAGTTCACCACTAGATCTATCTATGTGCCAAGTTTGATGAAGAAATATGGTACAGTTGTTAAGATCTGCTCCGGAAACAAGGACTACCGCCATTTTCAGTCTAAATCAAATTCGTTGCCATGGAAACACAAAAAATTTTTTTTTTTAAAATCCCAAACTATCAAAAGGCGCCAGTTCACCACTAGATCTATTTAGGTGCCAATTTTAGTGAAGACATATGGTACGGTTTTCAAGATCTGCTCCGGAAACGAGGACTACCGCCATTTTCAGTCTAAATCAAAGTCGTTGCCATGGAAACTCAAAAAATAAAAAAATAAAAAAATCCCAAACTATCAAAAGGCACCAGTTCACCACTAGATCTATCTATGTGCCAAGTTTGGTGAAGAAATATGGTACGGTTTTCAAGATCTGCTCCGGAAAAGAGGACTACCGCCATTTTCAGTCTAAATCAAAGTCGGTTCAATGGAAATTCAACAAAAAATTTTTTTTGTAAATCCCAAACTAACAAAAGGCACCAGTTCACCACTAGACCTATCTATGTGCTATATGAAGAAATATAATATGGCTATGGTGTTTCAATTCATACCATCAAGTCTACGGTATGATAAGTAAACAGAAAAAGGTATAGGGGTTGTCTCAAAAACAAAACTGGGGCGTAAAAGGATATTAGACAGCTTTGATGCAGGGTGATTAGGCGTATAGTGTACAAGCTTTATGAGCAGAAGGTAACCCTGACTTGTAGTATATTTTGGGAGGAATTAAAGATACAATCAATGTTTTCCTGACTTCACTATTGCTCTCCAAGAGATGGGATTTCGATACTCTGCGCATGGCGATAACCGAGCACTTTTCAGGGGAAAATAGTCCATCCTGTCTATGGGGTCACATTATCTCTGAACCATTCATAACTATCACAGTCAGGGCGTCCAGATAATTACCCCGGTGAATCATTCCACTGACTACATGTGGCTATTAGCAGATGGACAAAAAGCACCCATGGTGCCATCAGGTAAAGGGAATCGTGTCATTGTTTTGAACACTGCAACCCATGACATGGGGCTTATTGATGGATGTTTTCGAGACGAAAAAGAAACTGGTGATTTTCATAAGGAAATTATAGGAGGTGATGTGTTCATAGACTGGTTTGAACTTCAGCTATTGCCCATTTTAAACAACGTCGGTGTGATTGTCATAGATAATGCCAGTTAATATAACGTCCGGGATTCAGATACTGTCGCCCAAACCATGAGTAGTCTGAAGGCGACCATACAGGAATATATGACATTGGTCGACTTTAGACCATATAAAACGAAAGTTCAACTCATGGAGAAAATTAGGCTGAATAAGAAACCAGTAAAGTACAAGATGTATGTGCTGGTGGCACAACACGGTTACGTTGTCTTACCTACGGCAGTCAGACATTGTGAGCTCAACCCTGTTGTGTCTATCTTGGCTAAATGTACAGGGTTCGTGGCAAGACATAACACAACATTCAAAAGTACAGATTCATATACGTCATCAGCGTAGATAAATGCTACCTCAAGAAGCCAACTGTAGAACAACAAATACTTCTGGATTCCAAAACCACAACCTTCCAATACTCATCCCGTTTCATAGCTCTTAACTAGTCCATCATGTTTCCCAGCAAATATAATGCAGTACATATCCTAAATTGCTACCTCATCAACGCATGTTAATTAAGTACAATAACAGCAATATTTTGAGACCACCCCCAACTCGGCGACATTTGCACCTGTATATATATATATATATATATATATATAAAATAAAAATAATAGTGGTCAAGGGGGAAAACTGTCATGTTTGACTGGTTACTACTTACTAATGCTGGCTGTCTTCTTACTGAGACAGGGACATGAAAGAACTGAACCGTGAAATGCAGTATCTGTTCTTTAATGCCCCACTCAGCAGCATTCCAGCTACACAAGGGTGTATGTAATCAAGTCTGGACCAGATACCAGTGATATACTGAGCTGTCCAGTACAATGACATGCCATCAAGCAAATCACCGAGTCTGACTACCTCACATGTCACCTTGCAAGACAAGCCTAGGTTGCTGGGCGCACATTTAGCCTGTAATCCCCACAAGGGGCAAGTTAGTGCAGAAATCAGACACAAAATGGTTTGTTTCGACAGGAATCATTAGCTGCAGGCCGCCAAGATATATGCTGCAGCTGCCAACTATGGCATAAAACAATTCTCCTTACCCCATGAAAATCCTCTCCCTTTGCCCGTAAGCCATCATCTTCTGCAATGACAAATATATACTGGTATTAAGCATGCTTAACACAATGGGACAAATGTTCACTTCACAATTTCATTTTTTGAAACATACTACTCAACATGCTCAAATGAAATCATGGCATGACATATTGACTATGGTAATAAGAAAGCATAGGGTGGTCCTTTATCTTCTTCTGAGGAGTATGTGTCAGTTGTCACATACGACATACAGCTTCTGTCCAATCACAAGTCACTTGGAATTTATACATCTCTTTGGGTGAGGGGTAAGTCTCATAAGAACTGGTTGTGAATAAAGTGACTTTATTGTTCATTAATCCGAGATGCAATGAACATATTTACAAACTCATAAGCTGAGCTCCAGATAACTTTTTGAGCAATTGAGTTTTTACTCGAAGGTTTCTATTTTAATTGGGTTATTACATTTTTCATTGGGTAACCAATATTTTTTCCCCTCATCTATTCATCACTCTATTGGGTTTTTCCCAAAATGTGTAAGCCAAAAAAATGAAATATTGTTTTAGATGTTATATGAAGGTTCTAAATATAGGCTTGACACAGAAAGTTAATTAGCTCGTAATTGTGTTTCGGAAATTAGCTCCGTTGTACGCATGCTGAAAAAGATTTATTGGGTGTTTACGTGTGCTGTTTTCAAACAATTGAGTTTTCCATTTAATGCATGCGTTTCTGTACGCAAGTTAATTGAAAGTTATTGAGTTTTGAATAGTTTTGGTGGGTATTTTACGCAAATATGCAGCTCATCTGAAGGAAACATTTGAGTTGAAATGTGACAGTCACAAGTTACATAACTGACACATGAATGTTTCGCATGGCATCTTTCTCAGATATTACGTATTGCAGCAACAACATCCAATGTCCTATATTTAGCATCAATGGAATTGTCCTAAAATTTGAATATAGCTTTGTCACGCTGAATTAAGACTCCCCATGATTTAAACAAAGCTGACATGAAGTATGTCTTTTTAATCATTATGCTGACAATTACGTGCAGTCGCGAAGCCAGGATCATCGAAAATTTCGACCTTCCTTCAGCATGGTTACTGTCAGGTGCACCATGGGAAACATTCTGTGTATCCCAAACAATTTGTGGTCGGCGATTCAGCGATACCAACGTCATTTGAAGCAGAAACATGTTTGGCATTATCAGAACTGACTGCTATATTTGAAAAAAAATGTAAGTTCGATTCTGACTGGACCACTTGTGACTTTCAGCCAATGAAAGGTGTTGACAGTATTTGCTTGTTTGTTTGTTGTTTAACGCCGCACTCAACAATATTCCAGCTTAATAACTTTGTAATTAAATAATCGAGTTTGGACTAGACAATTCCAGAGCTCCAGATAAGCTTTTGGTGTTGTGGGTATTTTACCCATGCATTTTAAAATCATTGGGTATCAGTAATTCTATCTGGGTATTCAAATTTCTGTTACCCACTAGTTTTTACACATGTGGGTATTTAAGCTAAATATTTAAAAACACTATTCATCTAGTACCTGCAAACTGGTGTCGTGTGGGTTCATGAGCTTTATAGGACTCAAAAATACTGCGATACTTCCACAAGAAAGTGTGAAGGTAAATGGTCATGATGTAACTGTCATCGTGGAGTTTGGCAAGGTTGACGGAATGTCCGTATATAATTTCAAAATAAGTTGCTGATTTGCTAATCAAATACGCAGGGTTACTTCACAATATTTTGATGATACACACAAGTTTTATTTCTGCAGCGTATCTGTAATGTTCGTTGCATATTTGATACACTTGAATTTTATTTCACTGCGTATTTCTGCATTTCTGATGCGTATTTTACGCAGATACACAGCTTATCTGGAGCTATGCAATCCAGTGATTGACATAATGAGCATCGATCTACTCAATTGGGTTACGATGACATTCATCAACCAAGTCAGCCTGCCTGACAACCCGATCCAGTTAATTGCCTTTTACAACAAGCAAAGTCGCCTCCCACAGCATGCATGGGTTGCTGAAGATCTATTCTAACCTGGATTTTCATGGGTCCGCTGATAGTAAACAATGACACACATAAGGCAACAAAATTCGGATGTTTACCATGTTTACATTCAATAATCGCGAAGCAGCTTTCCAAGTGATGTTAAATATTTTTGAGACAGTAAGTAACTCCAATAATTACACAAGAAATACCAATCTACATGTATGCACCCAATGTTCCACTGAGTGTAAGGTGAGGTGAAGTGAAATTGGGTTTAACGGGTTTAATTGGCATTCATCGTATCGCGGCATTTGTGATTTCCGGTGGTTCACGCGGGACACGCCTCTTAGCGGCTGTCTATTAATGCAAATCAGTAACCAGGAAGTGCTCACTTCGTAAACAATTTCAATTTCCTCGGAATGTTCCGTCTGCTGTAAGTAAGGAGTTATTAATCCGTTGATACATATTTCTGGCATCTGTTGTAATATTGCCTTACCCCCATCTATCAATGGCCAACGATATAACCCGCAGTTCCCCAAGTAAACTTTCTCTATCGACCTAACTAGTTCATCTGCATATTCATGGCGACTAATGAGGTAACGGAAGTTAGGTAGTCCGCACATTTTTTCCCGCTCTGTGCCCAGAATCTATTGGGAGATGATAAGGGCCATAATGCCAAACTTAGAAATACGTCCTTCACTAGTAACCAAAAGATAAATACATACTTTGGGCATACTAGGAGTGCTTTTTATATATTTATTGTTGACTTTTAACATTTTTCCATTTTGTGACGAATTATTGACATCCAATTTTTTTTAAACAATCTTAAAATATCATTTCTGATATTTTGTTGTTGACTTATAAAAATATTTTTCTCTTACTTTTCGGTAAAAATGCATTGAATACCTATTGCTGATAACACATTTAGAATTTTACTTGTGCTGTCTTTGCACTTGTCTGGACAAATCACTGATGTCTGGCATGATCATACCAAGTGGTTGGTAGAATTATGTCCTCTTTTTGTCCAATTCGGACCTCCATACACAACTTTTCTCTGTACCGCGATACGATGGAGTTCTCTCCCTTGTCAAACTGAGCGCGAGGCCGCCTTTTACTCGGAGCTACTAATGTAAATAATGAACTTTTATCAGTAAAATATGCATTGTTAGATCAAATAAATGACATCTGATATAGAGAACACAAATAATCATAAAGGTTAGTGAGTGCATTTTGTTCCGTTCAGCATACATGACAAGTACCGTGATATCCCGAGGTTGCAGGCTACTTGTTTTAGCCCCTTAATGCTGCGTGCTAGACAGGGTAACAACAAGTACCATCTTTAAATGTCTTTTGGTATGACGTGGCCGGGGATCGAACACTGGACCTTGAATTGCAAAAGAACTCAAAACTGGGAATAGTCTATTAAATGTCAATATGTCTGAGTGGCGTAGGAGCTCGCACTTGTCCTGCAACGCGAGTGGAGTAAGACCACAAACTGTTATCCCGACTGATACTGTCCATGAGAAGGCATTGTGTGGCATGCATTGCAACCAGTACTGACTGTGTCTTTGGACCCCTTGTGTGTTCTATTTCCTCTACATTAAAACTCTGTATCCTTTCCAATGACACTTGTCATTACTAATGTGGAACTAAGTTATCTGAGTGTGATTGTAGTGCACAGCCAACACCATATAAAATTTGATTTAAGTGTCAATGTCACTTTTTACTCTGGTGCGTTTACAGTGCGTTTCAGTGTATCACGTAACTAACCACAGGTCCGCGTAGTACTGTAGATCTAGTTACCCAGATCCTGGGTACCAGAGTTACCCGTCACGGCCCAAGCTCATGTACTCGATAAATGCAAAACACATCGAAGTCAATTATTCGATATCCACTCAGTGTCTGGCCATATGTTATTATGAACGTTTCAAATCACTGTCGACAGTTGTCATGAAATCATGGTAGCCTATTCCAGGATTTAAATAACCTCGTGCTTCGGCTCCCGCCATCTTGCAGATGTCCCAGACGAGGACTGTCTCAATGTGCTGGAGATATTTTCACTCAAACTATCTTCAAAACTAAATTATAAAGATATGGCAACGATGCCATAAAACTAACCGTTATTTGCCTTTTACCTGTCAGGTACCTCGACAAGGCATTTACTGTCTTAGTTTCCTTATTTTCTCGATTGACATTATTTTCATAACTTTTCCCCCATTTTCGTTTTTCCACATGCCCGACGATACAGCAGTTATTTCCCTTTGGGTGTGAGTGAAATCGTGACCGCATGGCATAGATTTTTCAGGTTTGTTCAGGTGGAGTAGGTTTTAACAGAAAACGTTGTTACGATGTTTGGAGTCTTTTATTGAGATTCTAGGGCAATTATTTGGTTAAGACTTTAAAAGTATGTATAATGAGAAAAAGATATTTTCTTCACGGCGAAGTCATGTGATCTGTTTGACGTTTCGCCATTTTGGATATGTTGGCAGCTTCCGTTTCAAGATGTCGAGTTTCCACAAGGAAATCTGACAAGTTTTTGTCCTAATACTACCTATTGTACTTCTAGGTTGATTCCAAATACACAGGTATAGTGTGAACATTGCCTGATCTTTGTTGTTTGGTTTAATGAGAAAAAAACGCCTTTTACATTATGAAATGAAAATGTTTATCAATAAATCGAATATAGTCTTCACGAGTTCGGTCCCTTGAATGAGCTGTCAGCGACCGTGTCATTTGCTTGTTTACTTCCTAAGAATTGACAAAACTTTTTAAATATTACAACCGAAGAGGATATTTGCACTCATTAGCTCTGTATACAATGTTGGCTTTACATTATTGTTAGACTGCAAGCTGTCCGATACTGATAAGCAATTTACAGTAAAACAATATTAGTCAAGTTAGTTGCTTTTCGGGCCAGGTTTTCTAGTCTGTCTCACAGTCCCTGAACCACACTACTCTCCCTGTCGTTCAGCCCTTACTCTAATGGTATGGTCATAAATGAAGCAAGTCTATATTTTCCACATGTTAAAAATCTCCCATCTCATTGGGGCTCCATTATAATTGCTTGTTTCTGGCAAAATAATATTTTCTTCAGAGACTAGACATTAGTCTTTGGGTTTTCTTGGATGGGCATTTCTGGTGCATATTTTTTTATCTGTATGCTGTAGTAAGTGGCATGAGTAGAATTGAAACATTGTCTATCATTTATGCAGAACTGTAAATTGTAATTACCATAGGATGTACAGTAATTGTTAGATACAGGTCATAATCCTAAGCCGACAAGTATCCACAAGTTATCAGTTTTTGTGCATGTAAGAACTGGTGCTTGGATGAAATACAATGTTAACACATCATTTCAAAATGTTCATATTATGCATGAACCCTGGAGGATATATTGTTTCAATTCCTATTTGCACCTCATAGCAACAGTAGCAGCTGACATACAAATAGCGGCTTAGGAATTATGTAAAACTGGTAAAAGTGAGCCAATATATTCTAATTGTGATAAGACCACCTCCGTGGCATAGTAGTAGAGCATCCATCAGGAGAGCGGAAGTTTGGGGTTCAATCCCTGACTGCGCCATACCAAAAGACGTTAAAATATGATACTTGTTGTTACCCTACCTGACGCTTGGCATCATATGGGCTAAAACAAGGAGTGGTCGCTTCAGAGTCAGTATACTCTGGACATGTGAAGATCAGGGTAAGAATAGGTCTTCAGCAACCCATGCTTGCCGTAAAAGGCGACTATGCTTGTCGAAAGAGGCGACTAACAGGATTGGGTGGTCATGCTCACTGACTTGGTTGATGCATGTCATCGATCTCAATTACGTGGATCGATGCTCATCATATTAATCACTGGATTGTCTGGTCCAGACTCGATTATTTACAGACCGCCGTCATGTAGCTGGAATATTGCTGAGTGCGGGGTTAAACAGCAAACAAACAAAAACAGTATGCTGTCTGAGTGGGGTATTCATGTTAAACTGCGGCATGGTATCTCAGTGGGCTTGCACCATAAAAAACGGTATTAGTCTGGACTAGTACCAGCAGCCACACACACATGCCTGCCTGTAGCTATGAAATTGCAATAATCTTGGCCGCGACGTTAAACCCCATTTCACCTCACCTCACCTAATTGTGATAACTACGTGTGAATATTTTCTCCGGCACCCTCAAAATAACAGAAAAACCAGCAGTATTAGTGGGGTGGATGGCATAGCTTAGTAGTTAAAGTGTTCACTGCTTTGGCTGGCCCAGACCTGATTATGTACCATGGTTACATGCTACTGTGATATAGACCAAATATTGCTGACTGTGGCGTTAAACAACATTCGCTTGTTCACTGTTAGAATGAAATATAAACTATTAAATTGTGGATTCATGTGAAGTGACATATGACTTTTTTCTATTTTTAAATAGGATCATAATTGTAAAATTCATATTTTGAGCTGATAGTTTTTTCATGTTTTGTGCTGCCAGTGAAGTCAAATTTTGTCAGATTATGTCTGGTGTCAGCCTATAAGTGAAGGTCAGGTTTCATTGCATGTGAAACCACAAGCTGTTACAAGCCATAGCGAGGTAATTTGTGCAATGAAGGCATGGATTACCTGTTAAACACTGCACATGCTGGCAATCTCTTGAGAGAAGTTCATTAATATGTATTTCAGTATGTGAATTGTAAGTTGATACAGCATGGGACATACAAAGTCAATCAATATGGACTTTGCGTTCATTCTAGTTACCATGGCAACATTTGGCAAATATGGAAGTATGTCCTAAAAGGACCCTTGAAATTAATAATGGTGATCCCCTGGACCCCTAGTTTTGTAGGTCAAGATCAACCCCTGTTGATTTGTGAGGGTTTTGTAGTTGCAAAGTGCTACATGGCTGTTTGTGTGTTATAATACATAGTTGCTCGCTTCCTAATCTGCTGGCTTGCCTGGCCCAGAACTAGCCATAATTTTGCTGGAGTGAGTGAGTGAGTGAGTTGTATGGCGCTTTAACAGTATTCCAGTTATATCATGGCGTGTCAGCTTAATGTGGGAGGAAAGCCCGAAGTGATGCAGGTCTTAGATGTTTACCTCTTTGGTGAAACCCATGAGCACGGGTATGGTGCTGACAAACCTAGAAACATAATTGGGGCGAACCAGGATTCGACCCTCACTCATAGGTTTCTGGCGTGCCCAAGGGACGCAACTCTGCACAGCGAATTGCGGCGCCTAAGACGGCTGAGCCACCAGTGCCCCTTGGTCTTGCTGGAATTTTGTTGAAGTATTGCTGTGTGAGATGTTTCATTCATTGACCTTGTAGATCTGTTATGTGCATGATGTCTATTGATTCATAATTGTTGACAATTTGAATCAAAGAATCCTAATTGTGAAATGTTTTCATTTTAGAAAACTTTTGATGAGTTCTCATATTCGGCATGAGTGAGGGGCATCAGGAGAGTGGAGATATTGTGGAAAACCCTGAACCTGAAGCCGATGCTGAACTTCCTGTGATAGGCGGCGCAGTGGAAGATGATAGGGAGGTATTTCAGGCAGATGTGGCCGACCAACCAGAAGATGACGGTGAGGTAGCTCGGGCAGATGTGACTGACCAACCAGAAGATGATGGGCAGGTTGCTCGGGCAGATGTGACTGACCAACCAGAAGATGATGGGCAGGTTGCTCGGGCAGATGTGACTGACCGACCAGAAGATGATGGGCAGGTTGCTCGGGCAGATGTGACTGACCAACCAGAAGATGATGGGCAGGTTGCTCGGGCAGATGTGACTGACCGACCAGAAGATGACGGTGAGGGAGCTCGGGCAGATGTGACTGACCAACCAGAAGATGATGTTGAGGTAGCTCGGGCAGATGTGACTGACCGACCAGAAGATGACGGTGAGGTAGCTCGGGCAGATGTGACTGACCGACCAGAAGATGACGGTGAGGTAGCTCGGGCAGATGTGACTGACCGACCAGAAGCTCAGGCAGATGTGACTGACCAACCAGAAGATGAATGTGTGGGAGCAGAGCTGGAAGCTTCAGAGAGTGAACGACACACAAATGGATTTGATGATATTGTCGAAGACTTGTTGGATGTAGAGGGAGAGGCTTCGGAAAGTGAAAGACATTCGAATGAAAGTAATGACATAGTCGAGGAGGACCAATCACTCAGTGTTGAAGGAGATGCCTCAGAGAGTGAGAGACATGCTGATGGCAGTAATGACGTTGTCGAAGAGTTGTTGGATGTAGAAGAAGAGGCTTCAGAGAGTGAAAGGCATTCTAATGAAAATAATGACATTGTTAAAGAGTCAATGGATGTGGAAGGTGATGCTTCAGAGAGTGAAAGACATGAAAATAATGAACACTCCCTGCATGTCGAGGGGGAAGAGGCCGAGGGAGTCTTCCCCGTGCAGATTGGTTCTGTTGCTGCCCCTGAACATGAACAGGCAAGAGTGACCTCCCCTGAATGTAGTCGATCAAGGGAGACCACTCCAAAACATAATGGTGCAGATCCATCTGCAAAATGTGGTGTGGCTGGCCAAAAACCTATTTTTGTAGATGCGTCATTTTCTCAGGCAGACCAGTTGTGTTCTTCTGGGTCCAATTTCTCTGTTGCAAGTGGCCATGATTATTCCGAGGAAGATGAGGTATCACAAGATGCTGTGACCATGAACTGTGATGGTGGCTCACACAGTGCAGAAAACAGTGTTAAGGTTGTGAATGAAGGGTCAGATCGAGAACGTGCAGATCAGTGTCCAATACAAGCAGCTGCTCCAGAGGATGGAGATGCTAGTCAGCTTGTAGAAGATCCTCAAGCTCCTGAGTGTGATCGGAACTTTGCACTTGGACTCGACTCTGGAACCGAGCACAATTCAAACGAAGACCATCCATCATGTGAGCCCCCCATATCTTTGGAAGGAGCTGTAGGACGTTCTATGTCAGACGTTTCAGGTGGTTCAAATGTGGAGCTGAAACTGCCCTCTCCTTCAAAATGTCCTGACAGTTCAAACTTGCCATCATCGGATGTTACAGGAGTAGGTGCTCAGTCGGGTCAAGTTAATGGAAACCCAGACAATGTGGAGTGTGGTACAGAGATAGGTGTGGAACTCTCAGAAGAATATTCTGACGTTGAGTATAGCAAACAACAGCAAAGTGTCTCTGCTGTTTCATCTACGGCAAACCAGAAAGAGACACAAAAAGACATATCTACTCCTCTGTGTTCTGTTCAGTCAAATTCCCCATCTCAAGCTAAAGCTAGTCCCGGTGGTTCTCTACCATCACATCTCGGTCACCCAAGTCCGGAACAGTCTCGTGTATCAGGGGTGGACTCGGGTGATGTAGAGGATGACCTCCTGTCAGAACTCGATGCAGCATTGCATTCACACACCGATGTGTCCCAGCTAGAACCTATTGTAGAGAGGGCCACAGACTCTGCGATGGAACCGTGGATGGAAGGTGAGCAGCTGAGTGGCAGTGATTCCCTTCCTAATGGATTCAGTGTGGCCGAATTGTGTGACTCTCCTCAGGTCAAGGCGATCTATGAGCAACTGATGCGAATGCAGAAACAAGTGGAGGACAGTCAGACAAAACTTAGCAGGTACGTAACCCAGTGATTTTGCTGGAGCCAAATGGCAACGTGGCATTTCCATTAGATCATCAACTTTGATATGACATTCGTCAGTCGCATTACCAAATATGGAAAACAAATCTTAAGACATTTTGGATGAGAATCAGTCAATGTTCTAGAAAATGAACCGATCTGAAACCATGGTAACCAGTGAAGCTGCGGGATTGTTGTTGTCCTAAACCATGTAAACACATGCTAAATAATCTCCTTGAAATAATGCCTTGCCTCCATACCTGAACACCTTGAAATAAATACATATAATTTTAATAATGCATAACATCATAGCTGGGCACCCTGAATGTGCTGACAGGACCCGGGTCAAGCCAGTTCCAAGTCCTCTGCTGCTTGTCATAAGACTAAGAGGCGACTCCATTGGATTGGATGGTTGGCAATTGCCATGTTCTGTGACTTGGTTCATCACATTGCGGGCAGTGGGGTAGCCTGATGGTAAAAGCATTTGCTCATCACGCCAAAGACCCGGGTTCAATTCCCGGTTACAATGTGTGAAGTCCATTACAGTCTGCCACCCCCTGTGATTTTGCTGGAATATTGATAAAAGTGGCGTAAGACAATACTCACTCTAAGTGGTGGCGAAAATTTTTACAATAGTCCTTGACCCCCATTCCACAGAACTGCAGAACACTAAGACGGCATGACTCCGATGCAATGTACATGATATATACTTTTGACACAGATTTAATCTTGTTGACTGACAACCTGCATGTCACATGTTTAAAGGGGCACTGATCTAACCCAATTCCCCGGGTCTGGTTGTTGCCTTTGTTATTGTTTTTTCCCAGTGAATACCCGGATGTATAGCAGAAATCTAGACTAGTTCGCTACCTCTGCTGCGCCATTCGTAAGCGCATTAGTCACTTTTATGGGTAGTAATAAGAGCGTATGGTCACATTGATCAACAAAATGAAATACAGTTTTCGAGATAATAAGGAAATGTAGGTATCTTTGTGATTAGCATCGGTAATGGTGACGAAGTTTTGATAAGTCATTTGCTTGGTAATTTTGCGATTTTCGTTTACACTATTTTGACTTGCAACACAAAGTATATATTTCACCTGAGCATATGCTTTTTTTATAGTGTGTATATTTTTTTACTGTCAAATGTGTAACAAATTTCTATTATTATGACAACGAATTCCAAACATTTTGATGTTTAATGTCATCACCAAGAGACTGAAAATGTAACGTTGAAAAGTACATTTCTAAGTTGTTTGGCTTTTAATCCTACATAATAATCTGTTGTGATGTTTGTAGGCCCTTTTGATCGTCTTGATCAATCTGGACAGATTTTTTAGTCAAAATGACTGAAATATTTACACATTTTATAAATTGCCTGAGAGAATCACATTTTACAAATTGACGGCAATATATACACGCTTACAAAGGAAAAGACCTGTGACAACAACGTCTATCGCGCATTGAAGAATTTCCCAACCAAGACGTAGCGAAACAAGAACGAATCGGTTCAAATGAAGGAAAACAAAATGCAGATATCATAATTACAACCTACGAAATTTATGTGTATAAGTTTTAGGCAGCTTCCTTGTTCGAGGAATGTATCCGTGAATATCCACACAAAGGAACAATATCCCACTCGTCTGCAGCTGTACAAAGAAACTTATTCGATGTCACGTGTCTTAGTAACAATCAAATATCTTAAAAGATATATATCGTTTCGGGATATTATAACCCGTGTTCGTTTCTCAACTGATCGCTTGGATTGTTTCAGGTGTTTTACATAGGTGTCAAGTCTCAATGGTCGGCTGAGAAAGCCCACGTGACAACTATTTTCATAGCGTCCACGGTTCCTAAAAATTCCATTAAGTGATAGATAACAATGATCAATCAATCAACGTATTATCAGTTAACCCTTTGAACAAAGTATGTTGTTTTTACATCGGCACTTCGCGCCATGATATGAGTGTATTCCCTTTGTTTTAGTAAAGCTAGACATGTAAACACTCACTCTTGACATATCCACTGTGCAAGATAACAGTGATTAATCAATCAACGTATTTTCTGTTAATCCTTTGATGACTAGGAACGATCCGTTGATTTACAAAAAAAGTAAATCAACTGATACCTCATCTCTTGCAAGGCTGCCACGTGCATATTACATAACACACATTTCACCTCACTTCAAACCTGGAAATAGATTGAATAATTACCCCAGACACAATAAATGCCAAATGGGAATCTTTGTCAGGTAATATAAGTGGTGCTACCACTAATTGTACCTGTAATAAATTCATTAACTAAGCATCAAGTGAATGACGACAAATACACAAGTGTAGGGTTATACGAGAAAACGTGGATGACAACAAGGGAGTAGTAATCGTATTATCGACGCAAGCCGAAATCCGAAAATGCTTTCACTGCATGGATACTGTTTTTAGTATTAAACTATAACCATCTGGGGTATTTCCAAATGACGACATCCGATGAGCTCCCATGTTCTTTTTGTCTGTTCGTTTAGGCTGAAGAAATGAATTAACATGCGCCCTTTGTCGAAATCTTTAAAGATCACAGTTAACCAATCAGTGTTAAAAAATGTGTAAAACAAATATTGCCTCCAGCCTCCAAGTTTATTTAGCTGTCCTTGCAGACGGTTCCCCAGTCTCTGGTCACGCTCAGTTGCGTTGCGTATCATCCGGGTACTCACGGGGGAAAAACAATAACAAAGGCAACAACCAGTCCGTTAGATCAGTGCCCCTTTAAGCAACTTTTGACACCTGAAGACTGAGTAATGGCGTTTTGAGTAAGGACACTTTGATCATGTCGATAAAAAAACATGACATTTTTTTTAACATACTGAAACATAAGGAAGAGAATAGATGGATGTCAACTTCTTGATTATAAGGTACACAACGTTTTGGGGTATATACTTACTCTTCCATCAGGTCTATGATTCCCATGAGGCAGAGAGCATATATATGTACATGTAAGGACATCAAAATTGATAAGCTAACAAAGGGTAGGATCTAACAAGGGAAACCAACAGATGATTGGCACTAATAGGTGATTATCAAAAGACATTGGAAGCCAACGCTTTACAGTAATTGGGGCTTATGGTATGGAAGCCAGTACTTAAGTTATCATAGATAAGTAATCATGGTTATAGGTATGGGACACTGGGCAAACAGGAGGCATGGGGTAATTAGCACTGGTAGGTGAAAGAATGGACATAGCAAAGAGCAAATTGAAGCCAGCTAGGTAATAAGCACCGGCAGAGATCAACACAGATCAAAGCAATATGTCCCAAGCACTAGGCAGATATGTTTCCTGGTGTCTCCTGACGTCAATGGCTTCTTGTAGTTTTCCTTGTTGCCAGTTTTCTTTGTCTTTGAAACATTTTAAATCTTTAACACTGTTTTATGTATTAAACAATGTTGAAGTTATCTTGCGACAGTTATGAATCAAAAAGGGTGGTTACTGCTTTCCACTATTAGAAAAAAAATTCTGTGAAAAATATTTGTGAAACATGACTGACTTCTTAAAACATTCTATGTGTTCCAAACATTGCTAATGAAATGTATCCTGTTTATTCGGTCACTACACAAGTCCACAGAAGTGAGCTGGTATGCGTGTTGGTGCATGATAGGTAAATGAATTCAACGGTTGTGCTTCAACCTTTATGTTTTATCAAGAGCCCTGACAGTATTGATTTGGCTGTCTGATCAATGAGCAGTGCAAACACACTGATTGTTGTGATGAAATACTGCAAAAACACCAACATGGAGGGTGGCAGATATTGATGTTGACACAAATGTTACCATAGCCCAGCGGGATATCTGGCACCATGTGTATTCAGACTGGCGAGTTGCACAGATTTATGTCATAATGCCTGTAACTGTAGCATGGTCATGCTTATGTGTATCACATCTAAATGACTTTCCAAGACAAAATTTCACCCATTCTCGATGTACGCTTGTTTTAATTGGACACTACTCGTGAATAATGTAATTTCAATGAGAAAACATTTTTCATGTTTATGGGGGATGATGTCGTGTGAGATAGTTAATTCAAGGAGAGATATGTGTCAATCATATATGCCATTTTGTAATGTTGTGTAGAACAGCATCTTTATTTGCTCATAAATCACTACAGATTGAGGCAAATGGAAGCCAAGATTTTATCGTGAAAAGGCATTTCAGGGGTGAGGAGTTCTAAAATTTTCAGGGCCCTGCTAGGTGGCTACGTGATCTCAGGTTCGGACACTTCTTGGCCTCCACCATTTAGATGTAGGCCAGTTGGTTTGGAGAAGGGCAAGTAACTTTTAGAAGGAGCAAGACCTACTGGCTTCATTCATATTTGTTGTTAAACTTAAATCAACCCCTGTTAGGGTGTTGGGGTGGTTAAAGTGTGGACTCATGCTACTGCATTAGGGTGTTGGGTTTAAAGTGGTTAATGTTTTGTCTCACCAAAACATCATTATTTACAGACGTCTGTAGTTTGGTAATGTTGCTCAAATATTGTGGCATAAAACAACATTTTCTCACTCAGGTGGTTCTTAGACCTGTCTGTCTTTGTTTCAATCTTGGTCATGCTGTCAACCACTGGGGTGACCATGGTGACTAGCTCAGACTCTCACAGATGTGAGATAGCTGGAATATTGCTATCTTTTGTGTTAATTTGATTTTCACTCACTCTTTAGTGATCATGGTGATAGGATAAAAAAGAATGTTTGGCACAATTTAATTGAGGTTGCAAATGCAACAGATGTTTCCTTAACAATAACATATGTAACTTTTTAGGCAAGATAAACATGTGTAAAATAAACACAAACAGGATAGGGAGAATGTGTTCATGCAAAGATAATATGTTCATATGCATTTCATAATTTAGGTCACTTCATTGGGGAATACGAGTGCAGCATGTTCGGAAATGTTTAACATAAAGCATGATCAAATGTCTGGTGATTCAATGATTGTCCATCATACGTGTCAAGACAAGAAGCTCAAGGGAAATAGAAACCTGGAGTATAGCAGACATGACATCAATCAGTGTAAACAAGGGTACGGTTAATAACATGGGTTATCTGGGTTTCACTTTACAAAGTCATGTGACTTCTTTGATAGGCATTTAGAAGTTGAGTACTAAGTAAGGATAAGAATTTATGGATAAATGGATTAACCATTGAAAGGAATAAAAAAAATGTCAACCAAAAAAAGGGTGGATTAACCTGATTGACAAGTATTTGACAAATTTTAAGTTCAGTGAAGATATTGTCAAAGTGACAAATGCTATCTTACTGACCCAAGTACATGCAATAAAGAAGCAAAGAGACTGTTGGAATCAATAGCTTCGTCATGTACATATGGAGTGTACCTGATGGTAACAGATATATAGGGTGTGAGGGTATATTTGACTTGCAGCTGACAAGACTGCACACAGACTGCACACAGACTGCACACAGACTGAGCCATGTGTAAGGGAGCAATGAAGAATGCTGTCGCAGGTTGCACTGTTACCATGGTTACACGTTTTTTTGTAGATAAGTTGTGTTACAGTTTACTGTCGTGTTGTAGGTTAACCGTGGTTACAGTCTCATAGATTACACTGGTGATACCGTTTACGTTGTTACCATGGTTACATTGTCATGTTGTATATTGCAATGTTACCATGGTTATAGTTTCATAGATTACACTGGTGATATGTTTACATTGTTAACATGGTTACACTGTCATGTTGTAGACTACACTGTTACCATGGTTACACTGTCTGACAGATTATACTGGTCATACTGTTAACATTGTTACCATGGTTACACCATGTGTACACTGTCATGTTGTAGATCAAACTATTACCTTGGTAACACAATTGTGTTGTAGGTTACACTGTTACCATGGTTACGCTATTGTGTTGTAGACTACACTCAGAGAAGCAGCAGCAAGTTGAGGCATTGGCGACGACGGTAAAGGAAAGGGACTCCTACCTGAGACAGGTGCAGGCCTTGAAGACTCGCAACCCCGACGACTACTACCTGCCCCAGATAAAGGAGGTGGGTCTACCCAGCATACAGGGCTATATTACCCATATGTTGTAGCAGGATCATGGGGGGTACATCACTAACAAGGGACCCATAAAACTCCATGTAACCTGAGGATCCTGCCACAACATATTATCTTGACAACATGTAAAAGAATTAACACAAATTCAAAATTGATAGAAAACAACTGTTCGATTAAGCTGAGGTTAACTTGTCTTATGTCAAGTGACTTCCATTGACTCAGGGGTGGGGGTGGAAAGCGTGTGGCTTTTTGCTTTGAAGAGGGTTATTAGGGATTTATTCTGCCTCTCGGAAATCCATGTGCAGCCTGACTTGGTCGTGGCGGGGTATAAGATATTTATTACCCTCCAAGGCAGGTTACATAGTATTTTATCAAGATCACTTGGACCAATCAGATCTCATCATTCTGACACGGAGGTATGATAAAGGGCTATGTTACCCATATGTTTAGAATGATCATGTGTAAATATTTGTACATGTGCATTTTAGCGATTATCTGATCAATCATCAATTCTGAAATGAATAGTAGAGTTTCATGCAGTTTGAATGGTTGAAAAACATGTGTTAAATGAGATTAGATCAAGTAAATTGTCCTGACTTTTCACTGCGATTGATTAGTTTTCTTTATCCGTATTTTACTCATTCCCAAATTTGATAAAACCTTTAATGTGCCATTCAGTTTGATTATATGTTTTCCAAAATCTGCAAGCCAGATAACTTTTGTATTCTCTACAATGTCGAAGAACATGAAGTTATGTTTTCAGATTTTAGCTGCATCTTGGTTATTGAGTATATTTCATGACATTTTTGCAGTTGACCTCTGCAAATCTGAAAACTCATAATATTTATCCCTAATTAGTAATACCCCTGTATGGGTGAATGTTTGAATTGGGTTGAATATTTACTTATATTTATCATGTTTATTGTAAATAAGACAGTGTTTCAGTTTACACCCTGTCAAAGGTAATAGTTCACATAGGGTGAAAACGTTGTGCCTCCATCATGTCTGTTGAACCATCTTGGTTCAGAGTTTTCACTATGTTCGTCTTTTTCCTGAGTCATGACCCAAGAACTGAACACTGTATATCAGTCCAAGTCAGTGAGGGCTGGCATTTCCCCCTGTACAGGATACAGAGATATAAAATATGTGGCATACAGAGACGATATTGTTGTTGCATCTCCTTGCACAAGTCAGCATCCTGTTGGACATCAGAAGGTTGGGCCATATGTTGAGTGATGGCTAGATAGAGGGAGAGGGTGTTAGACATCACGGGTTGGGGCCATATGTTGAGTGATGGCTAGATACAGGGAGAGGGTAGGTGACATCAGGGGGTTGGGCCATATGTTGAGTGATGGCTAGATACAGGGGAGGTCCACAGGGGGTTGGGCCATATGTTGAGTGATGGCTAGATACAAGGAGAGGGTAGGTGACATCAGGGGGTTGGGCCATATGTTGAGTGATGGCTAGATACAGGGAAAGGGTGTTAGACATAAGATGATTTGGCCTTATGTTCAATGAATGCTAGATACAGGGGAGAGGTCCTAGTCTGCATCCTGTTGGACATCAGAAGGTTGGGCCATATGTTCAATAGTGGCTAGGTAAAGGGGAGTGGGTGTTGGACAAAGGGTGATTGGGCCATATGTTCAATGATGGCTAGATACTGGGGAGAGGTCCAAGTTCAGCATTTCTTGTGTTAGCTTGTGTTTATAAGAAGAGAAGATATACTGGGCCCCTCCATTTCCCTCTAACGGAGCATTAGCTTATTATTATGAGTACATGAAAGGGATGTAATACATGTATTGCTTATAACACGACATTGAGTTATATGTCACATGTATACCAGAAATGAATTAAGTACACCTGTCCCATGTTTCAGCTGGAGTACACTATAGCGCAGCAGCAGAATGAGATGCGAGGCCTCAAGGACAAGCTGTCCTCCCACGATAATGCTGCCAAGAGGGCGGTGTCCACACTGCAGAATGAACTCAAGGTCAGGGTTGACCAGGTCAGTGTGACATTGTGGACATGTATCTGGGTGTTATTCCTTATAATTCCCCATGTTGATTACAGGGCAAAAAGGTTCCCATTGCCTCATGCTTATTGTTAGAGCAGACAAACATCAGGATGGGATGGTTGTGTTGTGTCACCTCGCTCATATCAGATCGTACAGATATGGCATGCATAATTGCTGTCATATCTGTGTCTGAGTGAGACGTATACAACGTTCTTTCGTAGCCTTCAAACAATCTCCTGATTTGGTAGTCCAAATGGTTGATGACACATGGTTCTGGAGTATTTCCTAGAGGACTACCACTTTCACCATTAGATAGATGGCAACTCTGTAGCAGGACGAGGGACATTTCCTTGTGGACTACCACTTTCACCATTAGGTAGATGGCCACTCTGTAGCAGGACTAGTGACATTTCCTTGTGGACTACCACTTTCACCATAAGGTAGATGGCAACTCTGTAGCAGGACTAGTGACATTTCCTTGAGGACTAACACTTTCACCATTAGGTAGATGGCAACTCTGTAGCAGGACTAGTGACATTTCCTTGTAGACTACCACTTTTACCATTAGGTACATGGCATCTTTGTAGCAAGACTAGTGACATTTCCTTGTAGACTACCACTTTCACCATTAGATAGATGGCAACTCTGTAGCAGGACTAGTGACATTTCCTTGTAGACTACTACTTTCACCATTAGGTAGATGGCAACTCTGTAGCAGGACTAGTGACATTTCCTTGTAGACTACCACTTTTACCATTAGCTAGATGGCCACTCTGTAGCAGGACCAGTGACATTTTCTTGTAGACTGCCACTTTTACCATAAGCTAGATGGCAACTCTGTAGCAGGACTAGTGACATTTCCTTGAGGACTAACACTTTCACCATTAGGTAGATGGCAACTCTGTAGCAGGACTAGTGACATTTCCTTGTAGACTACCACTTTTACCATTAGGTAGATGGCAGTTCTGTAGCAGGACTAGTGACATTTCCTTGTAGACTACCACTTTTACCATTAGGAAGATGGCAACTCTAGCAGGACTAGTGACATTTCCTTGTAGACTACCACTTTTACCATTAGGTAGATGGCATCTTTGTAGCAAGACTAGTGACATTTCCTTGTGGACTACCACTTTCACCATTAGCTAGATGGCAACTCTGTAGCAGGACTAGTGACATTTCCTTGTGGACTACCACTTTCACCATTAGGTAGATGGCCACTCTGTAGCAGGACTAGTGACATTTCCTTGTAGACTACCACTTTCACCATTAGGTAGATGGCATCTTTGTAGCAAGACTAGTGACATTTCCTTGTGGACTACCACTTTCACCATTAGGTAGATGGCCACTCTGTAGCAGGACTAGTGACATTTCCTTGTAGACTACCACTTCCACCATTAGGTAGATGGCAACTCTGTAGCAGGACCAGTGACATTTCCTTGTGGACTACCACTTTCACCATTAGCTAGATGGCAACTCTGTAGCAGGACTAGTGACATTTCCTTGTGGACTACCACTTTCACCATTAGGTAGATGGCAACTCTGTAGCAGGACTAGTGACATTTCCTTGTGGACTAACACTTTCTCCATTAGGTAGATGGCAACTCTGTAGCAGGACTAGTGACATTTCCTTGTAGACTACCACTTTTACCATTAGCTAGATGGCCACTCTGTAGCAGGACTAGTGACATTTCCTTGTAGACTACCACTTTTACCATTAGCTAGATGGCAACTCTGTAGCAGGACTAGTGACATTTCCTTGTAGACTACCACTTTTACCATTAGCTAGATGGCCACTCTGTAGCAGGACTAGTGAGATTTCCTTGTAGACTACCACTTTTACAATTAGGTAGATGGCCACTCTGTAGCAGGACTAGTGACATTTCCTTGTAGACTGCCACTTTTACCATTAGGTAGATGGCCACTCTGTAGCAGGACTAGTGACATTTCCTTGTAGACTACCACTTTTACCATTAGCTAGATGGCCACTCTGTAGCAGGACTAGTGACATTTCCTTGTAGACTGCCACTTTCACCATTAGGTAGATGGCCACTCTGTAGCAGGACTAGTGACATTTCCTTGAGGACTAACACTTTCACCATTAGGAAGATGGCAACTCTAGCAGGACTAGTGACATTTCCTTGTAGACTACCACTTTCACCATTAGGTAGATGGCATCTTTGTAGCAAGACTAGTGACATTTCCTTGTGGACTACCACTTTCACCATTAGATAGATGGCAACTCTGTAGCAGGACCAGTGACATTTCCTTGTGGACTACCACTTTCACCATTAGCTAGATGGCAACTCTGTAGCAGGACTAGTGACATTTCCTTGTGGACTACCACTTTCACCATTAGGTAGATGGCAACTCTGTAGCAGGACTAGTGACATTTCCTTGTGGACTAACACTTTCTCCATTAGGTAGATGGCAACTCTGTAGCAGGACTAGTGACATTTCCTTGTAGACTACCACTTTTACCATTAGCTAGATGGCCACTCTGTAGCAGGACTAGTGACATTTCCTTGTAGACTACCACTTTTACCATTAGCTAGATGGCCACTCTGTAGCAGGACTAGTGAGATTTCCTTGTAGACTACCACTTTTACCATTAGGTAGATGGCCACTCTGTAGCAGGACTAGTGACATTTCCTTGTAGACTGCCACTTTTACCATTAGGTAGATGGCCACTCTGTAGCAGGACTAGTGACATTTCCTTGTAGACTGCCACTTTCACCATTAGGTAGATGGCCACTCTGTAGCAGGACTAGTGACATTTCCTTGAGGACTAACACTTTCACCATTAGGAAGATGGCAACTCTAGCAGGACTAGTGACATTTCCTTGTAGACTACCACTTTCACCATTAGGTAGATGGCATCTTTGTAGCAAGACTAGTGACATTTCCTTGTGGACTACCACTTTCACCATTAGATAGATGGCAACTCTGTAGCAGGACTAGTGACATTTCCTTGTGGACTACCACTTTCACCATTAGATAGATGGCAACTCTGTAGCAGGACTAGTGACATTTCCTTGTAGACTACCACTTTCACAATTAGATAGATGGCAACTCTGTAGCAGGACTAGTGACATTTGCTTGTAGACTCCCCCCGCAGTGATATTGCTGGAATATTGCTAAAAGCGGCGTAAAACCATACTCACTCACTGACTCACTCACTCCTTGTAGACTACCACTTTCACCATTAGGTAGATGGCATCTTTGTATCAGGACTAGTGACATTTCCTTGTAGACTGCCACTTTCACCATTAGATAGATAACTCTGTAGCAGGACCAGTGACATTTCCTTGTGGACTACAACTGTAGCAGATCAATTTTGCAGACTAGTGAAAATAGAAATTAATTGCCAACCTTGAATAAAGTCGATCAAAAGATTATTGAACAGCTAAGTTATTATTTTAGCATGAGAACATCCTATTGTGTCCTTCATATTAACAATTGTTCCAAAAGGGATGTCAAACAAATTTGTCTCCCAAAGAAGAATGACAGGATAGTTGTACCTATTATTATGAATATGACACCATCTGTTCAGGTTACAAAGATGTATGAAGAATGTGTTCGGGAGAAGGACGCCATGGTTGTAAAGTACGCAGAGTCAGAACAGAAGAACATCGAATGTCGGAAGATGGTGGAGAAGCTGGAAACAAAGATCAGAGAGTCTGCGAAGGACCGAGAGTCAATGGTCAGCAAGGTGAAGGCTGTCAAGATAGAGAAGCACAGAGCAGTGGCAGACATGGAGGCCAAGGTGGGTAGCTCCTGGGTACAGCATTGGTCCTTGATTCCTGGCATGCAGCGGGAATATTGCTCGACTCACTAAATGTTTTGTTATGTTTGGACCATTATCAAAGGTTTGGCGTTGCAATGAAAAAACAACATCTAATTCATTGAACACCTAATGTGTTTGCAGTCATCGGAGTTGACGCAGGCACTGAAGGAGATAGAGAAGATGAGGGAGGCGTTGTCATCTGCTGATGTGAGAATCAAGTGGGCACAGAACAAGCTGAGGGCAGAGCTGGATTCTCACAAGGTAAGCAGCTTCACCAGCCTATGGAGACAATGTTGTATTTGTACATATACTCTTGTATGACACTAGAGACAATAAGACCCATGAAGATCCGTAGGACAAAGGGCTTCAGCAACCCATGCTTGCTGTAACAGGCGACTATGCTTGTCGTAAGAGGCGACTAAGGGGATCGGGTGGCCAGGCTCTTTGACTTCGTTGATGCATGTCATCGTATCCTAATTGTGTGGATTGATGCTCATGATGTCAATCACTGGATTGTCTGGTCCAGACTTGATTATTTACAAACCGCCGTCATATAGCTGGAATATTGCTGATTGCAACGTTAAACAACTAACAAACAAACAAGCAAAACAAGTAAAGTTATCTTTGCTCAATCTTGTGTTTGCACTTTAAGATTCTATTGTACTGTTGGAGGATTTTGCAGAAACAAAACAAATTAACATATAGATGCAATAGACATGAATCAACCAGTAGACACCACCAACAGTACAGACAGTGTTCAGGAAATTGGATGCTATGCACACAGACTCTATCCTGTTTTTCTATGATTTGGGGGATTGATTAGCATCAAGGGGCGGTCGGGGAGACTAGTGGTTAAAGCGTTTGCTCATCACGCTGAAGACCCGGGTTCGATTCCCGACATGGGTACAATGTGTGAAGCCCATTTCTGGTCTCCCCCGACGTGATATTTCTGGAATATTGCTAAAAGCGGCGTAAAACCATACTCACTGACACTGACACTGGATTAGCATTGCGCCTGGAAAATTGTTAATATCGTCATAAATTCAACTCACTCACTTACTCCCCTCCAGGAAACAAAGGCCACGCTGGACAAGACAAACTTTAAACTGAAGGAGGCGAAGGAGGAGACGATGCAGATTCGACGAGACTGTCAGGCCATGATCAAGACGTACCAGGTGAGCTATGGCTGCAACTCAGAAAACTCTTGACACTAAATCTTTTGCTGGAAACAAGGTTTTGGAACATGGCTCACAAAGCCACCCTAGGGATCAGTCAGCCTGGAATAGATTATTTGCAACAGCCAGTGATATTGCTTAGATATCACAGACAGACTGTGTGACTTTTGCAGGAGTCGGAGGAGATCAAGTCCAACTCCCTAGACAAGGAGCTGAAGGTGAAGGAGACGGAGCTGATCATCCAGCGCCAGGAGCGAGATGACCGCGAGGAGGTGGGCACTTAATCAGGAACAATCCAATCTGTCAAGATACTGCAGAGAAACTTTGAATTGATCACTAAGATGACTGAATTGTCCTGGCTGAATGTTTATTATTTTTTTAACCTGAAATCAAATGATATGTTTGACAGGCATCAAAAGATATAGAGGTAAACTCATCACAATTAATTGACATTAAAATAAAACACCTGTTTTGCAAGGCTTTTATTGTTTTCCTCCAGTTGGTTGAGAAATGAATTGAGCTTGTAAGCAACCATGGTGGCAATGTTTTTGCTAGGAAAGATAATTCTTCTGTAAAAATCTGACATTCATAGTACAAATGTAAAGACTGTGAAATCCAAAGAAAATTTTATCACCATGACGAAGGGTCATCCACTTGTCATGTCTATATGACCTGCACAATGATGTTCATGTTGCAGCTGTACATGATGACCAGCCGGGAGCTGGAGTCTCTCAAGGTGAAGCACAAGGACAGCCTGGAGGAGTTGATCACAATCCGGGACAAGGTGAGCAGACGCGACTATAGTACCAACGTTTACTACAATATCTGAAAAACTATCGGACCTACTCCAGTCAAAGTTGGTATGAGATTATTAAACAGTCATATATAACTGGATATTACATTTAAAGACAATCGGTGCATTAATAAAAAATCTGTCTATTTAGCTATCACTATATTTCATCTACAACCAGACCTGTTCGTCACGCGTGGAACGAGCATTCATTGAAACAGCCATCTGCATAATGCTGCCCCCTGAGTCACAGGGCCATATGACACAGTTGAACCAATCAACTCAACTCGAAAGGGTGCACGGGAAACATGCATGATTAGCATTGTTAATCGTTGTTAGCATTGGGCGTCTCACCACACCATACCACCCCACACCATACCACACCACACCACACCACACCACACCACACCACACCACTACAAACATGTTCAATTCAGTGTTAAGATACATCTTTCTCTAAGAAAACAACAACTTGAAATGTCTTACTAAATTGTAATCCTTCATAAGTTCTTGATATGGTTATCCTATTTACCAAGTAAGCATCACTGTTTGGCCATGGTGTATCCTCTCAATGTGGCTGCAGTAAAAGTTTATCTGGTTGATGCTGTTCTTTACCACATGCATGATTCTTACCATGGTAGCCATGTACCTGGTTGTTGCTGTGGTAACTACGTGCCTGATTGTTGCCATGGTAACTGCATGATTGTAACCAGTGTAACCATGGACCCAGTTGTTGCCATGGTAACTGCATGATTGTAACCAGTGTAACCATGGACCCAGTTGTTGCCATGGTAACTGTGCCTGGTTATCTTAGTTATCATATGCCTGGTTGTTGCCGTGGTAACTGTGTGTGGTTGTTACCGTGGTAACTGTGTGTGGTTGTTACCATGGTGACCATAGACCTGGATGTTTCTGTGGTAAATGTGTGTGTGGTTGCAGCTGCGAGGTCTGGAGGAGGAGCGACACCAGAAGCAGGACATGCTGACCCAGTTCCAGGGCATCATGCAGCAGCAGAAGGAGGAGAACCGCGACCTCCACACCAAGACCTCCGGCATGGGGCAACTGCAAGATGACTTCAGCAGGTCAGGGGTTCCCCTTTTACTCCCAGAGCTCCAGATTAGCTGCGTATCTGCGTAAAATACGTATCAGAAATACAGAAATACGCAGTAAAATAAAATCCAAGCGTATCAAATACGCAATGAACATTACAGATTCGCTACAAAAATAAAACTTGTGCATATCATCAAAATATTGTGAAGTTACCCTGCGTATTCGATTAGCAAACCAGCAACTTATTTTGAAATTATTAACAGGCATTCCGTCAACCTTTCCAAACTCCATGATGACAGTTACATCATGATCAATTGCCATCACACTTTCTTGTGGAAGTATCGTGGTATTTTTGAGTCCTATAAAGCTCTCGAACCCACACGACACCAGTTTGCAGGTACTAGATGAATAGTGTTTTTAAATATTTAACTTAGATACCCACATGTGTAAAAACTAGTGCGTAACAGAAATTTGAATACCCAGATAGAATTACTGATACCCAATGATTTTAAAATGCATGGGTAAAATACCCACAACACCAAAAGCTTATCTGGAGCTCTGACTCCTATTGTTAGTGGAGGGTAGGAGGCAACGGACACACTAAAGTGGTCACATTAAATAAATATAAGCACATGGTGCATAGGGTACAACAATTCACTGTGCAAAGGGTGCTTCCCTTAGGCATGCCAGAAAACTATGATTGTGAGTTTGAATCCCAGGTTTGCCCTGATTACGTTTCTAGGTTTGTCAGCACTAGCTGTGCTTGTGGGTTTTACCAAAGTGGTAAACTTCTAAGACCTGCATCAAGTGCTTACATGAAGCTCATACTCTGTGATATAACTATAATACTGTTGAAAGCAGTTTGAAACTGACTCACTCACTCACTCACTCACTCACTCACTCACTCACTCACTCACTCACTCACTCACTCACTGTCTGTGTGCTCCCAGGGCCCAGGACATGATCAAGACATTGGACCGGGACATCACCGACCTCATGGTGACCAACAAGGACCTCCAGCAGGACATGGAGGGGTGCCGTCGTCGCGAGTCCGAGCTCCTTGACCTCACCGAGAAACTGAGTCGGAAGAATGCCAAGCTACAGTCTGACAACACTAACCTCACTAACCAGGTGGGGCCTCGTGATTTCACCAGCATGGTGCATGCTGGGATTGTGTGTAGCCCAGCAAATGTTGAGTCTTTGTTTGGCATTTTGAAGTTGACAGACATGAAGAAATGACATTTATATTTTTAGCAAGGCAGAAAGTATGAAACACAATGATGAACGTACAAGAACTAACAGAAATATTTACACAAACCCTCAACAAGTTGTTTTCCTTAAAAAACATTCATGTCTTTATCATCAGATGTTAGATAACAGAAATCCTGCTTATAGTATAAGGGACGGCCTATGTGGATTGGTGTAGTGGATAGAGTGTCTTCCCGGAGAGAGGAAGGATGGTGGTACTGGCTCCATCCCCTGGCCGCATCATAGCAAAAGATGGTACTTGTTGGTACCTTGTCTGGCGCTTTGCATTAAGGGGATAAAACAAGGACCGGTCAGCTAGGAGTCTGAATGGGTATTGGTGTCAACCTGCAGCATGGCATACACATTGCTATGTCAGTGAAATAAACCTGAACATGACATTAAACACCTTTTCATCTCAACTATGGTATGAGACTGTATACTCATGGCTCATCAGCGTTGTGTGTGTTACTGACATGAGCCTGAACAGTAACGGAGATGGTTGTAGGGTTGACTGGATGTGAGAGGGACAGAATCTGTATTTCTTATGCTTACTCTTGGGGGCACGGGTGGCCCAGTCCTCTAAGGTGCCGCGATTCGCTGTGCAGAGTTGCGTCCCTTGGGCACGCCAGAAACCTCTGATTGTGGGTTCGAATCCCCGTTCGCCCCGATTATGTTTCTAGGTTAGTCAGCACCATACCAATGCTCGTGGTTTTCACCGAAGTGGTAAATGTCTGAGTCCTGCATCACTTCGGGCTTTCCTCCCACATTGAGCTGACACGCCTCGATATAACTGGAACACTGTTAAAAGCGGCGTTAAACCCAACTCACTCGCTCACTTATGCTGACTCTTAGTTCTGATAACATTTGGGGCAGTGGAGTAGCCCTGTGGTTAAAGTGGGTCACTCGTCTTGCTGAAGACCGGGGTTTGATTCCCTACATGGGTACAATGTGGGAAGCCCATTTCTGGTGTCCCCTGCAGTGATATTGCTGGATTACTGCTAAAAGCGGAGAAAACCAAACTCACTCAGTCATTTGATGACATTTATCTCTGAATGTTGGCAGGTTGTGACGTTGTCAAGTGAGGCAGAGAAGTGGAAGATGGAGATACAAGAGCTGGAGACTCGGGGCCAAGATTTTGTGAGTGTCTGTTTGTGAAGTTCCTTGTTCAATACATTTCATGTACATTTTGAGAAAGCTAATGTGTTGTTAGTCACAGACCCTTGCTAAACTCTTTCAACACTGTAGGCCGGTTTTCCGGCCAAGAAGCATCGAGTCCCCATACACCGTAGGCCGGTTAACCGGCCAAGCCATAGTCACGTCAAAATAGTATATATTTTTATGGACATCCTGTAATATCATTAATTTTTATCGATAAATTAAAAAATTATTCACTATTTCCCTCGATGTTATTGAAAATAAAGTTCTCTGATACACATTTCAACAACGGGTCCACATCGAACATGTCAAAGAGCAAAATAAAGACGCTTTGAACAAATCTTTAAATATATTATACAAAGTAATAAATAAAATCAACAAAAATATATCTAAAAGTAATCAAACTTACATCTAAGTTATTATTTCCATCTTTTCGTGCGATCGTGTGTTATGTAAGTCAAATGACATCTCGGCTTTCGTCACCTTGAATTCTCGGCTCATACACAGTGTTTAATGCAAAAATATATGCATGAAAAATCTTTGTCACAGATCATAACCTAGCACGATACATTCACAAAGTTCCATATTTTTAATATATATCTTGACTTTCTGCTTAAAACGCTCAGAATAACACGATTTAACAAACATCTTTCGCCAACTTCTGAAATTGATCAAACAAGAGCTTGGTATCACAGCTGTAATTTGATTGGCTGCCTTAGGTCACATGCTCAAAATTGACCAATCACAAGATTTGTTGCAGATTTCGGCAAGAAAGCGTCATTAGAAACCAATTTTAATCCAATGAAATCGCTTGTTATAACCATGGACATTTTACAAGCGTGTAGATGAAGGAATAAGCTTTCCAGCGATGTGTCATATGCCATTCTTCGACGAACGTGTTATTCATATGAAGCCTCGAAAACGGGGGTATTTCTTCATGTTACTGAGCGGACAGCCGCTGTTATCGGGAAATGGGCGATGACAGAAACTATTTATAATTCTTTTTCAAAATGATTTTCCAATTATGTAAACAATGAAAATAAAACAGAAATAGGTAAGTGGATTTTATGAAATCTTATATTTGCTGAAAATCGTCAATTTTTCGCTTCCTTGGTCCTTAATCTGGATGTTAACAACGTGTTAGCTTACATTTTTTATTTACAACGAACTTAATTTAGTTGTAAATGCATTATTTTAAATAATGTGAAAATTATAACTTTCATATTTATAAACCATAGGATCACCTTTCAAATGGTGTATAACATGTAGTAGCAAATATATTTTACAAGCAGATATTTTCTTTGATAAATGTTGCCTTCATCTCTCACACAAGAGTCTCTGGGAACTCGGTGTCCCAGCAGTAAACACTTCTGGTTGACTGGTGTTGAAAGAGTTAATGTCCTGTATGAATGGGTGTTTTCAGGAGGACAATTGGACCACAGAACAAAGGAAGAGGAAGGAAGAGACGGAATCCCTCAGAGCAGAGCTGGAAGAGAAGACAAAACATGGTAGGAGGTTTATATTTTGACAAGGCAGAAAGTATACATACAGAAATAATGTTTTGTTGAAGACATGTATGCACTTGTAACAGATGCGCTTAACTCATTGCAATTTTGACTAGTAGCAGGTATTGATGTACAAGCGCCTGTTGTGTGTTACATTTGACATACAAGCACCTGTTGTGTGTTGTCATTGACATACAAGAACCTATTGTGTTACAGTTGACATACACGCACCAGCTGTGTGTTACAGTTGACATGCAAGCACCTGTTGTGTGTTACAGTTGACATACAAGCACCTGTTGTGTCTTACAGTTGACATACAAGGTCTTATGTGTTACAGTTGACATACAAGCTCATGTTGTGTGTTAGTTGACATACAAGCACCTGCTGTGTCTTACAGTTGACATACAAGGTCTTATGTGTTACAGTTGACATACAAGCTCATGTTGTGTCTTACAGTTGACATACAAGCACTTGTTGTGTGTTACAGTTGACATACAAGGTCTTATGTGTTACAGTTGACATACAAGCACCTGCTGTGTCTTACAGTTGACATACAAGCACTTGTTGTGTGTTACAGTTGACATACAAGGTCTTATGTGTTACAGTTGACATACAAGCTCATGTTGTGTGTTAGTTGACATACAAGCACCTGTTGTGTGTTACAGTTGACATTCAAGTGCCTGCTGTGTGTTACAGTTGACATACAAGCTCTTGTGTGTTAGTTGACATACAAGCACCTGTTGTGTGTTACAGTTGACATACAAGCACCTGTTGTGTGTTACAGTTGACATACAAGCACTTGTTGTGTGTTACAGTTGACATACAAGCACCTGTTGTGTGTTACAGTTGACATACAAGCACTTGTTGTGTGTTAGTTGACATACAAGCACCTGTTGTGTGTTACAGTTGACATACAAGCACCTGTTGTGTGTTACAGTTGACATACAAGCACCTGTTGTGTGTTACAGTTGACATACAAGCACCTGTTGTGTGTTACAGTTGACATACAAGCACCTGTTGTGTGTTAGTTGACATACAAGAAGCACCTGTTGTGTGTTACAGTTGACATACAAGCACTTGTTGTGTGTTACAGTTGACATACAAGCACCTGTTGTGTGTTACAGTTGACATACAAGCACCTGTTGTGTGTTACAGTTGACATACAAGCACTTGTTGTGTGTTACAGTTGACATACAAGCACCTGTTGTGTGTTACAGTTAAGATACAAGCACCTGTTGTGTGTTACAGTTGACATACACGCACTTGTTGTGTTTTACAGTTGACATACAAGCACCTGTTGTGTGTTACAGTTGACATACAAGCACTTGTTTTGTGTTAGTTGACATACAAGCACCTGTTGTGTGTTACAGTTGACATACAAGCACCTGTTGTGTGTTACAGTTGACATACAAGCACTTGTTGTGTGTTAGTTGACATACAAGAAGCACCTGTTGTGTGTCACAGTTGACGTACAAGCACCTGTTGTGTGTAAGAGTTGACATACAAGCACCTGTTGTGTGTTACAGTTGACATACAAGCACCTGTTGTGTGTTACAGTTGACATACAAGCACCTGTTGTGTGTTACAGTTGACAACTACCAGCAGCAGCTGGAGGATGAGAAGGACCTGACGCGGACGTTGAAGCGGAAGCATGTCAACAACCTCAAGGTACACCCCCATCACTCACCCTGTGAAGTATGTGTGTCTTTGTCAATTGTTTCATGCTGCAGTTAATATGATACCAGTCAGCCTGTAGATAATTAGTGTGGACAAGACAAACCAGTAGTTACCAGGAACAGCCTGCAAAGTCACTGAGACCCTGATCCCACTTAGTTGCCTCATACGACAAGCACAAGAGTGCTGGATGTGCAGGAGAAAGGGACACAAGAATGTAAATATCAAGGACCACAATGACTGTTAATGTTTCACTTTTTATAACTGGTAACCATGGTAAGTGTGTATTCATTCAGATGCACATATATATTTAATTGTTTTCATAATTTCTAGTTTCAATTTCATAAAACATTAGAAATTTCTTTTAGATATCCACTATTAGTATGTCTTAGTATTGACTGTATGCGGCGGAGTACAGGTGCTTGTTCTGTGTAGGACTTGACGCGGCAGCTCCAGCAGGCCCGGAGGAAGCTAGAAGCCCATGAGAACCACGTAGAGCGGGACACAACCAGCATGGGGTCTCGCACTAGCTCAAACGGGTCCCTCAACACCCTAGGAGATAACGCCACAGCTCATAACAATACCAACATTAACAGTAACCACAGCTCGAACAGCAACTCTAGAGCCCCCAGCCATGAACAGGTAACACCACACCCACCCAAGGCTGTTACCTGCCTCACTCACACATTTGTGGGATAACCTAATGATATCACTCTGTCAATTGTAGGAAAACCTAATGATATCGCTGTCTTTTGTAGGAGTACCCAGTGATAACGGAGCAGGTCGAGGTGGACAAGCAGGTCCTCATTGAGCGGATTGTTCGATTGCAAAAGGCCCATGCCAGGAAGAATGAGAAGCTCGAGTTCCTGGATGACCACATCCATCAGCTGGTGGACGAGATACAGAAGAAAAACAGGTGAGACACTTACCATGTGGTCAGATGTTCACCTGCACTGCCCAATGGCCTGACACAACACATGGCTTGGGCACCACAGTTAGGATGTATCCATGATTTTATTGAAAAAATAAAATGTCTTGAAAATAATGTTATGCTTAAGACTGTTGAAAAAAAAATTGTCTGCCTAAAAAATTACATTGTTGCATGCACGTCGCTATATAAGTGCAATAATCTTGGACGCGACATTAAACCCCATTTCACCTCACCTGTTTAGTGTTCAAAATCTGAATGTGCTCTCAATGATCCTTAATCTTTCAGCACCATGCTCCTGGGATATGTCAAAGATGACATGATGAGGAAGCAGAATTATTGCTTGAAGCAGCGTTATGGCTTTAAACCCACAGGCTCGCACCATGTTGATTTCAGGCTATTAACGGGAACACAGGTGGTCTCGTCATCTAAGGCACAGCAATTTGCTGTGCAGAGTTGCATCCCTTAGATGTGTCAGAGACTTAGGATGAAGGGTTCAAATCCCAGATTCATCCTAATAATTAGGGCTGGGACGAGTCCAGATTTACTACTCGCGTACCCACACCCCTACTGCCCGACCCTACCCGGGTACCCGCTGTTGGTCTCAAGAGATAGGTACAAAATGTCCGATTGGGACAATAGCCCTGGCAAAACGAGTTTAGATACACGTATAAAACGATGTGGTCATGCATACACTGAAGTTGACTTAAGTTTTAGCTTTGTTCAAACATATATAAGTCAGAAGGAACGTGTTCATAGTCATGAAGAAATGGGAACATTAGAGACTTAAAATTGTCGTGTAGCCATGTAGTTATATAGTGAATTTTTGTCATGAAACAAAATATCACGTGACTAACATTGGGTCCGGGTAGTCCTGTGGGTACCCAGGTCCTACTCAGTACCCACCTGACTCAAGTATCCGAGTTACCTGTCCCAGCCCTATTAATAATGTTTCTAGTTTTGTTGGCACCATACTAGTCTCACCAAGGTGGTAAACATCTGAGACCTGCATCATGAAGCTGATATAACTGAAATACGGTTCAAAGCGACATTCATCCTAACTCACTCACTCTTTCTGTGTTTGCAGGATCATCCAGAACTACGTGATGAGAGAGGAATCGGGCACCCTGGCGCCGGAATACATGGACGAAAACAAAGTAACATACTTAAACCTTCATTGTCACCTTGAACTCTGTCCTGACTGGCTCTCCAGGGGCTTCCATCAGCGCAGCAGTACTGTAGATACCTTGAATATGCGCTTACCATGAATACGTTCTTACCTTGATAACGTGCTTACCTTAAAATCATGCTTACCTCGAAAAAGTGCTTATCTTGAAAAAGTGCTTACCTTGAAAAAGTGCTTACCTTGAAAAAGTGCTTACCTTGAAATCATGCTTACCTTGAAATCATGCTTACCTTGAAAAAGTGCTTACCTTAAATATTTGCTTACCTTGAATAATAAGTGCTTACAGTGTCTAGCTTGAATAAGTGCCTGCCTTGAATGATCGCTGGGAGACGGCTACCCACATTAATTTCATAACACATATTAGGTGAGAGGTTAATACATGCATTAATTTGGTGATTCACTGAGAAGAAACAATTTAAGAACACCTGCTGCAGACTCCGATAATTAAATGTCTGCCCCACACCAGGCTCATTAAAATCAGATCTTTCTTTTCTCTACCGCTACACAAAGATCTGAGGACATCCCATTAAGGGTCACGTCAGAATGACCTTTCATCCGTTCAATCAGAGCGTCGCTTACCAGATCAGGAAAGTTACAGTTGGAATTTGTTTTCTAATCATGCACCATCGAAATGGTTAACACAGGGTTTTCAGAATGACATTTGCTAGGCTGTATGACCGATTCCATCAAAATAATCATCTATCTCTCACTCAATAGGATAAACATTTCAACAGAAAAGGGGTGGTCGGGCAGCCTAGTGGTTAAAGTGTTCGCTCGTAACGCCAAATACCCGGGTTCCATTCCCGACATGAGTACAATGTGTGAAGCCCATTTCTGGTGTCCCCTGCCATGATATTGCTGGAATATTGCTAAGGCGTAAAACCATACTCACTCAATTCAACAGAAAGAACTTGACATAGCCGGTGGGAAGTACTGCCATAGAATCTTGGCCATCTATTAGACATTCCAGAATGTTTTGTTCTGTTTTCAAATTTTGAATAGAGAATAAGTCAAAACATTTCTCAAAGCCTAGCCATTGAAAAGTGGAATGGAAGTTGCCAGTTTGAAACTAGTGCCAATAGCTCAAGAAAATTACTTTCTGATTGGCTAATTTCAACATCTTGTTTGTCATTTCATTGGTTGGCCAAAATTTGCAAAAGGTTCTGACATGACCTGTAATGGGATGTCCTCAGATCTTTGTTTAGCGATAGCGAGAATCAAGATCTGAATGTAATGAGATTGGCCTCAACTCAGACACTGAGTCTCAGTTCCTCCTGGAATAAAACCCTGGCACATATTCAAGGATTAACGATAACAGTAACCATGATGCCAAGTAAAGATACTGATGAAGCAGTACAGGAACATAGGCCCCCCCTTGTGTATTGTTGTCTTACTGTAGTGATATCACAGACCAACAGACTCCGGTTTGGGAGTATATATATATTGGTGGTCTGTGTCTGTGTTGATACAGGGGAGGTAACTCTGTGACTGTTTGACGCAGGGGAAGTAACTCTGTGTCCGTGTTGATGCAGAGAGGTAACTGGTAATCAGTTGACCAGACTGTTGTGTTGCATGACATGGGAGATGGAAATAATAAATATGTTTTTGTATTTCTTACCATATTTGATGTCAATGGAAAAGGCAGAAATATTTAATCTCACCTCTCAATGTTTTCATTTTCAATGATGTAGTGTAGCTGTTTTCAGTACTGACGTGCTATTGCTTTTGTATTGTGTTAATGTGTTGTGAACTGTGTTGTGCTCAAGTCACGGCTGACAGTGTGCGTGATGCTCGGCGTCTAGCGGTAACTCATGACGGTTCCCACAAACCCAGTCGGGTTCAGTGTTCATTCAGTGTGGCAGATATGGTTGGGTTTTTTCAATTTCTTCTTCTTTTCCTTCAAATATGACTACATAATGAGAATTTTCATTTCAAATGGTTGATAAAAACATTGTCACAAACTCAGCACCATAAACAGATAAAGACCAGCATGTAGGGTAAGATTGAGACATTCCACATTTCCAGTATTTTATTACCTTTTTGCCAGTGTTGTGTATAAACTTAAATTAAAAATGCAAATAGTGCTTTTAAATATTCAAAAGTTCGAATTTGGTTGCGAAAGAAACTATGAAACAGCTTTGCTCCACTGAGTGAACACTGAACCCTATGGCTGTGGTGATGACAGCTTACATAGAAAACCATCATCCATTAGCCTACCCTTGACAGTTGTGTCCAGGCCATCATACATCCCCATGTTCACGTTTCACGAAACCATTTAGCGCTTCTCAACTAACAGCATGAGTAAGTACCTCCTGCACTGCCCCAGCTTAACCCACAGTCTCAGTCCATCACATGGCTTCTACATTTGCTGCTGTACCTTCAGGTTACGGGCTTAGAAATTAATTTATATTTTCACTCGTCCAAAAATATGATTTTCTACAGATTTGCCATCTACCTAATGGTGAAAGTTGTAGTCCACAGGGAAATGTCACGAAATTTTACTAGTCTTGGACAAGTAGACTTTGTACCCTGAGTTTCAGCCTAGTCTTAGGTGTTGTGTTTACCGGTCGTACCTTGTTCAAAGCCGAGACTGTTTGTGATTACGGCAATCATCAGTTGCCAGATTGATAATAATTTTTATCCTATGATAGATTGTATTACTAATGTGATAAACCTTCCATGAACTTGGTGTCAAGATCCCAGAAATATGCAATGAGGTCACCTTGTCGGAACTACTTTTCATGAACTCAAAAGTCTGATTTCTGTCTGCTGAGTTAACTATTGCCGGATGTTATGTTTGATATGCATTGCCAGATGTGTGAGGGCTTCTGTAATTGTAAACAAACATGGCTTTTAATTATTTGACAGTCTGTAATAAATGGGGCTGTTCACTCAGGAATTGAACTCCTATGCAGTTTCTAAAGTTACATTAGGCAATGAAAATATGTCTCAAGCTTTGATAGCGTTAAGAATAAACTTATGTGATGAGAAATTATTACTTGACTGTGTTTCAGTGATGTAAGTTTGGTTAATTAGGAGTAAGGCACACAATGTTGATCCCTGTTTGAGAAGCCCAGCACTGGGACACGGAAACATGAGATGTTAGGACAGCTGTGTATTGTAGTGCTCCGGTTCAGCTGCACAAATCTCTCGCTAGTCCAAGTCGTGTATATTTGTGAATTTGAACAGGAAGTGTTCTGTTTGATATCAAAGACAAGAATACCTCGCAATTCATGAACAGACCCGCCCAAGTTTCTTTCTTGCTTTACTGAATTTCTCAGCCTATGCAAAGAATCAAAGAGTAAATGTTGGTAAATGCGGGATTAGCAGCCATATTGCTGCAATTGAGGAATGTTTACAATTGAAATTGTTTAATCTATTTATTTACTTTTTGAAAAACATTTTGGTAGGTTTTTAATTTAAATGAAAACAAATTGATCTGGTCGAAATTCAGCAGTAAAAGTGACATCCCAAGGCACCCAGCATTGCTTCACCCTGTCTGTCTGGCAGCGTCGTCAGTGACGGCACTGTCATCTACGCCATGTTGTTTGTGCATGTCGATGTGGCTAACTTCTTGTGCTTTCTCTCTCCGCTAGCTGCGAGCTAGGACCGAGTCACAGGTAGGCTATTCCATTCACTTCGCTTGTCTCCCCTTTCCATCGCTCCTCCTCCCCACCAGGGTGCGCTCGCTGTCTTCCTGTCGGTGTCACATGGGGAATCAGATTGAGTGTCGGGTTGAACAAAAGATGTTGAGATTATTATTTCAGTTACATTATTCTAATTACTGTATTAAATTTCTGATTAAGTAAACTTTAAGAAATAATGTGTGGTCTGTAGTTTGATTTTGGAATAGTTTCAAACGATTTGTAGACCAAGCAGATTTCTGATTTATCAACGTTTGGGCAAGTTTTAGCACAAATAAGATACAAATATATTTTAAAAAAACCATGCTGCAGTATTCTACTTGCTTGCCATTACATTGTTGTTACTGCTCAATGCTATTTTCGTAGTTTTTGTAATTTTCTTGACTTTCTTGAATGGTGTCAATTTTCTTCATCTGTAAACTTGTTTCCATGGTGATCGGAATGGTGAAACTCCAGACCATCCCTTTGCGTTTTTGTTATGAAGCAGTTTCAATTGACTGCCTTTTTCTGGTGTTTTGTTCTTCTTATTGTTTTTATTGTTTGTAGTTTGTCATATGCATTAATCTGTACTTACCATTCCTTACTGGCTTTCCCAGTTGTCCTTATCATCCAACATGCAACTGTGTCATGGCAGTCGACAGTCTCGTGACGTATACAGCCACTCGTAGTGCATGAAACATTTGTTCTTTTTGTGATGCAGAATACGGAGAAGTGGAATCCTTAAAATTTTTAGCAAAATTTAATTCAGTTGAAACATATGGGGCTGATAAATATGTTTTTGTGTTCTCAAGACTTCTGAAAATCTGACAATATGAAAACATTTTATTTTTTGTTCTTGATGATAAAAATGTAATGGGTGCCTGACCATTTCAAGCTAACAAGAATGAAGAGTTGATTGCTCACGATCACTGATCTCGTAATTGTCATTGCATGGCAACCCGTTATTTGTGTGCTAAGACCTGTCTGGGTGTTCTCTATGACATATAGAGAATCTCACCCAAATGTCTTTGATATCAAATATATCAACACAAGTGGGAAAACTCTGAGACTTCATCAGGTGGTCAGACTCGCTGACTTGCTTAATGCATGTCATTGTATCCCAATTGCGTGGATCGATGCTCATGATGTCAATCACTGGATTGTCTGGTCGATTATTTACAGACTGCCATCATGTACAATGACATAGCTGGAATATTGCTGAGCATGGCGTTAAAAAAGAAACAAACAACAAAAAACACTTCATGCATAGATTTAAACAGGTCTTGGCGGTGGTTAAAGCGTTCATTCATGCTGAGGACCTTGGTTCAATCCCCACCATGGGTACGATGTGTGAAGCCCATTTCTTGTGAACCCTGCTGGAATATTGTTAAAAGCAGGGCAAAACCATACTCAAACAGGTCCATTTTCATTATCTCATATTTCATGACTGATCTTAACCTTGAAACTGTCATTGTACCCATCATTTACAGTATCATGTAATGTCAGGTATATAGGTATAATTTGATTGTTTTTATCTCAGGTATGTAGGTATAATTTCAGTGTTTTACTGTCAGGTATGTAGGTATAATTTCAGTGTTTTACTGTCACGTATGCAGGTATAATTTCAGTGTTTGTATGTAGGTATACCTTCAGTGTTTTACTGTCAGGTATATGGGTACAATTTCAGTGTTTTACCATCAGGTATGTAGGTATAATTGCAGTATTTATATTTAGGTATAACTTCATTGTTTTACTGTCAGGTATGTAGGTATAATTGCAGTATTTGTATTTAGGTATAACATTAGTGTTTTACTGTCAGGTATGTAGGTATAATTTCAGTGTCTGCTGTCAGGTATGTAGGTATAATTTTTGTGTTTGTAGGAAGGTGTAACTTCAGTGTTTAACTGTCAAGTATACAAGTAATTTCAGTCAGGTATATGGGTACAATCACAGTGATTTACTTTCAGGTATATTAGTATAACTTTGATGTTGTTCTGTTTGATCTTCAGTTGTTGTGTTTACATTGATGTTGTTTTCTGCTAGTTCTGTCACAAAAGTCCAGAGATAAGTCTGTACCCCATGTCATGCAACAAGCTGGAGTAGTAGACATATTAATTATTTGTCTGTTGTATAGACCTAGACTCTATCCACAGCTGAAAGGCATGCTCAAAGTGCATGGCATATTACCTTGGTCAATGGATCAGTATGCGTTCTCAGCTCCCTTGGCAGTATACCTGTTCAGTGCAGTATTTTCTGTCTCTCTATGCACTGCATGCTATAGAGAATCTTGACTACAACCACACTGGCCTTGTGTGAACCAGGCGGCTAATGATGCTTTGGTTTGTCTGTACCAGTATACACTGGTAGTTTGACACTTCTACCACTTTGGGCTATCCTTGAAGATTAGCACAATCTCATTAAAATCAGATCTTAGTTCTCAAAACAAAACAAAGATCTGAGGACATCCCATTATGGGTCATGTCAGAACAACCTTTCATCCAACCAATCAGAGCGTCGCTTACCAGATCCTGAAAGTGACGGACGGAATGTGTTTTCTAATCATGCAACCTTGAAAAATTTAACAGAGGGTATTCCGAACGACAGCTACGGGTTTTATGATTATATCCATACAATCTAGGCCATCTATCAGCCATTCCAGAACGTTCTTTTTATCAGTTTTAAAATTTTTAATCGAGAATATGTCGAAATATGTTTCGAAGCATAGTCGCCAGTTTGAAACTTATGTCGTAAAGCTCGAGAAAGCTGCCTACTGATTGGCTAATGTCAATTTCTTGTCAGTCATTTCATTGGTAGGTCAAAGTTCCGAAAGGTCCTTCTGACGTGATCCGTTATGGGATGTCCTCAGATCTTTGTTTAGCGGTAGTGAAAATTAAGATCTGATTTGAATGAGATTGAGATTAGCATGACATGCAGTGAAATACTGTTCAGTGTGACACTGTCAAGCCCAACTTACTCACTCACACAACTTGTGTGGGCTTGTTTGAACAATGCCAATAATAGCTGTATCGTAACTGTTTTCAAAGAATTTATCAAGTCAGATATCTCGGAGACATTTCAGAGATGGTATTTATAAAGTATTTCCAGTTTCTTGTTTCTCAACGCTCAGCAAATGATTTTCCCATCAAATTAATGAAAACAAGAAAATCTTTTTGTGATTGTGTTTTGGGTTGAGATCTGAACATGCTGCAATTAAACAGGCAGCTTGTCGAAACTGACCACTGTACTGAAATAAATCAACCAGTGTAAGAGAAATAGTTTTGTGGTGTGTGGTGGAATGCTTGTGTACAGTTACCTCCCTTGCTTACAGGCTCTCCTGGCTAAGAAGGGTGGCATCATGGCATCCGTGTACAGCCAACACCAACAGGATGGCACCATGACCCTTGACCTCTCGTTGGAGATCAACAAGAAGCTACAGGGAGTTTTGGAGGACACACTTCTTAAAAACATCACACTGAAGGTACGTACCGTCTTTTCTTGAGTATAGGGCACACTTATTTTTAGAAAAAAACAGCTGTGTAGAAAGGGGTGCGCATTATACACGCCATAATGAGTTCTGATGTTTTTACCCCAAACGCTAAGACATTACCGTGAGCATGTTACACTGGAAATACCATGTCAACAAATCCATACTGAAGTACGCAAATTAATCATGCAATTACTGTCAGGCTATAAAAAGTGTTCATTGTATATACAGACTTATGTTTGTAACTTTTTTCATTAATTCTATTCAAAGTTTCTTTTAATATTGTTTTAATTAATTTTGGCTAAATCAGGTGTGAAGCGGAAGATTGCACAACTCACCGTTATTAACAGCAACCATGGTCAGATTACTATTGACCCCTTGAAACGAACTCTAGTTGACTGAGCATGGATGCATATATCATAAATGCCATACTTTGACTCGTTAAAAGACATATTTGTTGTAGTTTGACGATTCTATGTCAACACGTATGTCTCGCGATCATGTGCACGGGAGCCTTGGCGGTGACTGGTCAAATTGTTCCAAAAAAATAACTGGCAATAGTGATTAGCTGCACCGAAGTGCTGCGCTTAGGGTTATTATTATTTTAAAAAGCTGCAACTGAATCCCAAATACTGAATCAGCTAGGGAGGTGCGCATTATATGTGGGTGTGTACTATGGTCAAGAAAATACATTAGTTAAAAAAATGGCAACATCACGCTGAAGGTACATAGATAAAATAATGGTAAAGTGCTGAAGGGATGCAGATAAACTGGTAGTAACCATGCTCACGTGTTTCATGAAAAGGTACTAACACATGTTTGTGTTTTATTTTCAGGAAAGCTTAGACACGTTAGGGACAGAAATTGCCAGGCTTTCCCAGGAGAACAGGCATATGCAGCTTACCATTCAGGAACTGCCACACTGACAGACAGCCAGTTGGACGGATGGACAGACAGATAACTGGCAATACAAGAACTGCGACACGGATAGTCTGTAGACAATCCAGCTGGACCTTGCACACTCCTTTCTCCATGTGTATTCTGAAATTGCGAGACGGCACTGTGTCCTGACTATCCACATGGCATAATGTCTCCTTGCACATGGTTCAGAAGTCAATTGTATGATAAGGAAGACATTGTCGAAATGACCAAGGATGGATATGGACTTGTGTGATTCTATTGACTGTGGTGGGGAACAATGATCTTGTGTACATGGAGCTCTTTCTCTTCGTGTTGTGAACATTCCTACCATAAAATGATGCTGGAATAATCAGACACAACTAAGATGACCCAGTGTGGATCGAAAACTGCAACACTATAAACAGATATATCTCCTTTGAAACCATTCTAATCAGACTATTTTTGCACTTGTGGAACTGACTTCAACGCACAGCTATTCAACTGCAATTACTGTTTGATACTATATAAGACAGTATGGCTCCAGCAATGTCTCAGGCTGTCAGACTCTTGGTGTGAATGAAACTCTTGGTGTTGAATGTTAGTTTTGAGGTGCTGCACTTGGTAGAAGTGACACATTGTTGTGCCGTTATTGAGTGGAATAATACCTTTGAATAATTGGGGTAGACTGCCGAATATCACTATGTTACCTGTCACGGAAGCGGCTGTGATTTATCTGTGATTGAAGCTTGTACTACAAAGGCTGTGACTATCCAGAGATTGCTCTAAGTTATTCTTTTCTTGTTCTTGTTTGTGAAACGGTGTGTGGAATCCATTTCCTAATTGTTCCCATGTCCATCCCTGAAGGATGGTACGGTCAAATCCTCAGATAAATCTGTGATAACTTGCTGCACTAGTGACTTACAGACATTCGAGGTAGAAGATTATCACGGTGGATATCTTCATGTGTACTGTGGTGGATCGATCAGCATGGCTGGGGTTCACTGGAGGTTATGTAAGAGTTACATTATACTTTGGGAACATCTTCCGGAGGCAAGTGTATATCAAAGCCTAGTTTTCTACCCTTGCCACATGAAGGCCACTTTTCTTAGCTCAACCATGGCGTCACCTCACGAGTTGTGCCCCTTGTAATGAAAACACAATATCCAATAAGATCACTGTTCTTATCACATATAGCTTCAAAAAGATGCTGACGACCTAGTCGATCAGATAAAGAAATCATTTGCGAACACATAAATAAAGGCAATCATTTTTCGATGAAAAAGATGTGTCAGCAAAGACAGGCAGCGGTAAATCACTTTCATACAAAATCATGGATGTTGGTTTTGTGAAACATTCTGATTGGACTATCGATATGTGTGATAGTCCAATCATATTTAGCACAGAAAAGTGGCAAGAAGACAAAAAGGCTAGAGGATGCTCTTGCTTTGGGAAATGCCAAATGTGGTTTGCACTTTGCAGAAACAAATTAACATTGAAGATGTATAAACCATTGTATCAGAACATCCTGTGAAAGTGCTGTTGATACGAATTATTTAGCCATAACTTCAGCTGCCAATCTCCTACCTAGAGTCTGGTGTACCAACATTGTTTTCATTCTTATCTTTGTCTCAGTGTTTTCTCTTTTCAACTTATCAATTTCTTATGTTATTCATTCACTCCAACTTGTGAAAACCCTTTGTAACTGTTATCGTGGTTAGACATCAAATATTTATCTCGTCTCACATAGATTTCATGTGCACCTGGTCCTGATCCATGCTTGTTGGTTTGGAGGGGGTGGGTGGGATGTTTAGGGATTTGTCTGTCTACCTGCTTGTATATGTGTGTTAGTGCCCTTGTAGGGTATAACAGTGTTTATATCTCATCTTGGCCGATGTGTGTAATATGTGTTGCTCACTCTGTTGAACCAACTGCCATGGGTTCTCTCTAGTGATTAAATTGATTTTTCATCAAAAGGGCAAAATACAGATCATTATTTGTTATTTTAACAGCTTAAGCATGAAAACAAATCGAAACATCGTCATATAAGATTTGAAAATTGAGGACCTGTGAAAATAAAACAAATGATTTACTTCCTGAGTCCAGGTTAGAGATGTTCCCAGAACCTATGTTGATGTAAGAGGTAAGGTGACTTGGCTGATGGCATGTCATCATACCCCGACGGTGTTCACAATATGAACCACTGGATTGTCTGGGCCAGACCGCTGGAATAATGTTGAGTGTGGCATTAAACAACAAACGAATCTGCTGTGATTTATTAGGAGATTGTAGCAGCAAGTCATTTTCAAAATTTCAAAGCTTGCACATTGAGACATCCGCAGTAACCTATGATGGTAACTCAATCCATTAGAGTCTGCTCAGATTTTGCAGGTCGTCATACCCTGATGGTGTGGGACATTGCTTATCATATCAATCACTGGTGTGTGACTCAGTTATTTATAGAGTATGGCTTGAATATTTCCAACTGGTGTGTAAGAGTATATACCAGCCAGGGGGATATACTTGTAGGTGTGGTATAAAGGTCGTAAACCTGGACGAGGGCAACACAGGGTGGTCATGTGGTCTATAGCAGAGTTGCAGTATGTGCTTTTATCACTGGAGACTTGTATTGGACACAAATGAATTAGTTGAGTATTCAGCATCTTTAACATTGAAATCTCTGCTTGATGGTTCAGTTGTCAACATTCCAGATACCGGCTCAAGTTATTATCTGAGAAACATCCAAAGTATAAAACATGTGCCCCCAAACCTAACCAAAGTTCTCCATGGCAACAGGTACATTCCTTGTTAATCAGTTTGGAAAACATTTAAGGTTATCATAAAATTGTTGTCAATTGAGATAAACTCCAAAGCCTGACATCATCACTACTTCTTTGAAGATGTTGTCTTATGTGGATGTGTACAAGATTGTGATTATTTTCTTACTTCACTCACATCACTGTTTCCTTGAAGTTCCTTGAAGTGTGAGTAGCATCAGTATCCCGGGGATTTCATCCTTTCATTGTTCTATACAAGCAGAACGCACTTGGCAAATGAATCCGTGGTCAGCTTGTTACAGTATTTTCAGGAGACTTGCTTCCCTTGGGTTGCTGGCCTTGCCACAACACACTTGATAAAGTGTATTACAATATAGTTGCGGGTGTATATTCTGTGTTATTGTCCTGTGATTCAGTTGAGTGTGATGAGAGATTCACAATGAGTGTGATATTATTATTAACTAGGTGTGTATGGATGTTATTGTACCATGGTGTACTGTAGGTAAAGTATGCATCATGTGAAAATAAATTATTATGACAATTATCATGGTGTTGCTTTATAGTTATATATATATACCAATAAACCAATATCACAAACATGTTTCAATAGAGAACCAAGTCATTTCTTGAAAATGATGCTCCAGTCAGAGGAATGATATCCAATGTCATTGCCTTACTGCCTGTTACATGCAAACAGATCCTTTTGGAATCTTTCAACTTCCTCATGGTGAGTTGGATGTCCAGCCTTGTCAATAATAGTTCAGAAACAGATTCTGGATGAAGATCTTTTGTTATAACAGACGTGTTCAATATGGTCAGCAGTTGATCTTCATCAAGAGCCGACGGATGTGTGTCCTGTATTTTTGGCTGTATTGATCTGAATATCCTGAATCTTGAGAGATGTTTCCTGTATGACCAGAGACTGACAGGCGCCGAGCATCTCCTTGCATCTGAAAACAGCAGTAGAGTGACAGAGAACTTGAGGGGAAAAGGTTAAACATTGCGTCATCGACGATTATTGCACCCATATAGCGGCTTGTGTGTGCCTGTCTCTGTGTGTCTGCTTGTACTAGTCCAGACTGATGCCATTTTATGGTGCTAGCACACTGAGATACCATACATGAATACCCCACAGTATACTGACTCAAAGCTGACCAGTCCTTGTTGAGCGCCAGATCGGGTAACAACAGACCAGGCCTAGAGGAAACACAGTGTGTCGGCTTAATGTGGTAGGAAAGCACAAACATGCAGGTTACTGATGTTTACCACTTTGCCTAAAGTATGATTGCAAGACTACAATAGGCCCTTGAAGCTGAAATAGGCTTACCCTTTCATCTGATGTTTCTGTGCCTGAAGAGTTGTCTTGCCGGTCAGCAGGGCGTTGGAGAAGGACCTGACGTGGGGGGTGGACTGTCGCGTCATCACACTAAGTTCCCCCAGCAGCTGCTCACTCTCCAACAGGGCCGACTCCAGTTTATCTGTGTAAGGAGTACAACTCTGTCACATTCTGTGAGTGAGGGAATCTTAACATGGGGTACTGGGCTAGGACCAAGATCAAGGTGTTTTTCTAAGTGGGCCTCTGGAGCCTTCACTAACTAAATAACTTGAACTTCTATTTTTGATTCATTTTGAAAAGATTTATACATGGACAGCCATTATCAAGTAAGTAGGACCACATTTAAGCTTTCAACAAATGAAAGGCACTGTAATAATATCCCCCATCAATGTCCATATTTCCTGACATGGGTAAAAGTGCACACACTGGCTTGCATCTCGGCAGTCGGCTGTAGACTCACCCAGGAACTGGTCTTCATCTGGTGGGATGTATATCCCCGTGGTGCGGATCTGGTGCCGCGTGGTGTCCAGACTGTCCGCCAAACTGTTGTACTCCCGTTCCATCTGGTCCAGACCCCCCACCACGGTCTCCAGCCCCGCTTCCTACAACACGCAACATATGGTTCAGTGTGGCAGGTATGTGAGTGCAGCAGGTATGTGAGTGCAGCAAGTATGTGATTTCGGCAGGTATGTGAGTGTGGCAGGTATGTGAGTGCGGCAGGTATGTGAGTGCAGCAGGTATGTGGGTGCGGCAGGTAAGTGGGTGTGGCAGTTATGTGAGTGTGGCAGGTATGTGAGTGTGGCAAGTATGTGAGTGTGGCAAGTATGTGAGTGTGGCAGGTATGTGAGTGTGGTAGGTATGTGAGTGAGGCAGGTATGTGATTTCGGCAGGTATGTGAGTGCGGCAGGTATGTGAGTGCGGCAGGTATGTGAGTGCGGCAAGTATGTGAGTGCGACAGGTGTGTGAGTGCGGCAGGTATGTGAGTGTGGTAGGTATGTGAGTGCGGCAAGTATGTGAGTGCGACAGGTATGTGAGTGCGGCAGGTATGAGTGTGGCAGGTGTGTGATTTCGGCAAGTATGTGAGTGCGGCAGGTGTTTGAGTGCGGCAGGTATGAGTGTGGCAGTAGTGTGATTTCGGCAGGTACCTGTACAGCCAGCTGATCATCCAGGACATTCTGGTGTCGGAGTCGAGCCAGCTCCATCTTCAGCTCCGCCTCCTGAGCTGCCAGCTTGTCATTGTTCCCCCACAGACCTGACAGCTGTGCCTGGAAACACATTTTGTTTGTAGAGACACATACTGGGACTAGAATGTGTTTTTAGTCCAAATAAATCAGCAAATTATAACCTAGAAATATAATGGTTTCATGCAGAAATATTCATGCAGAGTTTTGAAGGGAAACAAACACTACTTGTTTGAGACTTAGTCCAAATAGTATCCATGGAAACAACAAATTAAAAAACACCATAATTTTAAAAACATGAAAAGGCAATAGTTGAGCATTTGGTCATTGCACATGTACAGTTTCATGAAAATATATTCCTTAGTTTGAGAGTCATGACTCGGAAACAGTTAACATGGTTAAGAGTTGTTTAAGACTTAGTCCAAATAGTTTCCATGGAAATGTAACAAAATAATTTGTTGAAAAGTTTCAAAATAGCAAAAGGCACCAGTTAAGCTGATGAGCAATGCATATGGCTAGTTTCTTTTGAAAACATTGTACAGTTTTCAAGTTATGGCTCGGAAAAGGATGGGAACACCGACGCCAAGGGGAATAGTAACCGGGCCAAAAACAGTATGGGAGGGGAGACACAATCAGCATCTACCAGTATTCAAGGAAAACCTTCCTCTCGTGAAGCAAGACAATGCATTGGTTGATGGTTTTCTGTCCACATTTAATCACAAATTAAGCTCTTGTTCAGTTATCAGACAGTGTGTCAGTTTAATGTGGAAAGAAAGCCCCAAATAATGCAGGTCATTCATCACATTGGCCAACACCAAAGCACGGGAATGAGACTTGAACCCATGTGCAGTAGATCCAGGACCCTACACACAGGTGGCCCCCTGCCCTCCCTTGATTTAACACATTCTTTGCGGCAACCACAGCCCCCCCTTAATTTAACACATTCTATGCGGCCACCACAGCCCTCCCCTGATATAACACATCCTATGGGGGCACTAGACTCCGCCCTCCCCTGATATAACACATTCTATGGGGCCACCACAATCCTCTCATGATATAACACATTCTATGGGGGCACTAGACTCCGCCCTCCCCTGATATAACACATTCTATGGGGCCACCACAGCCCCCCCTTAATTTAACACATTCTATGGGGCCACCACAATCCTCTCATGATATAACACATTCTATGGGGGCACTAGACTCCGCCCTCCCCTGATATAACACATTCTATGGGGCCACCACAGCCCCCCCTTAATTTAACACATTCTATGGGGCCACAACAGCCCTCCTCTGATTTAACACATTCTATGGGGGCCACTAGACTCAGCCCTCCCCTGATATAACACATTCTATGGGTGCACTAGACTCCGCCCTCCTATGATATAACACATTCTATGGGGGCACTAAACTCCGCCCACGCTTGATATAACACATTCTATGGGTGCACCAGACTTAGCCCTCCCCTGATTTAACACATTCTATGTGTGCACTAGACTCCGCCCTCCCCTGATATAACACATTCTATGGGTGCAGTAAACTCAGCCCTCCCCTGATATAACACATTCTATGGGGGCACTAAACTCCGCCCACGCTTGATATAACACATTCTATGGGTGCACCAGACTTAGCCCTCCCCTGATATAACACATTCTATGGGGGCACTAAACTCCGCCCCCCCCTGATATAACACATTCTATGGGTGCACCAGACTTAGCCCTCCCCTGATATAACACATTCTATGTGTGCACTAGACTCGGACTCCCCTGATATAACACATTCTGTGGGTGCACTAGACTCCGCCCTCCCCTGATATAACACATTCTGTGGGTGCACTAGACTCCGCCCTCCCCTGATATAACTCATTCCGTGGGTGCACTAGACTCCGCCCTCCCCTGATATAACACATTCCGTGGGTGCACTAGACTCCGCCCTCCTATGATATAACACATTCTATGGGGGCACTAAACTCCGCCCACGCTTGATATAACACATTCTATGGGTGCACCAGACTTAGCCCTCCCCTGATTTAACACATTCTATGTGTGCACTAGACTCGGCCCTCCCGATATAACACATTCTATGGGTGCAGTAGACTCAGCCCTCCCCTGATATAACACATTCTGTGGGTGCACTAGACTCCGCCCTCCCCTGATATAACTCATTCCGTGGGTGCACTAGACTCCGCCCTCCCCTGATATAACACATTCCGTGGGTGCACTAGACTCCGCCCTCCCCTGATTTAACACATTCTATGGGGCAACCACAACCCTCCCATGATATAACACATTCTATGGGTGCACTAGACTCCGCCCTCCCCTGATATAACACATTCTATGGGTGCACTAGACTCCGCCCTCCCCTGATATAACATATTCCGTGGGTGCACTAGACTCCGCCCTCCCCTGATATAACACATTCAGTGGGTGCACTAGACTCTGCCCTCCCCTGATTTAACACATTCTATGGGTGCACTAGACTCCGCCCTCCCCTGATTTAACACATTCTATGGGGGCATAACATGAATACCCTACTCAGACAGTATACTGACCAGTTAATCCCCTTAATCGCCAGACTGGGTAACATAAAGAACCACCAGCCTTCCACTCTCTGGGCAGATGCTCTATCCACTACACCAGAGACAGAGAGGGGATCCAACCACCAGCCTTCCACTCTCTGGGCAGATGCTCTATCCACTACACCAGAGACAGAGAGGGGATCCAACCACCGACCTCCCACTCTCTGGGCAGATGCTCTATCCACTACACCAGAGACAGAGAGGGGATCCAACCACCAGCCTTCCACTCTCTGGGCAGATGCTCTATCCACTACACCAGAGACAGAGAGGGGATCCAACCACCAGCCTTCCACTCTCTGGGCAGATGCTCTATCCACTACACCAGAGACAGAGATGGGATCCAACCACCAGCCTTCCACTCTCTGGGCAGATGCTCTATCCACTACACCAGAGACAGAGAGGGGATCAAACCACCAGCCTTCCACTCTCTGGGCAGATGCTCTATCCACTACACCAGAGACAGAGAGGGGATCCAACCACCGACCTCCCACTCTCTGGGCAGATGCTCTATCCACTACACCAGAGACAGAGAGGGGATCCAACCACCAGCCTTCCACTCTCTGGGCAGATGCTCTATCCACTACACCAGAGACAGAGAGGGGATCCAACCACCAGCCTTCCACTCTCTGGGCAGATGCTCTATCCACTACACCAGAGACAGAGAGGGGATCAAACCACCAGCCTTCCACTCTCTGGGCAGATGCTCTATCCACTACACCAGAGACAGAGAGGGGATCCAACCACCGACCTCCCACTCTCTGGGCAGATGCTCTATCCACTACACCAGAGACAGAGAGGGGATCCAACCACCAGCCTTCCACTCTCTGGGCAGATGCTCTATCCACTACACTAGAGACAGAGAGGGGATCCAACCACCAGCCTTCCACTCTCTGGGCAGATGCTCTATCCACTACACCAGAGACAGAGATGGGATCCAACCACCAGCCTTCCACTCTCTGGGCAGATGCTCTATCCACTACACCAGAGACAGAGAGGGGATCCAACCACCAGCCTTCCACTCTCTGGGCAGATGCTCTATCCACTACACCAGAGACAGAGAGGGGATCCAACCACCGACCTCCCACTCTCTGGGCAGATGCTCTATCCACTACACCAGAGACAGAGAGGGGATCCAACCACCAGCCTTCCACTCTCTGGGCAGATGCTCTATCCACTACACCAGAGACAGAGAGGGGATCCAACCACCAGCCTTCCACTCTCTGGGCAGATGCTCTATCCACTACACCAGAGACAGAGATGGGATCCAACCACCAGCCTTCCACTCTCTGGGCAGATGCTCTATCCACTACACCAGAGACAGAGAGGGGATCCAACCACCAGCCTTCCACTCTCTGGGCAGATGCTCTATCCACTACACCAGAGACAGAGAGGGGATCCAACCACCAGCCTTCCACTCTCTGGGCAGATGCTCTATCCACTACACCAGAGACAGAGAGGGGATCCAACCACCAGCCTTCCACTCTCTGGGCAGATGCTCTATCCACTACACCAGAGACAGAGAGGGGATCCAACCACCGACCTCCCACTCTCTGGGCAGATGCTCTATCCACTACACCAGAGACAGAGAGGGGATCCAACCACCAGCCTTCCACTCTCTGGGCAGATGCTCTATCCACTACACCAGAGACAGAGAGGGGATCCAACCACCAGCCTTCCACTCTCTGGGCAGATGCTCTATCCACTACACCAGAGACAGAGAGGGGATCCAACCACCAGCCTTCCACTCTCTGGGCAGATGCTCTATCCACTACACCAGAGACAGAGAGGGGATCCAACCACCGACCTCCCACTCTCTGGGCAGATGCTCTATCCACTACACCAGAGACAGAGAGGGGATCAAACCACCAGCCTTCCACTCTCTGGGCAGATGCTCTATCCACTACACCAGAGACAGAGAGGGGATCAAACCACCAGCCTTCCACTCTCTGGGCAGATGCTCTATCCACTACACCAGAGACAGAGAGGGGATCCAACCACCGACCTCCCACTCTCTGGGCAGATGCTCTATCCACTACACCAGAGACAGAGAGGGGATCCAACCACCAGCCTTCCACTCTCTGGGCAGATGCTCTATCCACTACACCAGAGACAGAGAGGGGATCCAACCACCAGCCTTCCACTCTCTGGGCAGATGCTCTATCCACTACACCAGAGACAGAGAGGGGATCCAACCACCAGCCTTCCACTCTCTGGGCAGATGCTCTATCCACTACACCAGAGACAGAGATGGGATCCAACCACCAGCCTTCCACTCTCTGGGCAGATGCTCTATCCACTACACCAGAGACAGAGAGGGGATCAAACCACCAGCCTTCCACTCTCTGGGCAGACACCCTATCCACTACACCAGAGACAAAGAGGGGATCAAACCACCAGCCTTCCACTCTCTGGGCAGACACCCTATCCACTACACCATAGAGGCAGTGTCTCAACAAGGAAACACAAAATATGCCGTAAATCAAACATGATCATGTTGCAAGGAACGTTACCATAGCCTCCTTCTCCTGTGACTGGAAGGCCATGCGAGCCTTGGCCTCCACAAACACCCACTGCAGGTAGCGGGCGTACAGCGTGTCCAGATGGTCCTGGCTCACCTCCTCCGTCTTCTGCAACACACAGAGATGAGGGCATGAGGGACACATCAATGCATCTTCCATCACAATATTATTACGTCATGCTTAAAATGAGCAAGTACTGTTCCTCTCATCATGCATAGTCCTTGGGTTTTGAGGTTTGCTTCAATGCTATTTGAATCTAAGGACACCCGAACTCTAACTTTTAGGTGAGGTGAGGTGAAATTGTGTGAGTGTGTGCCTGCATGCGTGGGTGCCTGCACTTGTACTAGTCCGGACTGATGCCAATTTATAGTGCTAGCCCTTTCAGACACAGTATACTGACTCCAAGCCGACCAGTCCTTGTTTTAGCCCCTTAATGCCGATCACCAGACAGGGCAACAACAAGTAGCATCTTTTAACCTCTTTTGGTATGACGTGGCCAGGGATTGAACCCCGGTCCTTCCACTCTCCGGCAGACGCTCTACCTCTAGACCACGGAGGTCTAACTTTTAGCATTAGGACTATAACAAAAATCCCTTTCATGCTTGTTTTGGACAATGCTTTGTTTCCCCCCTGAAATATACATTGACATGTATCCAGACATGTAATGGCCAGTTTATTATTACAAGGCAAGTGAAGCAACTGCAAATTCATGGGCAAAAAATACATTTCTGCAACCCAACCCCCAACCAGTGATCTAAATTCCTATGTGACAATGTCGACACTGTGACACAAGGTTCCCGATGGCTCGTCACCTTGTTGGCAGCCTGCTTCTGGTGTTTCTTGTCTTGCTTGATATGACTGATGTCCGCTGAAAAAAGGAAAATAGATTCATGACTGATGTCCGCTGAAAAAAGGAAAATAGATTCAATCTGTTTCTTGTGAGACACGTTTTGGATAAGTATCTAATTGCCTCAATACTCAGGTAAACACTGACACAAATCACAACAATAGCAAGACTGATGACTGCAAAAATTGAACTTGAAATTCCTTTACATTCAGAAAGTTTTGTTGAGAATTATAGGTATTGTAGACTGACTTAGTAAAATCTAAATATTTTTTACATTTGTATACTTATCCTGCATTACTCCTTAGTGCATTCACTGCTTACTTACGACAACTAGAAGGACAGCGCTGGGAAGGTCCTGGGTGAAGAAATAAAGTTGTTGTTCTCAAGTCCCAATCAGTGGCCTTCCGTCGCTGTCCTGTGACCTTGATGACACCTAAGGTCATCTTCACATCACTGCCTGTCGCCCAAGCTCTTAGAAAAACATACTTTTGAGGTTTCTGAAGCCAAAGTGGGGAGGCAAGTCTAACGACGGGTGGGCCTTAAGCGTAGTAATGCAGGATAAGTATACAAATGTAAAAAATATTTAGATTTTACTAAATTTTTTACTTATCCTGCATTACTCCTTAATGCATCTGTATCGGACGGTTTGGAGGTGGGTCAACCTTATGAAAACAGAAACCTCAATAATTCACACCCTGCAATACGACCCCATTTGGTCGATAAGCCGTGAAGCGGAAAAGTTCAGACAAAAACGCCATTACGGTAGGGTTGTTCAAAAATCAAAAACATTGAACATAGGAATTAAAGAGAAATTCCCTATACACGCTTAGTAATAAAGAAAATAATAGCTATTCAGCTAATTCTTTACTTACTGCGTCATAGAGCCGTCGCTGACAAACAAGATTGTCTAATATTCTTCCACTGGTGGCGACTGAGTGACTGCACATGGAAGTTGACTGGCTCTGTATAGGGCGAGTTCATTATTTGCGTCAGTGGTTGGCAATCTGCAGGATAACAACCAGAGGGCCAAACTTCGAACGTCTTTGACATCCTCGAGAGTCACAACGCGAAGGTTATGACTAACGAAAATATGTGTCGAATCTCCAGAAATATCCTTCCGTGATTGTTCCAAAACCACAATTGCCGTGTTGAGCCCTGGTAAGGCTGACACCTTGAGATCTTGAGGGTAATTCGCTCTCGGCGAGTTCCGTTTGATGATCTCGTAGGCCTGAAGGATTACTGCGCGTAACCATATAGATATGGTGTTTGCGATTATGCGACTAACTTCTGTCGTGGACGAACCACGCCTTGTCTTGGAGCGTCGAATGAAAACTCGAACTGCTCGCACCGAGCCCAGGAGAACTTCACCATGTACGATTCCCACAATAGTCGATATCGGTGGGATGGTGAAGAACGGTCGGGTTGGCCTGGTAGTAGATTTTAGCAATAAAATCCCAGCATAACCCTACATGTCCTGTTCCGTGCGTCCCATGCTCAAAACGGATCCGGGTTGAGTCGACCACATGTAGTTCGCTCACCTGTACCGCCATTGCTAATGCCAAGAGAAACCATTGTTTCCTTGGTGATGTCCAAGCTCCTCACAGCGATAGCCCGTTCGCGGAGCTCTCTATACTATACCGAGAGTGTAACGAAGGTGTCACGCGCTGGGAAGGAGCTTGAAAATGAGGATGCAATGAGGGGCTCGAAGGGGGACCTCGCAAACCTCGAAGTACCACGTTCAAGTCCCAATCAGGTGGCTGGAACTTGGCCTTCTGATCCTCAAACCTGAATGAGCATAATATGGCCTGTAGTTCCGTGACCTTAATCACACTGTGATTTTCCGGAAACGGCCAACACTAAGATAATTGCAGCCAATTACGTAGTAATGGTGCTACCTTCCAAGTGTTTTTGGGTACGCAATGTAGGAGGTATTCCTCTAGGAATTGTGACGCAATCGTAGGGTCTTGATTCTTTTCTTCCCTGTAAAAAGTCTCAAGTGATCCCCACTTGTCATCGTCGTCTCTGGGAGAGTAACGATGAACTAAAGCTATAGCTTTGCTGCCCGTGTCGAAATAACCCTTCGCACTTAAACGCCTTTTAAAGACGAACCATGCGTGCAGACGTTGGGTGAGGCAATTTTCTGTTGAGGGTGGATGAGTAGGTTGGACCACTGTGAGAGGGGAAGTGAATCGTTTTAGATTTTTCCGAGCTTGACGAACTACCCTCTCGCCGGTTACCATGGTGCGACCAAAGGAGAGATCGAGATACCTTGTCTCCTTGATCCCCTGTAGCACCTTGGGAAGTAAAAGTGGTGGCAGAAGAGTGTTAGTTCTTTGCCCTTCCCAAGTGATACTGAACTCGTCCACCGCCCAAGTCTGCGGATCCGGCAACGGGGAGATATACGTCATGAGTTGGTGGCCTAGGCAAGTAATAAACAAGTCAATGTTTGGTTGCCTGAATTCCTGAAGCAGTAACTGGAATGCTTCTGTGAGAAATTTCCACTCAGTGGGAGCCACCCTGTCTGGACGTGATAAAGTATCGGCCAGTATGTTTCTACATCCGGGGATGTGCTGAACTATGAACCTTAGTCACAGCCGATCCACTAGATGGAAGAAATCTGAATGTCCTTAGAAGTGGAGAGTGAGAGTGTGTTGTTCCCCGATTGCACAGGCACCACACCGCAGTGCTGTTGTCTGTGGATATAGCGAGTCGGGCTAACTGTAGTTGATTCTGCCAATGTGATATAGCCAGAATTAAAGCTTCCAACTCCAAGTTGTTTATGTGCCACTTCCATTGTGCGCCGGGCCATAGCCCTGAGCTTATCTGGTCTTGTAAGTGAAGACTCCACCCCTGAAAGGGGACGTCCACAAACAGGTGTGTATTCGGGGAAAATCCGACTAAACAGACTCCGCAGACATTCAGCGCCACAAATTGAGGCTCTAGCTTAGTTGGTAGAGTGATGGCCTTGAGTGGATCCTGACTCCTGATGTAAGGGTTCAGGAAAAAAATTGAATTGGTCGCTGTTGTAAGCGGCCCATGCTAGTTAACTCCTGTGCCGAGGTGATTAACCCTAGCAACACTTGCCACTGGCGAAGTGTGTGTGGTTGGTGTAGAGTAGATGACAAAAGAAGTAGAAACTTGTGCCATCTGTCCCTCGGTACAGATAGGATATCCTGGTCTGTCTTAAACAGGTCTCCTATGAACTGAAGTCAATAGGAAGGAGAATACTCCCGACTTCGCCTCGTTGATTGTCTATCCCAGTTATTGACATGTGTTGATGATACAGTAGATCGCCCTCCATCTACGACTCGAACCAAGTGTTCGTCACGTGTAGATAGTTATTGGCTTCATTACTCCTGTAAATAGCCATAAGTGTCACTGACATGTCAAATGGGAAATACTACCATTGGTAGTGAACCCCAATGAACTGGACCTGAAAAGTCTACGGTTGGGATGGATAGTCGAGACTGATGAAGAATCAAACGTTCGTTGAACACAGAGATTGTGGATCATTCTCATCTTGTCTGGGTCCTTCATGAGTACCAGGTAGGTGTGAGGATAAAACCCCGGAGTAAAGACTGGGTTGTGAACCCACTCTACAGCTCTTCTTACCAACAGTATGTCTATGTTGGATTTTCCCAATCAAACTGTGGTCAACGGTGGGGTTAACTCTACCCTTATACGGACACCATGATATAGTGCGATAAGTACGAAATCGTCCTTGAGACTTGTCTCTGCCACTCCCTTTCTCAGTAAGGGAATGCTGGTCTTCCCTGAGAAACGCGCGTCTAGGCTTATAATTCCCTGACTTGGACTTTCCAAGCTTTTTGGGAACTTGACGTGCGTGTCTGCGATCTGTTCGTTGAACAGGGGAGTAGATGATCAAGGTTGACGTAATAGACTGCCCTTGAAACCAGCATCTCAGTTGGAAACGCTATAAAGTCTTGGGTGCAACGGTAATCACCGTCAGAACGGTCTCAAGATGAATTTTCCTGTGGTCAAACTGACGCTGTAGGAAAAACACCATAGTTTGGAAGTGATCTAATCAGATAGGGTTATCCTCTAATAGATTCTGATCCACTGCAAACATTGACGATATTGGTCGCTTAAATCACGGAGCAAATGTGAGTTTTGGAGAAGGCTTCCTCCAATGACCTCGTGGTGTCCCTCTTATTTACCCTGTTATCAGGGGAGGGCGTTACTGACACGAGATGGTCTGCTTCCCAATCAGGTACATGTGCTAAGCTGATCATGTGCCGGTTACGTAACCGAGTACACTGTAAGCCTTGGGCTAACGTCATTGTAGAGACCTTGATTGATACGCAGACGCTGCGCTCAGCGCAGGTCTGGAATGTTGGAACAGCGCTAAGCTGATCGTGCGTCACTGGCGTCATAGGAGCGCTTGGGTATCAGTCAGACGCTGCGCTCGGCGCAGGTTTATGCTGGATATGTTGGAACAGCGCTAAGCTGATCGTGCGTCACTGGCGTGATAGGAGCGCTTGGGTATCAGTCAGACGCTGCGCTCGGCGCAGGTCTATGCTGGATATGTTGGAACAGCGCTAAGCTGATCGTGCGCCGATTGCGTAATAGAAGTGCTTTGGTTGTAGTCAAGTGCTGCGCTCGGCGCAGATAAATCAGACACAAAGCTCAAAAGTATTGACTGGATCAAGGCTTGTGTCTAATCTACCCCCATCATAGCATCTCGATACGCTGGTGCTGTCGCCGACGTCACAGATTATCATACATGTATCTGGAAGTGTCCGGCGGCTGAAAAAATAGGAGCAGTTACGATACTCACAAAATCCTCCGGTATTGTTGATTTCGGTGGATGGTGTACTTCTGCAATCACAGTCGTCATAATACCTGCCGATAATAACGGTTGGGTGGTAATGACAGAACCATATGTCATTCGCTATTCTGCGATAGTGACATTCCTCTCGTCTCACGACGGAATAACTGCAAAATATGATTGTGAGTAATCTGCTTTTATATAGTAAACTCGTTGGATTAGAGATTTACATAAAAATTACATTTTGAATTTTGGCGAGCACATCTACGTGCATGCCTATGACCGTGGATAAAGAGCTTTGGGCGATTATTCCACGACAATATGTACACCGAGCAAACATAATTATGTTACACAATTAAACCATTGAAGAAATGGTACTGGAAGAATGCCGTAGAATTGAACAGTAATCTATCGGCAAAAATACGAATTGCAAGGGTATACAATATTTTTATATACGCAATTCAATGTAAACCAAGGCTATTTACATTTAGAGATTGGAGAGCACATCCGCGCGCAAACCAACCAATCGTGGATGATAATCTTGTAAGGTTTTTTCCACGACAATTAGTAAAATGCTCAAAGGTATGTTACGCAATGAAACCCTTGTTGATGAGATAATACTGGAAGAGTGCCGAAGAATTTGAACACTAATCTATCGGCAAATTTATGAGTTGCAAGGATACACAATATTTTTGTATGCGCAACCCAATGTAAACCAAGGGTATTTATATTTTCATTTAGGGTTTGGAGAGCACATCTGCACGCAAACCAAACAACGTGGATGATAATCTTTGTAAGATTTTTCCCACGACAATTAATACCACGCTCAATCATAAGTTACACAATTACATATATATATGTATATTCAATGTCTGTACATATAGAGTAGGGAAAGGGCCACCTAAGTTGGATAACTTTTGCCCAATCCCGTTGACCATATATGTCAATAAAATATGTTTAAATTAAACACAATTACGCCATTGTTGATGAGGCGGTACTGGAAGAATGCCATAGAATTGAACAATAATCTATCGGCAAAAACTACGAGTTGCAAGAGTATACAATAGTTCATATACGCAACTCAATGTAACACCAAAAATACCAACAAAAAACTATTTAATCGCATAAACATAGGTACGCAATAAAAGAATTGTTGATGAAGCGGGACTGGAAGAAAGCCGTAGATTTGATATTAATCTATCGGCAACCATATTTTTAACGAGTTGAAAAAGTATACAATAATTTTAGTATACGCAACTCACTGTTACGCCAAAGCTAGTAATATTTAAGAACATAAGAATATGTTATACATACGTAGCTGAGAATTGTAAACAATATGACTACCTTGGCAGGCAAACGATTGTAACACAATTCAAAATGGCGGCGAACAACAATATTTTGGCGGGAAAAAAGACAAGCGTCTTTTCACGCCTAATTAATTCACATAAAACTACACAACATGGTGAAAGTAATATGAAAAGAATACATCACCCATCGCAGATCAATTTTTAAGATTGTAGACAAACTGAAGGTCTAAAATTAATCCAAAAGGAGAGCTCCGCTTGGACACGTCCTAGCTGTGCTGCGACAAGCAGTGATGTGAAGATGACCTTAGGTGTCATCAAGGTCACAGGACAGCGACGGAAGGCCACTGATTGGGACTTGAGAACAACAACTTTATTTCTTCACCCAGGACCTTCCCAGCGCTGTCCTTCTAGTTGTCGTAAGTAAGCAGTGAATGCATTAAGGAGTAATGCAGGATAAGTAAAAAATATAATTAATCTGCATCTAATTTGACAGGCGAGCGGCTGTTTCACCCACTTTTACAACCAAGACAACAATGAGTGAGTGAGTATGGTTTTACGCCGCTTTTAGCAATATTCCAGCAAGATCACTGCGGGGAACACCAGAAATGGGCTTCACACATTGTACCCATGTCGAGAATCGAATCCGGATCTTCAGTGTGACGAGCGAACGCTTTAACCACTAGGCTACCCCACTGCTCCTCCAAAGATAACAAACAAAGCAAGTTAGTTGAACTATTAAATTTACATGTTTGGCATTAAGGGGTTCTCAGTAACAGGTGTTGAGCAAGGGTTGCACACCCTTGCTCTGAATTTGGGTATCAAAGGGCTTCGCACCCATTAGTGAGATGCCGAGTAGCCTTGAAGTGAAACGAAGACCAAAAATTGGTTGGGGTTTTGCACCCACAACCTACCAACGACCAGCGGATACCCAACAATTACTGTGAGGATGATTATTCCTCGATACGGAAATACCACATACAAAGGTACAAGATTGATATTAGTGATGAGTACCTGATAACCCCCCAAAGTAATGACAGAAATTTAATATGTGAATGAAATTTGTCTTGTTTGTTTGTTTGCAATATTCCAGCTGTATGACGGTGGTCTGTAAATAATCGAGTCTGGACCAGACAATCCAGTGACTGACATCATGAGCATCGTTCCATGCAATTGGGATACGATGACATGAATCAACCAAGTCAGGGAGCCTGACCACCCGAAGTCCGAAAAGGAAGTCACCTTTTACGACAAGCATGGGTTGCTGAAGACCTATTCTACCCCGTATCTTCACGGGTCATGTGAATGAAATGGTATAAACTGTATGACCAATGACAAAATAAACATCATGGTAATACCAATAGCTACAAACTATACAGGGTCATCATGATGTTGAGAATTAGAGGTATAGGAGGCTGAAATAATTACTCTGTCCATAATCTGACAGGCGAGCAGCTGTTTCACCCACTACAAGAACACATACCAAGAGATATGACGGACGTCTCGGCTTGTATTGCAGAAGCGTCGATGTCGCGGGATATCATGGAGGTCACGTCATGTGTGGGTGTTGAGGTCTTCTTGTCGCTGGCTACTGCATGAGTGGAGGCTACAGGCGTGGTCACTTGGCGACTGCGTGACTCGGACTTCGGCTTGCGCTTCTTCACAGAGCCTGGAGCTTCGATGCTCTTGTGGGAAACATTCTTCCCTACTGCGAAACTCTGCGACAGGAACATGCTTAGTTCGTTTATTTGACACAAAACATGTTGATAGAAAACATCGACTGTCATCCTTATCATTAATACAATTTAAGGTTTCAAGTCACTTGGGAAACAAACTTCTTGTGCTCTTGATAAATGTTTCTCTTCTTGAAAGTTTATCATTGTGATGTTAAAAGCTGTCAAACATCTCTGGAGCACTTAATGTTGAAGCCTCAAAATATGAAAGTATTTCAAACATTATTCTCTATATATCTCCAAAACATCAGTTATAACTCAAATCCTGCTTAACTGAGACAAATTCCCAGTGCTACACAACCTACCCTCTCAGAGGAAAGTGACTTGGACACCTTGGCTGCACTCTGCATGTAGCGTGACGGGATGACAGTGCCCCCTGGTGGAGGAGGAATAAGAAACATTTTACCACTAAGTATTGCAGCACCATGCACAACCAGAGGGAGTGACCGATCTACTGATGCCATTGCCATTAACTCTGTAACATTCCCATCATTTCAATGTCTGTGTCCACAGAATGTTTTGCTAGTAAATTTTCGTGAACATGGATGATATGAACTCTCATTGTTTGTAATGATACAGTTTTTAACTTTTTCTTCTGTATAGAAACCATTAGAACAATGATGCAATGATGAGTAGTTAGCTCTCCTAGCTTCTCAAAGATGCAATGATGTGTGGTTAGCTCACCTAGCTTCTCAAAGATGCAATGATGAGTAGTTAGCTCACCTAGCTTCTCAAAGAAGCAATGATGAGTATTTAGCTCACCTAGCTTCTCAAAGAAGCAATGATGAGTATTTAGCTCACCTAGCTTCTCAAAGAAGCAATGATGTGTGGTTAGTTCACCTAGCTTCTCAAAGATGCAAAGATGAGTAGTTAGCTCACCTAGCTACTCAAAGATGCAATGATGTGGAGGGATAGATAGCTCACCTTTCTTTTTGCCTGGCGTTCTCTTAGCAGAAGTCTTGAAGCTGGAAGATCTAAAACAGTAGAATCAGAATGAAACTTGTCCAGAAAACAAATGATAATGCATGATTATTTCTTGCAAGAAAAATATCATGGGATGGGTGGATGTAAGGATTATTATTTCTGGCTAGAATCAACATATGTCAACAGTGTACCAGTTCTTGACAAGTAAATTCATGAAAGACTGGTGACATTTCCTTGTGGACTACCACTTTCACCATTAGGTAGATGGCAACTCTAGCAGGACTAGGGACATTTCCATGTGGACCACCATACAAGATTACAGTGCATGTCCTATTTGTTTGAGTGGTGACCATAGTGATGCTCGGATGTGTTCAGGTAATTTGTTTTTTAGAAGCTGGAGACTTTGTTCAAACATGTTTCCATATAGTACCGAAAGAAGAAAAGCATCTTGCGAGATAGGATAAATTTAAAAATGTAGTTATATGAATAGTATCTTGATTGGGAATATTTAAAATCCAATTTTGGCATTTGGACTGACAGTAGATGTAGACTTAGGGATGAATGTTGATGTTTGAGAAGACATAGATGATGTAGAACAATCTCTGTTCAAAAGTAAATTCATCTGAAGTTGTCGTACCCTTTCTTACTGCTGGACACATATTCGAAGAGAGAGCAGGCATCACTCTCGCTGATGACCGACGGAGCATCGTTGTCGGACAACTGTGTCTCGGACACCACAGTGACCGGTTCCACCACCCTTGTAGAACAGTCAGACTCCTGCAGACAACAAATCATCTTTGACCATTGGCTCTAAACACAATTCTGAGCTGAGAGCCAAGTTAAAATCACATGACACACAGACATATAATCGAACTGCATTGTTCTTTCAGGATTGAAACAAATGGTTACATCACAAGTATTTAACTCTGCTTCAGCATCTTGTCTACAATACAGCCAACATGATGACTTCCGACTCCTGTCCTAATACACAGGAGTGAGTGAGTGAGTGAGTGAGTGAGTGAAGTTGGCTTTAACGCCATTTTTTAACAGTATTCCAGTTATATCACGGTGTGTCAGCTCAAAGTGGGAGGAAAGCTCGAAGTGATGCAGGTCTCAGACGTTTACCACTTCGGTGAAACCCACAAGCACAGGTATGGTGCTGACAAACCTAGAAACATAATCAGGTGAGTGAGTGAGTGAGTGAGTGAGTGAGTGAGTGAGTGAGTGAGTGAGTGAGTGAGTGAGTGAGTGAGTGAGTGAGTGAGTGAGTAGGTGAGTGAGTGAGAGAGAGATATTGGTTTTATGCCGCTTTTAGCAATATTCAAGCAATATCACAACATGGGACACCAGAAATGAGCTTCACACATTGAATTTGTACCGATGTCAGGAATCGAACCCAGGTCTTTGGTGTGACGAGTGAAAGGTTTTACCCCAAGGCTACCCAACTGCCCCTCATGAGCAAGTGAAATTTTGTGGTGATAATCACATCACATCGGAACCAAAGCAATGGGTGGAATGGAGTGAGTGAGTATGGTTTTACGCCGCTTTTAACAATATTCCAGCAATATCACGGTGAGGAACACCGGAATGGGCTTCACACATTGTTCCAATGTTGGAAATTGAACCCGAGTCTTCAGCGTGATGAGCAAACACTTTAACCATTAGGATACCCTGCCACCCTGGGTGGAATGGATCCATAGCATATATCAGAATAGAAGTAAGGTAAAGTGGAGCTTAACGTGCTTGCACGTGTGCATGTGGCTGCTTGTACTAGTCTGAACTAATGCTAAGTTCATAGTGCTAGCCCACCGAGACACCATGCTGCAGTTTAACATGAATACCCAACTCAGACACAGAATACTCCGAGCCAATCAGCCCTTGTTTTATCCACTTAATGCCGAGCGCCAAGCAGGGTGACAAGTTCAATCTTTTAACATGACCACGGTATGACACGGCCGAGGCTCTCAGGGCGGACGCTGTACCACTAAACCACGGATACGGTCCTATCAGAATACAAGGGAGCAATGATACATTGGATTATCAAGGATGACGAAGTTCAACTCCTTCATTCTTTCCACTGCGACCATTCAGCCCCTAGTACCTTTACTGAGCACTTCCCAATAAAGGTACTAGTAATCCATATGTCAATTCTGTCTTCATTGACACTACATGCTATAAACTGCTCCTTAAGGATTAGAATTGATCGTACTTAGGTGGAGTTCTTGTCTCCAGAATAAGACATCACTTTATAAACTTACATGGGAATCGTCAAAGTTTGGTTGTGGATAGTGTGGAACCCGTGACTGTCCCGCTACTCTGTCCTCACTTGGCTCCACAAACACAACTCGGGATGCTGACATCGGGTCCTTCTGGCCACCTGGGTAACAACACACAGAGTCAACACACAGCTTCATCCTCAACATTCCGAACCTGGCACACACGACCATGCAGACAGGTAGTACTGATATCAGTGTCAGTTTTTAAACATCTTTTTAAGATAATTACTCATAGAGGTAACCAGTGTTTGAAATTTCCCTTTCTGCTATTGTATTTGAATCAAGGACCCCTTAAATTCTAAGACTTTTCCGATGGACTGTTTCCAATAAACATGTGTGGCTACATGGCCATTTGGGCCACATGATCTTTGTTTATGAGAAGAAAAGATTACAAAATTTAGTGCCTTCCTCCTCATAATATCAGAGCTCCAGATAAGCTGCGTATCTGCATAAAATACGCATAAGAAATGCAGAAATATGTAGTAAAATAAAATAAAATCGTATCAAATACACAACGAACATTACAGATAAGCTACAAAAATAAAACTTGTGCGTATCATCAAAATATTGTGAAGTAACCCTGCGTCTTTCGATTAGCAAATCAGCAACTTATTTTGAAATTATAAACGGGCATTCCGTCAACCTTGCCAAACTCCACGATGACAGTTACATCATGATCATTTGCCATCACACTTTCTTGTGGAAGTATCGTGGTATTTTTTAGTCCTATAAAGCTCTCGAACCTACACGACACCAGTTTGCAGGGACTTGATGAATAGTGTTTTTAAATATTTAACTTAAATACCCACATGTGTAAAAACTAGTGGGTAACAGAAATTTGAATACCCAGATAGAATTACTGATACCCAATGATTTTAAAATGCATGGGTAAATTACCCACAACACCAAAAGCTTATCTGGAGCTCTGTAATATGGATAAAAAACAACATGTTGCTGCTTGATGCTGCAGACAGCAACAGTTCTGCTTATCACAGAGACTTGTACAAAATGTGAGTCTTGGCCAGACAAACCAACGGTTGATGTCGTCAGCTCCATCACATGCAATCAACAAAGTCACTGAGTCCGACCAGCCTATAATATGGACAGGCTTCACAGTGATGAGGATGTATTCTAACCCGGTTTGGAAGTGAAGCCAGTTAGGGTAAAGTGGAGACTGGCGGTGTTTACCTTCTATCTGCGTTTCTCGGACCACCCGGGGGGAGATGGCGTGGTGGTGGGAGGGGTGGTCATCTGTCATGGAGAGGTGGGGAACCTGGTCTACCTCCACCTCCCAATGGGATGAACCTGCATCTCTGTAACCATGGAAACAGACACTTCAGAAACTACCAACTTGGCCATAAAAAGACATTTTTAAATTGGGATTCGAACCTCTTGAACATGTTCAACATGTTCAACAATGTGCAGTGTGAACAAGTGTGTGAAATTTCAGTTCAGTGGTTTAGTGTTTTCGAAGGAGAAGATGTTTATGACAGACGGCAGTCAAATGAACCTTTAGCTAAGGTGATTTAAAACAGGATATTTAAGATTATAGCATGGGTAGTGTTATTTACCTGAGGGTAGTGTTATTTACCTGAGCTGCCTCTGTGCACTATGTACTGAGTGATACACCACTCAGATATCCAAGATTTTAGCATGGGTAGTGTTATTTACCTGAGCTGCCTCTGTGCACTATGTACTGAGTGACACACCACTCAGATATCTAAGATTATAGCATAGGTAGTGTTATTTACCTGAGCTGCCTCTGTGCGCTGTGTACTGAGTGACACACCACTCAGATATCCAAGATTGCTATCTACCTGAGCTGCCTCTGTGCGCTATGTACTGAGTGATATCCAAGATTATAGCATAGGTAGTGTTATTTACCTGAGCTGCCTCTGTGCACTATGTACTGAGTGACACACCACTCAGATATCCAAGATTATAGCATGGGTATTGTTATTTACCTGAGCTGCCTCTGTGCACTGTGTACTGAGTGACACACCACTCGGACCGGAGACTTCTCAAAGCCCATCACCACGTCTACCTCCGCCTTGTGTGGAGAGAGGGTCTGGCGTGAAGCATCCAGCACCAACACTTGCTTGTCCTGCATGGAGTGAAGAAGTTAGGTTTAACACTGCTTTGACCAGTATTTCACTTATATATTACAGCATGTCATCTTCAGGGATGTGAGCAGGCTACCCCCCCGATATTTTTTAAATATTTGTTTGCATTTTAAGCAATGATGATGAAAAAAAAACCTGAAGTGATGCAGGTCTTGAACTTTAACCACTGTGGTGAAACCCATGAACATGGGTATGGTGCTGACAAACTTAGAAACATAATCAGGGTGAAACAGGATTCGTACCAATCACAGGATTCTGACACGCCTAAGGGAAGCAACTCTGCACAGACAGCTGGACCAAACATGCCCCTGTCCTGCATGGAAGTCAGGAAAACAACACCTACCGAGGACCAGTAAGAGCAACAGCCTTCAGCATTAATTCTTTAAAACTTTGTCCCTTATATGGGATTTATCTTGGATTCTAAACATGGCAAGCAAATGTGGGAAAAAATAAAATATCCTTTGGTCCAAAACTCAGATTTTTTAAAGCTGTTATTTTAATAAATTCTATGGTGTTTTTACACTGCACTTACTTGCAATAATCATGATAATATAAATGTAAGGAAGACAAGTTCTTTTTATTGTCCCTGTTTTCTTTTCTGACATCTGCTCAAAACAGATAGAAGGCCATATCAGGTTGTGTGACTGAGTGAGTTGGATTTTACACCACTTTTTGCGATATTCCTGCTATGTCACAGATTGTACCCATGTGTGGAATCAAACACAGGTCTTCGGCGTGACAAGTCAACGCTTCAACCAGTAGGCTACCCAAGCGCTCCATATAGAGGCAACACTGTTTCAGTCTCCACACATTTACATAAAGAGCCATGATTCCTCCATCAAAGCACAAGAGCAACAGCTGACCTTTCTGAGTTGAGGGAAGTCGACCTCAGAGTCTGTAAGGTCAAGGCTGTCTTGTGGGGCACTAGGTCGTGGTGACCTGCTCTCTGTCTCCTGGGGAGCTTGCCTATAAACATCAAGATATTATACATCAGAATTTCTGACTGGTAAAAACTGTGAACATAGTTATTGGTAAAACAATAAAAACAGCGTTATCACTATCCCCCGCCATGAGGCACATTAGAAGTTTTGTTTGTTCATATAGTAGTGAACATAAACTATAAGAAAGAGCCCCATAAAGCCCTATGTAGACAGAGGCACTTGGGTCGCTTTTCGTCATCAGAAGAAAATGATTAAATGTGAAATTAATACACAAAAAAGGCTCTTTCTCTGCGAAAAATACCTCAGTCTTAATAAGTATCTCTAAGATAAGCTAACTTTAGTTGTTTCTGAGAAAACTTGCCCCCATTGCACAAATAACATGGATCAAGGGCCTTAACTCTGTAAACAATTAATTGATGGCACAAATCTTCGAATGCAGTCTTGATAAGTATCTCTTAAATAACCATGCAAACTATTATTCATGTTGCTTCAGTAGTTTCTGAGGAAACTTGTCCCCATTGCACACACTATGCGCAAAGTGAAATAACATAGGTTACTGTATGTAAGTTACCGAGATATATCATCCTACAGAATCACTGTAATAATATAAACAGGGCTAATCTGGAAACTGTCAACCAGGAGTCATGGCAGTCCCCAATAAATAAGCATTGTTCTTTACAAATTGTCTTACAAAACATATCTTTTGTCAGTTGTATTAAATATGTGGTATTTTATACAAAGAAAACTGGCAATGGCAAAGGACATTAGAAAACTAAACAGTCAAATGTTTCAAACAACATATGTAACATGAGGGTAAAGTGTGTACACCTACTTGCGTGGTGTCAGCGTTCTTTCTGTTTGTTTAGGTGCTTCAAAACCTGAAATTAGAGAAAGCTTCCATGATATCTCTATGGCAACGAACACTTCAAGTTGAGTGAGTTGGGTTTAACAGTGCTTTTGTTTAGTAATATCAGGGTGTCAGTTTTCAGTTTAATATCAGGGATCAACACACAAAGTGATGCATGTTTAGCAGGGCATGGAGTCATTTCACAGATGCTATCCTCACCTTGACAGCTTGCTGACAGAGTTAACATCTTTGGTCCTGAGGACAAGGCACCCAAATATCGATCAGAAAGTACCCGGTTCGATTCCCACGGGACTCGCAAACGTTATGGACAATACACATCTTAGATGTCTTGACATCATTGAAACCCACAAGCATGGATATAGTGCTGACAAATCATCTAGAAACTTGACGGCAAATCTGTCCTTCAAACCCATGATCATAGGTCTCTGTAATGTCTAAGGGAAGCAACTTTGCAAAGCATATTACGGAGCCTTAAACTGGGCCATTTTGGTGAAACCTACGAACATAGGTTTCTTGTGTGCAACTCAGCACTGCAAATTATGGTGCCTTATGACTGGGCCACCTGTACCCCCCTCACACTGTAAGTAATCTAGTGCATCTATATGGATGAAATGCAAATTAAATAGCTATCAGTAAGCTCTGGAGCTGACAAAATGTTACATTCATGAGGGACAGTTGGAATCTTTTTGACATGATCCTCAACAACTGCATGTTATGTCCAGTTTATTTTTTTGGACAAAGTATTGTATCACCTTGTGGAAGTCGGATGGTTGGTTGAGGTGGTTGCCCTGCTCCAGATACAAGACGACCTTGAGCCAGACGACGCCTGAAACAACCAACATGAAAGTCAGCATAAACATTGGGTATAAGTGTGCTGAATAATCAAGGCTGGTCAAGACAATCCAGAGTTTGATATTGTGAGCAACAATCCATGCCGTCAGGTTACAATAACATGCAATCAACCAAGTCATGGAGCCTGGCCACCTGATCCATTTGGTCGCCTTTAAAGACCAGCAAAGGTTGCTGGGGACCATTTGTATCCCCGACTTCACACTGGGAGTAAACATCACTGACCCCAGGACTTCTCTTTATTTGTAAAACTGGACATGATGAGGTTGTTTGATTTTCACTAGTCTACTTATCTCAGCTGCTTCATATTGTCTGGGGCAAGGCCTGCTAATGATGGACAAGACAAAATTGGTCACCTTCATGTTCAAGGATCTATTACAAACAAACTCTAAACCATGTTCTAAAATGGTGATGAAAGACAAGTGGTCCTTGTCAATAATCCTAGTGTTAAACAACTGTACATTTAAGGATTCTCTACATTATGGGAAATTCCTCTCAGTCTTATACAAAGGGATTTTACCCTCTTGTCATTATAACAAAATGAGAAATAAAATTGTTCTTCTGAGATTGTGAGAACATATGATTCAAGCATAAAAATTAACATGAATACCTCACTGTCTGTTTCAGCTCACTGAATGGACTCATTTAGTGGCTCCGATGTTATACAGTGGTAAGCTAGGATATATTTCCATATATCCCCGTGTTATGGGTTTTCGGACGGTTAAGAAACATTCATAGTTTTCTCTCTAATCACACGACCAGCTGTAAAACATCTCCTTCACTTATCAAAGACAACTTTCTCTTTTAAAAAAAGCCATTTTTTGACTACTTAAAATGTCTGTGTGCTGCTACACCATGGGTTGCACAGTAAACATGGCTGTCTGAAAAGGCATGATGTCCGAAGACCTATAATCTGAGTGACAATACAGATAAACAGTTACAATATGTGTGAAGCCCATTGCTGGTGTTCCCAGGGCTGGAATATTGTTAACATGGTTAAAAGCGTAGTAAAACCCCTCACTAATGAGTAAGTGAGTGAGTAGGGTTTAACGCCGCTTTTAACATTATTCCAGTTATATCACGGCGTGTCAGCTTAATGTGGGAGGAAAGCCCGAATTGATGCAGGTCTTAGACGTTTAGCACTTCGGTGAAACCCACGAGCACGGGTATGGTGCTGACAAACCTAGAAACATAATTGGGGCGAACCGGGATTCGAACTCACAATCATAGGTTTCTGGCGTGCCCAAGGGATGCAACTCTGCACAGCGAATCGCGGAGCCTTAGACGACTGGGCCACCTGTGCCCCCTCCATCACAAATGAGAACAGCCAATATGAACAATAGTCCACTGCAGAGATTTCCGATTAGAATAGGTCTTTATCAACCTATGCTGTACGTAAGAGTGGCGATCAGATAGATCCTGTGTCAGGCTATCTTGGTTGTCCCGACGGCTTGGGTAGTTGTACACAAAATTAATCACTGGATCTTCTGATCCACAATCGATTATATAAAGATCGCCGTCATGTACCTGGAAATATTGTTGAGTTGTGTGTAAACAGTAAACAATCAGTAGAAAGGTATCCACTACAATGAGCCAGGTGGTAATTTCTGACAAGCACTTGAAGCAGGGTCAGAAACTAAATGAAGAGAAAGTGAATATGGACGAGACGGGCTCTGAATGACACAAGCTTGTCTTTGCTGTACCATAAGACAGAGATCGGAATAGATAAATTCCCACCAACCTGTTTTTATTCTGACCCACATTGGACTTAGGAGCAGGGCGATACAAAGATCGCTTAATCCCACTAGTTGACATTTTCAGTCAACCTCTTTCGTTGAGCTTGTTCCGTCCTGTTCAATCTTCGCGCCGGGCGCATGCGTATATTCTCTATCAATTTCCGCTATAACATTTCCGGATTTGCGTCAGGGGCGCATCGCTAGATATTTTACTCCTCTTCCCACAATATTGAAAATCCTTACCGGGAGTGATTTGGGTTTAACGCCGCTGACAATCACGTATACCTACGAAGAATAAGACCACATAATAGTCTATTCGAGTTTGATTTAAGTCATTCAAACACCACCAACTCAATTTGTATATGGTATGATGCTGTCTCTGTAGAAATAAATGATCAATGATGTAGTCAACCAATGAATGCTACTACATAAATCGTTCGTATCGTTATTAAATATGAGGTGCCGTTTTTGCGACAACTATCCATTATCAATGCTCCACCCGTCTCTATTGACATGAATCCATAAATTAATGCCCCACCCGTCTCTATTGATATCAATCCATTAACTAATGAACACCACAATTGCAGGGGACATTTTTTCACACATTGTGAAGGTCTAGAAACTCAGCACCAGTTTTTTAAGAGCAAAGTATATCATTCAATATGGGAGGAAAGTTTTTCAAATAGCAAATTCACATATTACCATTTTTTCATGCCACTACCCAACCACCCAAGTAACATATTGTCATGTCACCCCCTCCCATAATACATGACCAGTCCCTAAATAATGTACAAATGTAGAAATAAACAGATATAATATAGGGCATTGTTTTACCACTGGAAAGTTGAAGTCATCCCTCTTGTGCTAGTCTTGTGGGTAGATTTTTGTTACTCTGGATCTTTGTGCATAGATCTAAATATGAAACAGGCGAGGTGGTCTCATTGGTCTCCTCTATTTCTAGCTCTCAGGGCCCTGTTCCACAAAGCGATCTTAGTGCTACGTTGATCGTAAGCCTATGGTAAAGTATGGGAGTTACGACCAACTTAGCACTAAGGTCGCTTTGTGGAACAGGGCCAGGTAAATCAATGAGGAGAATTGGCTACTTGACCATTATTGAATGATGCCAGATCAAAGATATAATTGAAGTTAAATTTAGCCAAATTCCCTTGTTTTTGACTTTTTTTTAATCCGAAATTAAAAGAAGCAACAAAATAATCCTCGTGCCTTGAACAATACATAGACATTCATGTTGCATAAATGCTTAAGATAAAACAGATGAATACAATTTTTCAATCGTGAAGTTTCCTTTCATATCATAATAACATTTCATATGCGTCTTTGGCGTTCAGATATCCTGTAAAGATCCGGGTTACAATCGGTCTTCAGCAACCCGAAGCTTGTCGTGAGAGGCGACTAAAGGGAATGGGTGGTCAGGCTCCCTGGCATGGCATCATATCCCAATTAACAGGGGGTAAGAGTAGACTAACATTTAGTCTCTGAAATCTTATATTACACAATATCCTTCTTGACTCTAAAAAAACCTCCCTATGCTGATTTCATATGTGGAATAGAGCTAGCTTGAGCTGGCTAGACTTGCTTTTGTATGCGTTTCTAGATATTTCTTTTCATAAAATAAATATATTCCACGGTCATATTGCAGGACTAGGGGTAAGAGCTGGCCGCGCCAAACCGGAAGTTGGTAGGCATCAAATACCATTTTCTCGCTGGGAAGTACAAAATGGAATTTCTCTGGGGCACGAGAAGCATGATTTAAACAGGTTTTTAGCCCCTATATATAATATTTGCAACAAAATAAAAGTAAATTCATTAAGGTAAGACCTTATCGCCTAGCACAGTGGGGCATTGACGTCACACAATTACAAACTGACTCATCTGTTTTAAATTTAGATCTATGCATAAAGATTCAAAGTGACAAAAAACTATCCACACGGCAGTATGACAAGAGGGATGACTTTAATTTTCCAATAGTCATCGTCCCTTCATGTCGAGTAATAATCCAGCAGTCCCAGCCTTTGGTATCTTTATTTGTTATACAACTGGGGGCACGGGTGGCCCAGTCGTCTAAGGCGTAGCGATTCGCTGTGCAGAGTTGCGTCCCTTGGGCACGCCGGAAACCAATGATTTTGGGTTCGAATCCCGGTTCGTCCCGATTATTTTTCTAGGTTTGTCAGCACCATACTCGTGCTCGTGGGTTTCCGAAGTCGTAAACGTCTGAGACCTGCATCTCTTCGGGCTTTCACAATGATGTACAATGTCTGTGTGATGGTACATCCCCCCATTACAGGGCGAGTAATCGCGATAAACATGGCCGTCCGAAAACGTATGGCTTCTATTAATGACAATTAACGGTTTTCATAATATTTATTCATATATTTGACATGTAATAGTATTGCTATTCCATATCCATATATATTGGGGCGAAAGGAGTTTTCCCACAGCAGACGCATACACTAAGTTCTCCCCAACATCCGGGGAATAACAAGATGGAGGAAAAGGAAAGCAAATTCGATGCCAGAAAAAATACACGATTTGACTGATAAGACACACCAAGAAGCATGGATTGACAACGGCAGTTTTGTCTCTAAGTTACAGTAGGTAGACTTTGTCTATATCGGATGATTTCATACCAGAAAACTGGAACAAATACTCTGTGACAGTTTCAACGGGCATCTGCAATGTTGACTCGCTTTGACACCCGTTGACTGATCCCGGCTATCACATCTTTGACTGCTGGCATATGTTACCTAGGCCGCGAAGCTAATTGATGTATATTATCTGTTTTATGACATCACCTTTTCTTAACTTGCCGACTGCTGCGTGTGTCGTTTTCATCAGTCTATTAGACGTGTGTTTTTTTTCATGTGACACAACCAGTAACGCCGTGACCAAATTTGGAATTATATTTCCCGATTTACTGCTCCAGTTAAGGATGTAACACACGAACACACAGTGTGAATGATGAAGTTGAACGATGTTTTTGTGTGGGCACTGGATAGAGTGCAGTTCGCGGTGTAGCGTAGAGATGCAGACGCCTGTTTGACTGACGATTCACTGACCTGCCTGCTGTCATACTCAGTAATGGTCTTGAACATATCTCCCTAATATTGTTGCAACACCCACCAGGGAGAGACATGGCCACTAGTTCGAGACTAGAGGGAATATAAAATGACTTTTTGTTTTCTCCACAAATCAAGTTATATTACAGAAACCATGAGTATGAAATGCAGACTATTTGGATATGACCAATGGCTTCTACGCCAGCCTGCATATTATGCATTGTTATGGTTAGGGATATATGCAGAAACATGCATCTTGTAAAGCACCTTGATACATTTCATAATTGTCCTAAACACTTTGACTTTGGATATGTGGATGCTCATGATACTCATCGTTCTTGATGGAAAAAAGATTAGGTCGTGTTAATATGCCAATGAAAATGTGATACCTTTATCGTCATGATCATGTTTATCAGCAACTTTTTATATTTGTGATATTTTCAGTTGGAAAACATATCAAGTTAGTGATTAGTTGACTTTTATGATCCTTTTACTGCAAGACGTAAAGAATAGCTTACAAATTAGTTTAACATCACAAATTTACTTGGTTGATTGCATGTCATCTTATCAGATCATATATAAACTACTGGATTGTCTGGTCTATGGACTTGATTGTTTACAGACTGCCATCATTTCACTCAAATATTGCTGAGTGTAACATTAAACAACAAAGAAAACAAGAAGTCCTTCCAGATTTATGCTTCGTGTCTAGCTGTCATGTAAAACCAGTGATAGACATGATAGAAATTAGGTGGGTCTTGGACCCTCAGTCCCTTGAGGTGCTTTGCTGAAGTATTCAAATGTGGGGACACCCAAAACTTTAAATTTGAACATTAGGCTTATGAATCATGGTCATGTGACGAGGGGATTTCGTTCTTGGAAAACTGCTTACCCTGGTAACATGCATTTTATTAATTATATAGAGGTAATTTTAATATTGATATAATCATTATTTGAAACGTCCACTAAGGCATTTTGTCTCCAGCAAAATCACTGACTTGACAGTCACCATCACTTCAAGTCTTTGCAAGTGCTACACAAGTTACACTAGAGTCCAACTGTACGGAGGGATGTGGGTGGTGATATTCTGATGCAAAGCCTTAGATTTTCCTTTGCTTTCAGCATGATCAACCTGTTAGTGTTTTACTCCCATGGCTGGTTAATTAAGACTTGTTCATAAAGCATTATACAATCAGATTTAGCCTTTTATTTTGTGAAAAGCAGTATTTAGATAATCCTAGCACGAATGATTATTGAAATTGAAAAAATATTATTGAAAATCAATACAGATTTAACATGATTAAAACATGATTCAATACATGGGTAGCTGAATCGAGTATCGTCCCAACAGGTGTAAATTTGCTATACAGGGATGAAATGTGTCACCTCCAATTCACATGGTATTTCCCAAATATTCCTGCATCATTCTGATTTATTATTATGGTAACCAAACATAACCATCAGTAATAGTTTATCCATTATTCTCACAGAATTATTACTTATGTTGCAGTATTCATCAACAATGGGCAACTCGAAGTCGACCAAGACCGATGTGGTGACGCAGGGGATGCCGCAGAGGGAGCGGGACCTCCATCTGGCCGTCATGGGCAACGACCGCAAGAGTGTCAACAGCCTCATTGCACAAGGCGCTGACATCAACTACCCCTGGAATAACCCGACTGTCCCCAGCGTCAAGGACAGTACTACCCCCCTGCTGGCTGCTGTGTCCCTCAACCATGTGGAAATTAGTGTGGTGGGTAAACTCATGATCCTCAGGGGCTCCAGGAACATAGATCCCCAGTACACCATTTGAGGCAGATTGTACCTCCAATACCCGATAATTGTCCTTCTGATTGCGGATTCTGAGCAAAATAGACCCCCACTACCTCATACTTGTCCCCTGTTGGCATTATGGGCAGGATAGACCCTGATATCCCATGCTTGTCCACATGAGGATTCTGAGGCGGAGTAGGCCTTCAATACCCAAAGCTTGTCCCCAATTGAGATTCTGGGGCGGAGTAGGCCCTCAATACCCCAAGCTTGTCCGAGATGGGGATTTTGGGGTAGGATAGACCCTCAGTACACCATGCATGTCCCCAATGAAGATTCTGTTGCAGAATAGACCTACAGTACCCCAAGCTTGCCCCTCATGCTGATGCTGGAAAGTCTGTGGCAGGATAGACCCCTAACACCCCATTCTTGTCCCTAATGGGGATTTGGGGGCAGAATAGACACTGTATACCCCATTCTTGTCAGCAATGGGGATTTTGGGGCAGAATAGAACTCAGTTCCCAGTGATCAAGGAAAATGAAACTGTCTTGAATATGTGAAAACTTTTCACCACAGAGACTGTTTGCCTTTCAGATGTTGTTGAAGGCAGGTGCTGGAATCAACCGAACGGACAAGAGAAACTGCACCCCGCTCTACAAGGCTGCTTTCCATGGCCGACCGGTCTTAGTGGATATCCTTGTGCAAGCAGGTGAGATGCTGGTAGCAAGTGTAGCAGTTGTTTTGTTATTTCATTACTGAATGAATGGCCCCATCGCTGAAAATCGCTGTGCAGAGTTGTGTCCCTTAAGCATGCCAGAAGCCTATGATCAGGGACAGATTTGCCCAGATTGTGTTTCTAGGTTTGTCAGGGTCACACCATGCCATAGTTGTAATGGCCAACCACAGCTATGATGTGCCTTCCTCCCACAGAAAGCTCATACACGGTGGTGTAACTGACGGACTGGTCAGAGCAGCATTATTAAACTGGCTCACTTACTCTTTCACATTAAATTATGTTGTGTCAGCAGGATCTAAATAAATTTTAAAGAGAGTCTTACTCTAGCCTATTCCTCTTGTCATGCCAGGTGCCGATATTAACAAGGCGGACCTGGAGAGTCAGACTCCTCTGTATATCTGTGTCCAGAACGCTATCGTACACTCCAGCTACGCCACGGTGGAACGACTGCTTGCTGCAGGTGCATCCGTTAACATGTAAGTTTGTGTGGGGCTGTGGCATAAAGCCACAGAAGTAGCTAACATGTTAGTTAAAGACCATCCTTAATGACAGTACAAGTAATCAGAGCTCCAGATAAGTTTTTGGTGTTGTGGGTATTTTACCCATGCATTTTAAAATCATTGGGTATCAGTAATTCTATCTGGGTATTCAAATTTCTGTTACCCACTCGTTTTTACCAATGTGGGTATCTAAGTTAAATATTTAAAAACACTATTCATCTAGTCCCTGCAAACTGGTGTCGTGTGGGTTCGAGAGCTCAAGGACTCAAAAATACCACGATACTTCCACAAGAAAGTGTTATGGCAAATGATCATGATGTAACTGTCATCGTGGAGTTTGGCAAGGTTGACGGAATGCCCGTTTATAATTTCAAAATAAGTTGCTGATTTGCTAATCGAATATGCAGGGTTACTTCACAATATTTTGATGATACGCACACGTTTTATTTTTGTAGCGTATCTGTAATGTTTGTTGCGTATATCATACGCTTGGATTGTATTTTACTGCGTATTTCTTCAATTCTGATGCATATTTTATGCAGATACGCAGCTTATCTGGAGCTCTGAGTAATAGTTGTGGGACGATACACCGATGCATTGGTGGATCACCAATATTGATCTTAGTCGCACACTAAGTAAAAAATATCGATTCCCACCTAAGTGGATATAATAACTGTTACACCAAGCACTGATTACTAAATAGTAGTGAAAATTAGTGGTGAAAAACGCAAATGTTTTCGTCCATTGTGACATACTTGACACTGCCAACTGTAAATCGTCAGTGTGCCTGGTATTTGGCCATCTTGTCTATGAAAAAGATGGCTTATGCACCGGAGATAAGAGCACATGCAAGTATCGTGATACGTATTGGATCGCACAGTTGGTGTATCGTTCCAACCCTATAATTAGTCCTAGTAATGTTTGAACTAGATTCACGATAGTCATGATTGTACTGACCATCACTAGGATCGATAGAATTGGTGCTCTACCAGTCAAGAACATTGGTGGGGGTCTCGGCTTTTTGTTAGACAATAATTTGTCGGTCATTGTTTCAAGAATGAAAAAATCGACAACTCAGATCCATGAAAAATTAACTGGTGGATTTTCTGAAGCAGTTGATGTAAGAAAAAAATTTGATTCGCTGTGCAGAGTTGCGTCCCTTGGGAACACCAGAAACCTATGATCATGGGTTAGAATCCTGGTTCGCCTTGATTAAGTGTCAAGGTTTGTTTGCACCATACCCATACTCATGGGTTTCACCAAAGCGGTAAACATGGGACCTGCTTCACTTGGTGGAACTTGTGTGAAAGTCAATTCCCTCACTCCCTTTTCATAATAATATTGCTAGTAAACATGAAGCATAGCTAGTATCCCTGTGGGGATTCCAGGTTATATATAGGTCCCCAGCAAGAGGTGACTTAATGGACAGATCCATAATATCCTGCCATAATGTCTAGCCATCCTGTCTAGCCATACCATGTATCCATACCATCTTGCCATACTATTTATCCATGTGGTGTGTCCGCAGGGCTGACAAGTCGGGGAAGATACCCATCCATGTGGCAGCCCACTGGAAGCTGAAGGACATGATCCGAATCCTGCTGAACGCCAACAGCAACATCAACTCCATGGACCTGAAGGGTCGCACGCCGCTGTACGTGTGCGTCAGCTCACTCAGCACGGGGCTGTACTTCGAGGACCTGAAGTACCAGGTGCCGTGCATCAAGGTGCTGTACGCAGCAGGCTGCGACATGCTCAACCTGGTTGACTGGCTCAAGTGGAAGGGGCCGGGAATTCCTGCTGAGATGCTGGCCGACGACGACAACTTCCGCAGCTGGTACAAGTCGAACATGAACTCGCCCCACACCCTGGTGAACCTCTGTCGAAAGACCATCCAGCAGCAGGTCTGCTACCAGGAGAACCTGGTCAAGGTCATTCCAAGGTTGCCCGTTCCTCCCAAGCTGCAGACGTACCTGTCAAGGAAAATGTTCCATCTTCCCAAACCTTGACTCTGCAGATGCAAGCTGTGATTGCACATGTCGACAGTTGCAATCCCTCCCTCGAGGCGTGTGACTGTTGCAGGTCTATAGAAGGGAGGGAGGTCCAAGGGGTCAGGAGTTCCCTCCCCTTCTATGGCCTATCATCCACTCCTGAGTTACCCGATAGTGTGTTTTTTAGAAACAAAAGTATTATCGAATTAAGTTTGTTGTTTCAAATCATCGACTAAGAAGGGAAGGATCCAAGGGTCAGGATCTTTACTCTTCTTTATTGACCAAATCAAAATAATTTTTGTCAGTTTGACTTTTCTCGAATTCATGATGTAGAATTTGAATGATCCTGGCATACATGTTTGACAAGTTTTATGAAGGACAGTTATCCAAAGGGGTCGGATATCTGTCCTTTTTAGTCATATAGCATGTTGCCATGGATACAGAATATTATTTTGAAGACCTCTGTTTCATACGACTTGACAAATACCACTGCTATTGGACAGTGATCTGTTAGACCGTACAGTAGGTAGATAATTATACGGTAGGGTCATGAGAGAGAAAGGTTTGAAACAGAGGTCATATTGATTTCAAATCCCTAACAGCACAATCATAATAATCTTCTGCAATCACAGCTTGGTTTGGCCATGTTGAACTTGGCTACACAAGTTTCATTGCGGCTGTATGTTGAGACATCTCCATCTCAAAGCTGCATCAATGGTATCTGTATTTGTAGAACAAGGACATGGATGTATCGCTTGAGGTTATCTACATATACTGCAGGTTTACGCAGTTGAATGGGCTTCCTTCTCGAGCAGCTGTGTCTGGTTCAGTGATTTCTCATTGGAGCACATTGTATGGTGATTCATGTTGCGTACAGCAGTTTTATCGCTGCAAGACTGAAGTACCGTGAAGTACTTTGTGTTGGAGATGACTCAATACATTCCACAGTCTTAGTGTCATATTGTTTTGTTTTTGCTGATTTTTGCAGATGGCTGTCAAATAATTGTGATGCAGTTCCATTTCAGTAGTGGTTTTCGGGGAGAAATGATTGATGTTAGTTCGTAAATATTAGTAATTTACAAGTCTTGAACATTTTGATTTTTGATATTCATTATGGAGAAGAAGAAAAAGATTTTGTGTTTTAATGAGTTACATGAAAGGTTACAAATACACAGGTCAGAGGTCAGACTGTAGATGGCATTGTGTTCCTGCTGTTAGATATTGTCTAAACTGCTGATTGACAATGATGAGAGATAAACATTGTTGATATCACTTAAGGATTGTATTCCAGTTGTTTTGTGTTTATAGTGCTACTGTTGACATGGAATTCTTGAACTTCATGTATTAATATTTTATTGTATACAGTGAATTTTCTCCTATATGTTGGTTATTTCCTTGTTTGAGATTTGCATCAAAACGTTCTGAAGATTTCAGGTAATTATTATCAGGAGACAGAGTGTTGTCTTCAATTGGATCTTCCTGGCAGAGTATGTTACTTATACAACCTCTTCCTGGCAGAGTATGTTACTTATACAACCTCTTCCTGGCAGAGTATGTTACTTATACAACCTCTTCCTGGCAGAGTATGTTACATATACCTCTTCCTGGCAGAGTACGTTACTTGTATGTTTGTTTGTTGATGTTTATGTTCTACTAATTGCTGGCAATGGAATATTATGAGAAGATGGCAAGGAGGAGATTGTTGTTTTTTTCAACTGAATATTCATTACACAGAAATGTTTTCAGGCAATATGTTTTGAAGAGCTGGGATATTTCATTAGGGGTCTGTGTTAATCTGATTTTATTGCTCTACGCAAACAAATAATTAAAATTCTGTTTCACAAAAAATTGACATACTGTGTTCGGTATGTAGAATGGTAACGCAAGCTGACCAATATTTGGAATGTATTTTGTGATAGTCATATATCATGGTTATAGTTCAGGCGTGATTCAAGGAGTACTGCAATCATGTTGACACATTATGAAAAGTCCCACCTCGATTGGATGAAACTGTTTAGCTACCAATCTTACTATAATAATCTCTTCCTTGCCATTTATCCTACAAAGTTATGTAAATATTATGTCTTCAAGTTGTGCTTTGAAGTGAATATTTGCAGTTATAAATTATACCATATGATATATTGTCACCAGTGTGGATGACGCTGGTGTTGTTTAAGGTCAACGGTCATAGCAAATCCATTCAAGATGTTTTCGAGTTTGAAACTTTTGTGAAATGGAGGAATGATATTTGTTTTCGTGATTGGGTCTGCTATGTCGTTCACCTTGCATTGAAGGATATGAAATTACAGCAGGTCTGTCTATGTTATACATTGTTTATTTTACTCATTAAGTGGCACTCCAGCACTGGTAAATATTTCTGTGGGGAAAGTGTCCACTTCATTTGTTCACATTATCAAATATATTCGTAGATCAATCAACATGGTTTCTGGTACTGCTAACATCGGTCGATTCCTTTTGTTATTTTCAGTAAAAAATAATTTAAAAGAAACGTAGTCCTACAAATTAGTCTGTACCAAAACGTTGCTTATTCTTTTGAATTTCAGGTCTCTGATCCAGATAGTAATTCCATCATGAATGTTAACTTGACCTTATATGGTCATGGTACTTGAACAGTGCCGGTTAATTCGTGTGAAGGCCCTGGGTCAGATTTATAATATATTAAACGTTAAATATTTGTCAGAAATTTGGGAAGTACTTTGGATAGACTTTTTCATCCATCTCATTGTGAACTGCGTGTTCTATGGAATCCCACAATGCACTGGTCAGGGAAAGAAGTAGTCATAATTGTGTTTGTTGTTTAAGCCAGAAAGCATTTGTTTAGTAAGTTATTCCTTACTATGGTACCAGCTCCTGTTGAAACTTACATCCCACCAAGCCAAGCTTTAATCTAGTCACCAAATTCAGTTTGATTTCTTCCAATACTGTCTCTAAAGTCTAGGATATGGTCACTGGAGTTCATGCATCAACAGGTTAGACAGTCACTAGTCAGCCGAGACCAGTGAGATAAGGCAAAGAATAGTTGGTTCTTATCAACTAGACCACCACAAAAGAATAAAATGAGCTGTGGACAAGGATTGAACTCCTTGGGTCTTCTTCCCCGGTACTGTTTTTGATGGATATCGGGATAGATCGGATTGTGAAGGACGTCGGTACATACTTACCAGAGTGGTGTGTCTTGTGGGTTATCTACAAAATAATAGACAGCCATTGACACTTCTGCTGCATTGAAGAGCTTTATATGGCCTGTTGCAACTCATTTGAACTGCGTTAAACAACTTCCGTTTCTCGAACAGGGGTGTTGGCAACTGCGTGCACTAGTGTGCAAACAGTCATCACTGCAGCCATGGAACTAGCTGCCACTACTGGCTGTTGGAAAGTGCTGAAAGTTTATGTGGTTCACAATGGCGTATAAGTCCAACTCTAGCTGCAAGTTTTCGTGGCGTTATGTTTCAGGTTTTTGCTGTAGATTTATTGTACCTGAATATGCCCAACATGTCTGCTCCTTCAGTTTAACTTGTATTGTTTGTAACACAAGTTCCGCATACATTGACAAAATAAAAACATTTCAGAAAGTTGTTGGAATTGTTGTCTTTCCCATGGACCTTGTGGGACTTTGGGGGCAGAAGTTGAGTTTGGTCAGGCTCCTCTTGGAGGTTGACAGATGAACAGAAATATTTCACAATGTATGGAATGCTGACAGAAAGACAGCAATATTTCACAATGTACCGTGCTACAAAAGCTTGACAAGAGTCAACATTATTGGAACTACATGTATTACACTAGGGTGCAACGACAGTTTGTCGCGAGTTGTCACACTGCTCAGCATCCAATTTTGGCGGCAGTGGGTGAATATTGGTCCTGCAGCAATTGAATCTGGAACAGAAAAATCCGTGATAGCCAGGATGATGAACTGTCCACGTCATCACGGTTCATCGACCAGCCACACACTGCAACCACCTAATGCCCACTGTAGCTGCAGGGCAAGCCTTTCTTCATGATGTATCAACTGCTGGTTTGTCTGGATCAGTTTATTGGCCACCTTGATCTACATGAAAAACTACTGGCTGTGACGTTAAACAACATTCACTCACAAGGAGCTACTGGGGGCACGGGTGGCCCAGTCGTCTAAGGCGCCGCGATTCGCTGTGCAGAGTTGCATCCCTTGGGTATGCCAGAAACCTATGATTGTGGGTTCGAATCCCGGTTCGCCCGGTTTCTAGGTTTGTCAGCACCATACCCGTGCTCATGGGTTTCACCGAAGTGGTAAACGTCTGAGGCCTGCATCACTTCAGGCTTTCCTCCCACATTAAGCTGACACGCCGCAATATAACTGGAATACTGTTAAAAGCGGCGTTAAACCCAACTCACTCACAAGGAGCTACCGATTGAGCCCCCTGCTCCAACACTGGGACAATAATATGTACTCCAGACATCACAAAGATTATGTTTTTCTAAAATAAACTGGATGTATTTAATTGTTTCTTTGACATTATTTTATTGCACAGAAAGACTCATGTAAGGGGAAATAAAGTTATATATGCTACTCAAAAGAAGATAAAGACCATCTGATTCTAGTAATATGAAAGAATGAGGTGTTCTTTGACCTCTTTTGAGGTCATTCTACCACAACCTGGGTATGATAGTGTTACAGGGCGTGGAGTCGTCCCACAGATGACATTTCATTCATCTGAATGGTTATGACATCAGAGTTATGTAAAGTATATGCTGGATCAAGAGTATTGTCTCATTCTGCATCCAGGATGAAAGTTGTTTATCACCTGACCCTAATTCTTAGCTTCTCATTGGCTAATTTCAAAACTAAGATAGTCTTTTTTGCAGCAATCTAACCACCTCACAAGCACAGAACAGCACAAGAGGCAACAACAAGGTGGTGGCAGGGTTCAACAGGCAATCTATGGTCATCCAGCGTGAGTCACCACAGTTAATTACATGGCTCAATTCCACAAATAGGGCCATTCATTTCTTCATTTCTACATTTCAACATTTCTCCATGTCAACATCTCTGAATCTGAATAAAAACCGATCACAACCCCACGTTGGCGTCTAATCAGCTGTAACAGTAGAATAGCTCTTCAGAAACCCATGCTTGTCGTAAGAGGCGACTAACGGGATTGGATGGTCAGGCTCAATGATTTGGTTGATGCATGTCACCGTATCTCAATTACATCGATGCTCATGATATCAATCACTAGATTTAGTCCGGACTTGATAACTTACAGACCGCCATAATATTGGTGGAATATTGCCGTGTGCAGCAACAAACAAACAAACAAACCTGGGTATGAACAAAGTGGCAACAGACTACACATACCTGTACATGGTCAACTACGATTATTATTCACATCACAGCATTCACATCTATAACATTCAACAATTGCTTAGAATAGGAGTTACAATATAGTTCTGTTTGGTAACTGGGGCTACAAAGGCAGCTGTGACAAGCGATGTCACCTCAAACATTTTGACATCAAGATGTCTGTCAAGATCGGCCAGCAGCCTCGTATGTTGTTTTTTTCACACGTGGCCATCACATGGTAGGACTTTAAATAATGACATAACTCTCATTTGGAGCAGTTCCAAACTTTGATGTTGATAAAAATCTTCCTTCTTTGTATATGTGTTTGTGTGTGTACATGTCAGGGCTCGATTTAGTTGTATAAAACATGCACAAGAGCAAGCTAATATTTATGTAAAAAAATATCAAATTTGTGTGACTAACTCCACACAAAACCTATCTTTGAACACACTCAATACCTCTAAAGTTTATTTACCATACTACATCACTGATCCCTGAGTCACCTGTAATTTGTCAAGCTTTCTTGGCATGATGTCATCAATCTGTGGGTACTTCAAGATCATGTGCACGTTCCTGTCATGTTTTGCAGCAATGCGGCATTAATTTATGTGACACTGGCAGAAGGCTGGTCTGTTACAATTTAAACTTTGATAAATTTATAGGACCAGGGTCAGCCTGGTTTTGTTTAGTGCAACTTGGTTTTCATGTCAACATGCTTCTGGTGCAAGATAAATAATTCCTTAAATCGAACTCTGGATCATCTTCCTGAGGCAAGGGAGTTACCTGAAAGTCCAGTTTCCATCCTTGCCAAACAAGGCTGATTATGGAGTTATATTTTGGCTGGACTAACAAGTAACGAAACTGCCATCTGGTTTGTAAACTGCCATACAGATTTTGGTCACCAGCAGGATTTGCAAAACGTGTACCGTCAATTTAGTGTCAACATATATTTTCCCAATTTTTTCATGTTTTTAATGAAGGTGCTCAAGTGATTTGGTGCGCTTTGCTAAGTGAGACCCATTTTAATACAATAAAGATCTTGATTATTGATCAGATCGTCTTCACTGGGCGCTGCCATTTTGTTTGAATGCAAGTGATATGAGAGGTGGAATCTGATTGGTCAGTAGGAGGGACATAACTCATAATAGCCACTGGTGCTCCCATGGTTACGGTTGGCAAGACTAGCATCACAACAACCTGTATCGAAATGTCAAAAGTCAACAATCAGCATCTAAACACTATACAATGTCCGGCCATATCTGTTTCGGGGCACAGTCTTCAATTCCGGTAACAAGTCCAGCCGCCCTCTCCCTCTTGTATCCCAGGCAGTGAGACACGTAGCGCACTCCATCCACTCTCCGGTCCTTGTTCCTATGCTGATGGCCAAAAACATGGACGGACGAACCTATCTGCCGAATCTGTGCTTCTAGCACCTTGCACCCAGCATAGCGGGTGAAGTTGAAAGATCGTGGATTTATATGACCTTTCTTGTTTGCTTCGACAGCGCTCTCAAGTCCAAGTCTTTTCCTTTCCGTTTCAATTTCTGCAAGTTCTTTATCTGAAGGCTTGACGAGATCTGTTCTTGGTAGAAAATGGCTGAACGAGAGGACAGGGTCTGTGTATTGTTTCATACACGTCTGTGAATTTAGATTGGCAAAATATTTGGATCGTGTTCCTTCGAAACTTGGCCAAATACACAAATGATTGTCCATCCACATGTTGTGTGACTTGTCTTCACCCACTGGGTTCTGTGGTTTGATGTAGAGCGAGTCTTCCGAGTCTTCCTCTGGAGTTGAGTACCAGGAGAAGAGTGGCACAATCCACACTGCGGCCATATTGGATACACACAATGACTCCGGCTCGGTCACGACCCCCATCTCCTTGCACATCGTGATTATTTGGTGGAATTTAGTGATTGAATCTTTCTCCTGCTCAGGCTTCCTAATCCATAGCTCATGGTTCCCTGAAACAACAGAGTGAGTGAGTGAGTGATCAAGTGAGTGAGACTGAGTGAGAGTGATCAAGTTAGTGAGTGAATGACTGAGTGAGAGAGACTAAGTGGGTGAGTGAAAGAGTGAGTGAGAGGGACTGAGTGAGTGATCAAGTGAGTGATTGATTGATTGAGTGAGTGAGGCCATCGATGAACACAAGGTGGGTGCTGGCAATCATAATAAAAGCAATCTGGAATGAAAACATGAGTCATCAGAATGGAAATATAGACTGAATACTCCAGGGTAGACTTCCCAGATCAGATGTTTTTTTCTAACTGTGAACCTTATACAGCACCAGGCTCCATCAACGGTTATAGAATCCTCACCCGGAACGTAGTAGACCCTGAAGAAGACTTGCTGCAGATGTTGCAGTGTTTGTTGAAGAAGTGGCAGCGAGTCTGTGACGTCGCCAGCTACTATCAGTGCATCATTCTCGTAGTCCATGGGCGACCATTGCTGGATAATGTCCATGTTCTCTTTGTAGTCAACATGGAGGTCAGAGATGGCAAACACTCGACGCATAATGGCTGACACAGCAGGTCTCAGTTTCATCGGTCTCTGTCTGGAATAGTCACGTGGAAATTGTTTAGTTTGCTTTCCTCATTTAGTTCAACATCTTAAACAAAACATTTTTTAAATTTCCTATTTTCTGGATTAACTGGTGTTATTTACAATCTCTTGAGAAAATGATGAAAATACAATATCTTATATTTTGCTTGTCTGATCTGTCTATTTAGATCTTAACTGGATTGACAAGAAAAACAAACTACAATCACAAAATGTATTTGGGCATTGTGTATGCCAAACATTGTTTTCAATAAATTAGTGAGTAGAAAACGTACAATTTTTTGGATAACAACTTCTGGTTGATTGTATATAGCGCCAGGTAAGGGTTTTATACAAAATAAGTCAAACCCGCGTCGCTGACATGACGACTTGACACTACCCCCTTCTCTAGAGATGATATCGCTAGAAAATTTTCTAAGTTCAGTCAGAGACCATATAATAATCTATTATATGGTCTCTCGTTCAGTTATGCTTATTTTATTCAAATCGAAGTTCAGTATCTCAAAACTACCCTAGTGGACACTCTTCTGTTTACACCATCAACATGCTGCTTGTGTACGGGATTTCCAGTTTCAGGAAAACCACCAGTGTCAACAGGAAGACCGCTTGTTTCGTTCAGGAAATCTGAACTCACACTGAATCCTCCACAGTCAGCTGACTCGCTCGTAAACGTCGAACTACTTCCGTGTTGGAAGTGTTGGAGGTTGTTATCTCCCCTTGACCGCACAATTTCATAAACGACTTGCTTCAGTCAAAATACTAGTTTCAGTTATTTTAGTGCTGTTTTGCATTTTACCTCCCTATCACGGTATACAACTGTGAAAATCACAGGGATAAATATATCATAATGATGGATACTTAGCGTTCACGTTCAATTTAGCACGACAAGTCTGTCGTCATAGTCACAGTGCGGGGTATTTTCTTTATTATGGGATTCGTCATTATTTTGTAAACTTAATTAAATTAAATGTTTCAATTTTAGTCTAAACCTCTCTTCCGGTGACGCCAAAAAATGGTTATGACAATATTACATGTATATGGTTTTACAGATATATCAACCGGACTGTCAGAGCGGCGAAACCCTTCTCACTCACTCACTCACTCACTCACTCTGACGCCGAGCATGCAGTAGCCTCGTGGCTTTCTAACTCGTTCTTGAAAAGAATTCTTATTTGTGCCTCTCTCTTCGGCTGTTAAATGTCTCTTGTTTAGAACTTCATGCCATCATAACCTATTGAATTACACGTGGGTAGGTTGCTCAAAATTCCCGTCAGTGAACGAACATGTGAACACCATTATATTTTTCTTTGTCCTTGGTTAGACACCAACGGAAAATATTTGTTTCAAATTCATATGTTAAAAACCAAAATATGCTTTATTATTAAGAACTTTTAATTGTAAAACAATAAGTGTTACAAACAAGCTTCTGTGCATCCTGTAATGTCACTATGGAAACTGTGAAATCTGCCACGTAAACAATCCCGCCATCTTATGTATATATTGCTTGTAAATTTGTACCTCATGTGCCGAGTACCCGGCCTGAGTGTAAATAAAGTCTTGTTGTACTCCGTCCTCCAAAATGCCACCCGTGAAGATCCGGGGTAGAATAGGTCTTCAGCAACCCATGCTCGCCGTAAAAGGCGACTTTGCTGGTCGAAAGAGGCGTCTAACGGGATCGGGTGGTCAGGCTCGCTGACTTGGTTGATGTATGTCATCGTATCCCAATTGCGTGGATCAATACTCATGATGTCAATCACTGGACCGCCTGGTCCAGACTCGATAATATACAGACCGCCGCCATATAGCTGGAATATTGCTGAGTACGGCGTTAAACAACAAACAAACAAGAAAAAAAACCAATGTCGATTTCAGCATGAGACAGAACGACGTCGTGCACGACGAGGTATAACAAACGACATCACGTTATACCACAGACTATTTATTCACATAAGGAAAAGCTACGTCATATGTTACTGACAAACGATATGGGCATCATCAATACATTAGCTGATATTCAATATGACAAACGATGGTGAATTACCCGAATGCTTAAGGCTGGAAATTACTCACGCCACATAAATCGATAATACATCGGTAATAATACCTCATGTATTACCAAGCGTAATGTCTTTGAAAATAACAACACATTATTGTATTTATCTTAATAAATGACAATTATGTAATCGTTAAAAACATTTTAGGGCCTTTGCCTTATTGGCTATCATTTGCATCCTTTTAGGGGGGGGGGGGGGGGGGCATTAAGCCGTGTATAGTGCACGCGACTGTGTTGTGGAGCTGGTGTATGTTATGGCGGCGAGATCCGGCTTTTTCAGGAAGACAAATATAAATATTCGCCGCAGTTACACGTTTCACTTCGCCCTTGAAATGACCTTGAGTGCCCCCGTGTCAGCTTGTAGTTATATAAAGGTGACTTTCTCCTCCCGGGTAGGCAGACAGACAGCCATCCGATGGCGGCCACGCCACGCACACGAGTGCGGAAACTGCCTACCGTAAACCTGATAAACTTCGTGTCCATATATACCACTCAAAAGAAGTTAAGGATTACCCGATTCTTTCACATCACTACAGGTAATCTCTCATTTCAGGGCAGATTAACAATTGTAATATGAAAGAATCGATGATCCTTAACTTCTTTTGAGTAGTATATGATTTGACTTGGGCATGTTCCTGGGAATATGAGTTATATTTAAAGGTGGCAAGCTTGTGACAGGTTGTTTCGCGAATACAGAGCTTCCTCGTGCAGACTTCGTGCCACGAGCGTCAAATGTCAATCGTATTTTGAATACAATCTCATTAAAATCAGATCTTAGTGCTAGATACCGCTACTATAACGGTAGCTGGCAGTAGTGAGTGAGTATAGTTTTACGCCGCCTTTAGCAATATTCCAGCAATATCACGGAGTTAGCAGTAAGATATGATTTGAATGATATTGTACGGACTAAAAACAAATCCGGAATTGATTCAAGTGATTTAACCAAACACGTGTGTGAAATAATTGCGTTTTGTCATTTTACGAAACTTTAAAATGTTAACAAGCAAAGCACAGAAACATTATTCACAGCAAAGGTATATAGAATCCGTCGTTTGGCGAAGTGCCTTCCTTGGCGGGAGATTCTAAAGCTCTGGCAAGTTGACAGTTCCAGTAAGTCTGATTTAAGTGTTTCAAAAGACACCCTTTTATCCTCAAATTAATTATGTTGATCAAGCGTTTAGTGATACCCTACATGATGTACGTTGTCATCGTGACTTCAGTATTTATAGGCCGTCGGGATATAGCCGTTATATACACTGCTGAAGTTAAACAAACAAACAAACAAACAAACAAATAAACGATCAAAGAGATTTTTATTTATGTGTCATTTATTCGGGAATTGTACGCCTCTTATGAAATTAATCATATTAGCATAACCATAATATTTTATGACACTCTTTTATAGATTTTTAATTATTATTGACAAACATTAAACCTAGACAAACATAACCCCTTTTCTATTACATATTTATCAGGACTATAAAATTGCATTCTTGATCACGACCAACTTTATCCCGTACAATCCTATCTCCAGCATGTTTACCTGGTACGGCATAGATAACACACCCATCTAAGTGTGTGTTTGTTTCTGCACTGCACGCCGCGTAGATAACATGCGAGGACAGATAACCGCCTAACTCCGCAGTCAACCCTTGTCAGTCGCGTGATAATGTCTCCGCAGGAATTTGTGAGTTGGGTTAACGTCATTGAGAACTGTATTCCAGTTATATCACACCGTGTGAGCTTAATGTGGGAGGAAAGCCTGAAGTAATGCAGGGCTCAGACGATTACCACTTTGGTGAAACCCACGAGCAGGGTATGGTGCTGACGAACCAATCTGGGATTTTACCCATCGATCAGCGGATTATGACACAACTATAAGAAGCGCTAAGGGAACTCTTAAGGGTCATTGTTAATGTCTTCCTAAGTTGTACCTACATAGATCCATCGCCTTTGCTGACCAGTGAACCCTGGGGAATCGAACACAACAAATCCATTAGGCCCCCCCCCCCCCCCCCCCACCACCACCACCACCAAACACACACACTCCAATACTGGAAAATATCTTTTTAACGATGTTTTCTCTACTCACGGCAGACCACAGAACTGTTTCCATTCAAAACCAAGGAAAACCTTCCTAGATTTTTTTTTATATATAAAACAGTTTTATTTGAATCAAATTGGGGACAAGTGATACCCCCCCCCCCCCCCCAACCCCAACCCCAACCCCTAATTCACACGTTTAATTGATCACAAGGAGTCTTATGTAAACTAATTATTGTACCTTGTGGTTAAATGATAATCACATAAATATCAGATTTATCTACGGAGTTGACCGACCTGGAATTGTACACCTTAAAGTTCATGTTTGATGTCGTTTAGTGCCGCACTCAGCAATTTTCCAGCTATATATATGACGGCGGTCTGTAAATAGTCAATCTAGTGATTGACATCATGAGCATCAATCTATGCAATTGATGACACCCTGAAGGGCGAGGTCGAGAAAGGATTTATTTTAAGCTGCATTTTGAAAACGCAAGCTTTGTTTCATACAAATACAGATGGTAAGCCTCCAAAGAATTTAAAGGGGGCGTTCCCAACTGTTCTGCCCACTTCCAGTCAAAGTTAAGACCTTGTGATGACATCCTCCATAATGCAGGGTATTACATCTCCATGCTATATCAATAAATAACCTGAGCCCATGGCTTCGTTTTAAACCGATTCAAATTACATGATGCTGAAAATAGCCTTCAAATCAAATGGCATTAGTGAGTGAGATAAAGTATTTGCTGAATTATTGATAAGAGAAATTGAGATGACATCACTTCCGGAACGAGGCTGCGGTGGCGAATGGGCCAAGAGTGTTATTCACAACAGAACGGAAAAATACCACACTGGGTAATCGAAGATCTTGTAATTAATGCCTTGAGTAAAACTCCAAACTCACTCTGTGTTTTGGGACATAATTACTTGCTTGATCGGTAGACGTAAACTGCATGTCGATAAAATGGAGTTTGAATGATATGAATCAAACTTGCAAGGACTAGTTATTGACCCCTTCAAACAAGCCTGGTCCCGTGAATGCGATTCCACAACCATATACTGAGCAACAAAAGTTCCTGTGACATTGAATAAGATTTAATGCAAAGGTATGTTTTTTACCAAATCTGAAACAATTTCGGTTTGCAACAGAAAAAAGACTCATGTAAGTGTTCAATTGGTTTAATTTGCCATACTGACTTCAGAAAATGCGATTTCATAAAAAAAACCCATGAACATGCCAAAATGTCAATTTACAAATCAATAGCGTGTGTGTCCACCTCTGGTTGCGATGCATTATTCTCATGGAATGGATCAGGCGTCGCACAAAGTTCGAAGTTCCTGGAGTGTCTGTGGAACACGTAGTTGACGTCAAAGGCGCCGATCCATCTCATCCCGCATGTAGAACGGCAGCCCAGAGCACTTTGGTCAAACGAACAAGGTACCAATATCCGAACACAGGAACATTTACTGTGTAACCCAACATATTCATATATGGATGTCTGCCGGGGAGCCCCTGCTGCGTGTGGCCCCTGGCCCCCCAAAAGAAGGGGCCATTCAAGGGCTGGGTCAAACATTGGAGGTACCACATGAAAGTAAGTGTAAATGAACTGGTACATCTCACAGAGTACAGAATGGGCCACGCCAGACAAATCTTCTTCTGCAAAAGGCCTGCCAGACACCCCCAAAGAGGGTCCCAAAATTTGGGCTGGGTTAAACATTGGAGGTACCACATGAAATCAACATAAAATGAACTATTTCACTCTACTAAGAATAAAAACTCCATTGCCAGACAAATCGTCTGCTGCATAAGGCCCGCCAGACACCCCCAAATGCTGACCCTTAATGCACTCAGTGGACACTCTGGTAAAATTTGACCAGAGTATACATTCAAAGTACCAGATGAAAGTAAGTTTAGATCAACAAGTACATGTTACTGAGTACAACACGGCCCATACCTGACAAATTGTCCTCTGCATAAGGTCCGCCAGACCCCCCAGTGAGGGTCCCAAAATTTGGGCTGGGTTAAACATTTGAGGTACCACATGAAACCAACATAAAATGAACAATTGCACTCTACTTATTGCACAATACCCATTGCCAGACAAATCATCTTCTGCATAAGGCCCGCCAGACACCCACAAAAAGTTGACCCTTCAGGTATACACGGGTAAAATTGGTCTGGAATATATATCGATTGTACCACATTAAGTGCTAGACACACTCTCACCCCACCCTACACAGTTGACCCTCTGTAATCCCAGTGTGCATAATGAAACATTGGACATCAGCTCTGAGAGTCAACAGATGGTCAAATTTATGTTTTGTTCTTAAAGATGGAAGGATTTTATTGAGATTAAAATCACGTATTTATAAAATCAGGTCTCTGAATACTAGTATTGATATCATAGATTAGGCCTATCGTTGAAATGTAATAAAAAAAGGCATGGTATCTGATTCTTGTGAATATATATCTGAACAGCTATGAAGTCCTCAAAGCCTGCTATAGCCTGATAGCTTGGCTATGGATTCCTACAAACCCAAACATGCTTAGGTAGTCCTCAAAGCCTGCTATAAGAATGGTAAATGACAGTCCCCAATACCATTTGGAAATCTTTTGGTGATAATTGTGTTTAAAAACCTATGATCTCCGTTTATTTAGCAAGTTTTATCATCTAAAAATTTCCATATTTATGGTCGGTCCCGAAAAGTTTATCGTATCGAGAAACCTAACAAAATCGTGGCACAGACCTGTATATATATATATATATCTGTTTTTGAATATCCTCAATAAAGAAGGGAAAGCCATACACGATAAATTTAACTTCTTTTTTTTCTGAGGTGTGTAACGAGCACGTCACTTCTCTCGAAAAATCGACATCAAGCTTCCCGGGAAAACATTTCTTACCTCCCGGTAAAATGCCAAGAAAGGTTGCATTAACCTGATCCATTCAGGGTGTTTTCCACAACACAAAATTCTAAACAAGCAATTGTTGATCTGTCACGATTGACTGAATTTTGTATAAATTCCCATATAATTGTTACCATAGAGCTGTGTTTTCAAGCAAATGTGAATTCTTTTGTTAAAAGAAAAGCCGTTTCCAAACCACACCTAGCCATTTCTTTTCTGCCAACCTCTGAATGCAAATATGAAATCTTAATAATAGTGCTACTGACGTTATAATCAAAATATTGCTTGAAGCATTTATCAAATCATAAAACACTTTGAACTGAATAAACATGATCATACATGAAGGTCGTGAGAAACCTTCCTTTGACACACCCTGAGTAGTATATAGTGAGGGCGCAGGAGCTCCTTTTGGTGGAGGGAAAAGTGGAGGGAGCCTGAAAGGGTCCCCCAGCATATCGGAGCGAGCGCAAGGGACAGCGCGTCACAGGTGTGGGGGAATGAAAGGTGTGTGTGTTTATAAGACAGAAAAGAATTCGTAAGTCAACAAAAGTAAAGGGTATTCAATAGAGCTATGTGTATGGCGTGCTGCCCTGAATAGACAAGCAGCCCAATTTGAATTGAGCGCGCTTGACAACTCACGTGACCACGTCGTTTCAAATTGTTTATTGGTCATAATGGTTTCGTTAATTTCAGGCGTTAGTAGAAATAACAATTAGTGTACAACTCACGTAGTCGTTTCAAATTGACCGCGCTCGCGAGAGCGTGCGACCTGGTTTGATGAATGCAGGGTGTGTGTTGAAAGTACGACCATACCACAATAGAGACGGGTTGTGTCAACATGATATACGCCGGGTAATGTAGGAAAAAAAAAAATGTACGTCTAGCTGGATCAAATTCATCTTGTACGGTCTACACGTTGTACACCATGAACGTTAGACAACCTGTATGGAAAAAACATAGAAGAAATAGATAAGACTACACAATCAGCAAGCTAGCGGTGTCGGTGTCGTTTAATTACATTTAGCGCGCAAGAACAAGGTAGTCACGTCACCCTGCATTGACTATAACGCTGAAGGCAGACGGATTTCGAATCACCCGCGCTGCGTACTATTGTGAACCATTTGTAAAGAATTATTCAACCCTGTCCCGACTTGCATAGTTGATGTTTCAACTAGCCTTTTTCTTTTAATGCGATGACAAATAAACCGTACGGTTTGAGTTTTAACCGTGTAACATGATGTGCACAGTTTTACTTCAGAACGTGCTATTTTGACAATAGATAGTTCGCAATACGTATGGATAGAACCATGTCTATGTTCAATAGAAAACTGATGAGTACATGTAGCAATGTGATAGCACGAAGCTAGGTTTGTTGGGAAAGTGATGGAAGCAATCTATAGGACATTTTCATGTTTACAATACTCACCCTTAATTCGAAGAGAGAACAGAGTTTATCATGGAAAATTGTTTGACGAGGAAAATGTTTTATTGGAAATATATGTCGAAGCAGGTTTATTCATAGCTAATGTATAGCAGAGAGACTAAGCGACCGACCACCCATAACAATGTCAACATACCCCGGCCTTACAATTAATGTTAACATACCAGCCTCGCCTGAAGCTTCCCATTCATAAATTGTGTGACCAGTGTCCCGTATTTATGATACGTTAGGGAACATGTGTTGTACATTTGTTATTTTAAAAGGGAGTTATTTCAGAGAGGATATATATGGGTATTCCCCCTCATTAAACCTTTCTTTCGTTGGTGTCTATTAAACGTATCCGGTATTTAATACATTTGAATGATGTAGGAAAGTATGTGCGTGAAGATGTTGTACCTATATCCGAACACGAATGTATGACACCTTTCAATAGACCAATTACGGTTCTAACCACGACACGCAACATGACTATGAGCGTGGTAAGCAGTTCATATTTATAAACACATCGTAAATGACAGATTTCTGATGAATGAACTCGCCCGCACACATGTCTATAGGGTTATGTTCGCCCGAACTGTAAACAGTGACACATTGATAACAGGAAGGGTGTGTGGAATGCACTCGTCCTTGTAAGGGTAAAATACGCGTTTAAACTCACCATTTAAATGATGACATTACTTTTTAGATGTATTGGTATCAGTGAGTGAGTGAATTTAGTTTTACGCCACACTCGGCATTATTCCAGCTCTAGGACGGTGGTCTGTCAATAAACGAGCTTGGACCAGACAATCAAGTGATCAACAGCATGAGCAGCGATCTGTGCAACTAGGAACCGATGGCACGTGTCATCCGAGTCGGCGAGACTGACTAACCGATCCCTGCCGTCAGTCGCCGATAAGCATGGGTTACTGAAGGTCCATTCTATAACCCGGGACCTTCACGGGTGTAGTATGACGAAGACTATGATCGAAAACTGAGAAAAAACAAACAATTCATTCGTATCATTTATTGATTCGAGTCAATCGGTTCCATACAAAGCCGTGATATACGAATGGACAATAGTATTCACTCTGGAACATTATTTAGTCACTCATATACACATGCTGCTGCTGCTCGAAGGCCCTATTGTTTAAACAGCGAGTCCATGTTTTGAAACACATTTCGCACTGTTGAATGTTTCCTTGTCTACGCTGTTTTAAGGTTGAATGGTTGTCTATAGTCTATGCTTTATCCATTGCTTGTAACGATTTCCGTCCAGGAGGTCCCAGTTTCACAATTCCTCTCACGTAGAGGGAAATTCGGCGTTTCTTATCGTTCAAACGCCTCAGTTTACGAGGTGTTTTCAAAATATGAATCAAACTAGACGCGTGGCGTTGACTCCGCATTCTCTTCTGACTGTTAGTCTGATATAGTAGTGATGGGTATTTATGCCTAATCGTTCTGCTCACGATCATCATTCTCCTCCTCGTCATCACCGTCGTTATCCTCTGCAACGCTATCAGATTCAGTCTCACTTTCTATTTCCGGCATATCCATCAAAGGCAGGATCTCTTTCATCTTGGGTTTTAGGAGGAGTTTGATTTTATTTTTGAGAACGGATTGTTCCGTGGAAGGATTCATGTCTCCCAGGTTGTATAGCATGTTTTGAAACAGAGGTGCCTCTTTAAAGTACGTGGTTTATTCCATCGCATAGTTGAGAGTACTACGCACTAGATCCTCCCACCTCAGTTTCAATCTTCTCTCAATCCATTCTTGCGTTCGTCCCTGTCGCTTGTACTGTTTTTTCTGCAGTTTCATCATGTCATGAAACGTATCGTACACCTGCTTCCAGATGCGTTGTAAGCCTACATTTTGCCACTCCTCGGCTTCCATATTAGTGAATGTTGACTTCCCACGTGGAGGTTTGACGGCAAGACCACTGCCTTTCTGGGAAGAGGCTAGGTCGTCAAAGTCACTGTCATCGTCATCACTCTCGAGTCTGGCACGCTTTCTCTTAGGTTGAAGGCTATTGGCCGGACACCAGTGTTTGATATGTCGCTGTAGATCGTGCATGTTATCTATCAGCACCCTGCAATCTGCGCAAGCCGTGGCCATAGTCAATGATGTCTCACTTCTCGTGTCTGAATCGGTTTCAATTGGAGTGAGCTGATGTTGGGGCAATCTCTCTTCATGTGTCAGAGGACTATCCAGAGATTCTGTTGTAGTCAACTTCTCCCTACGCAGATCAGGTTCAGACTGTGCTGTTGTTCTCCTGTTTTCCTCATTTATGAGGTTAACATGCAGTCGATCCTTATCTTTGGTGGTAGGTTTTAGATCAATGGTGAGTTGCCCATAGGGTGTTTCAGCAACCTTTTCATACATAGCCTTTAAGTGATCCATATGTTCGGGGAAAATTCTACGAGCGAAGAGTTTAATTTGGTGTTTATTTATGGGGTAATGAAACAGGGTGACATAATGCGCGTTCAAAGCAATGTCTCTCGATTCCTTACCTCTCGGAAACAGATTTTGTATCAAGAGAAAGATCAATACATTCTTGTGATGTGAGGTTTGAGTAAACAGCCGCGAAATACGCTTGTCGTGCTTTGCTTCGGCCAGGAAATCATCCAGGACCAACACGTTCTGTTGACGAGCATCAAAGTAATCCTCGTCCAAGATATCATAGGGAATTCCTTTGACAAAGGTCAGCTGAGGAAGCTGCTCACCGAGCTCCTGATATAATGGCTGCCATTGAGTATAACACCAAACGATGCGGGTAGGTTGGGGTTGGATCAGGCCATGCCGGAGTACATGAGAGGTAAACACAGACTTTCCACAACCACTGAGTCCCACAACGAGCGCATTTGAGGGAATCAGGAACTTGAATTGTTCTCGAAGATCAGATATACATGGTAAATGAGGCAGCCACGAGTGGACTAGCGATGGCGGCGGCGGCGGCGTATGTGCTTGTAACGGCGGGTTGGCTTGACGCAGCGGCGGCGGTGGGTGGACTTGCGACGGTGGCGGCGGCGTTAGCAGGTGGGCTTGTAATGGTGGGTGGACTTGCGGCGGCGGCGGCGTTAGCGGGTGGGCTTGTAATGGCGGGTGGATTTGCGGCGGCGGATGGGCTTGTAACGGCGGCGGTATGCTATGTTTATTTCTCCTGTGTCGTAACATGACATTTCTCCTTGAAAACATTTTTTCACAGTCCGGACAGTTGGCAACCCCCATGGTGATCCAATACGGTGTGCGATTAGAGGGTATGAAGCTTTCTTTTATACCCTTGACTCTGTTGACGCTTCAAGGCAGCAACTGCCCGTTCCACCACAGCCTTCACCTCCGACACATGTTGTATTTACACGGGTTGGGGTGTTGTCTTCGATCCCTGTTTGGTTGTCATCGTTTTCATTTTGGGTGTTACCTGTCTCTTCTTTGTCTTCAGCGTCGACTTCTTGGCTGCTTGTGGTTTCTTTCTCTGTTGTGATTTTCTCAACGTAGTCTTCCTAAATATATCTCTAGGGTCAAGTCTAATCTCTGATGCTTTCTTCATGTTGTTCACGTCCAATCCGTTTGCTGGCGAGAGTAAAACTGTTTGTCGGGCTACACTACTGTAGAGTTTATACTGTCTTACACGTGCAGGGATTCTTGGAAGACACTCTTACATCATGTTACACGGTTAAAACTCAAACCGCACGGTTTATTTATCATTGCGTTAAATGGAAAAGCTAGCATTGAAACATCAACTATGCAAGTCGGGACAGGGTTGAATAAGTGAACGCCCTCTATACAAATGGTTCACAATAGTACGCAGCGCGGGTGATTCGAAATCCGGCTGCCTTCAGCGTTATAGTCAATGCAGGGTGACGTGACTACCTTGTTCTTGCGCGCTAAATGTAATTAAACGACACTGCTAGCTTGCTGATTGTGTAATAAACAATTTGAAACGACGTGGTCACGTGAGTTGTCAAGCGCGCTCAATTCAAACTGGGTTGCTTGTCTATTCAGGGCAGCACGCCATACACATAGCTCTATTGAATACCCTTTACTTTTGTTGACTTACGAATTCTTTTCTGTCTTATAAACACACACACCTTTCATTCCCCCAAACCTGTGACGCGCTGTCCCTTGCGCTTGCTCCGATATGCTGGGGGACCCTTTCAGGCTCCCTCCACTTTTCCCTCCACCAAAAGGAGCGTCTGCGCCCTCACTATATACTACTATCCTGGTTTGTCTTGGCATTGTAATTATCTTAATGGCGTGATTTCCCACTTGAACTAGAATTAACATGATCATACTTGCAGGTCATGAGAACCTGTTTCTTGGACCCCACTGGTTTGTATTGCAATTGTTATAATCTGAAGGCGCGACACCCCAGTGTGGTACCTCCAATGTTAAACCCAGCCCAAATTTTGGGACCCTCACTGGGGGGTCTGGCGGACCTTATGCAGAGGACAATTTGTCAGGTATGGGCCGTGTTGTACTCAGTAACATGTACCTGTTGATCTAAACTTACTTTCATCTGGTACTTTGAATGTATACTCTGGTCAAATTTTACCAGAGTGTCCACTGAGTGCATTAAGGGTCAACATTTGGGGGTGTCTGGCGGGCCTTATGCAGCAGACGATTTGTCTGGCAATGGGTTTTTTATTCTTAGTAGAGTGAAATAGTTCATTTTATGTTGATTTCATGTGGTACCTCCAATGTTTAACCCAGCCCAAATTTTGGGACCCTCTTTGGGGGTGTCTGGCAGGCCTTTTGCAGAGGAAGACTTTGTCTGGCGTGGCCCATTCTGTACCCTGTGAGATGTACCAGTTCATTTACACTTACTTTCATGTGGTACCTCCAATGTTTGATCCAGTCCTTGAATGGCCCCTTCTTTTGGGGGGCCAGGGGCCACACGCAGCAGGGGCTCCCCGGCAGACATCCATATATGAATATGTTGGGTTACACAGTAAATGTTCCTGTGTTCGGATATTGGTACCTTGTCCGTTTGACGGAAGTGCTCTGGGCTGCCTGTCTAATGTGCTCGATTGGTGATCCGAACAGATCTTCTTCCATGACACAATGATTGACGTAACGTTCACCTCGACGTCGGTACACTCGAATCCGTCCATCGGTGTGGCTGAGGTGAAAACGAGACTCGTCGGTGAATAGAACTTGTCCCCACTGCATGGCCGTCCAGCGTAGGTGCTGTCTGCACCACTGTAGACGTTCATGAAGGTGGTTTCCTGTCAAAATGGGACATCTGGCGGGTCTTCTGGCGACAATCCCTGCACATCTGAGGCGACGACGTACGGTTTGTGATGATATTCATCGAAGGCAAGGGATGCTTCTTGTCACTGTTGCTGTCTGGAATCGATTTTGTAGGTGTGTTGTTCAAATCCAGTTGTCTTGTCGACTATTGGTTTATGCGTGGCCTGCCACTCCAAGGATGGTCTGTGACTGCATTCATCTGTTGCCAACGTTGCCATAAACACCAAATGGTGTTTCTGTGGACGTTAAATTGTCTTGCAACATCTGAGTGGTTGTTGTCAGCATGATCACCCATTCTTGGGTAGTGAAATGCATGGGGCTTGCATAAAAGTCAACTTTTGCATGGAATGCAAGCTTTTCTGTAGCAGTTGCGTTTTTGTGACTTGATTCCCATACATGTACTACAATATTGAAAACCAAACTTTACTTGTTTGAAAAATACACTAAAATATTGGCGTCACAGGAACTTTTGTTTTTGAGTATATGTCAGTTCTAGGACTGTTTAACTCCCGTACTGAACATACTCAGTCATAGCGCTAATTGTAAGGTCGCCATGTGGAACTGGGACCGCGGATCCTGTGGCTGACGGCTACGTCGAGGTATGTTGACAATCTGCTGAGAGCGAGGTCTTCCACGGTGGTCTTCAACTGAAGTTACAACGACCGACGGAGCTGGCCACCTAAATTGCCTTTGATGGCAGCCGGCACTATTCCAACTGTGACATAACAGCCTGCACATTATGGAGTATTGGTCAGGAAAATCAGTTGTTGGTTGCAGAAACGTAAAATCTACTTGGTCATGAAGTTGGTCCAGTCAGAAAGCTCACACCTCCCGATCCTCATGTTTTAGGATATTGTTTTTTTTACCTTTAATTTGAAAGGTTGGGCACAGAAGGTTTTTTTATGACGTCATCCATGTAGCACTATTCATACTTGTGTTTGCCTCTTAAATGCTTCACTCCGGTGGTGGGGTAGCCTAGTTGTTAAAGCGGTGGCTGGTCACATCGAAGGCCAGGTTTCATTCCCCACATGGGTACAATGTGTGAAGCCACCATGATATTGCTGGAATACTGCTAAAAGCGGCGTAAAACCATACTCACTTACTAATGCTTCACCCACTATATTCCAGCTATACAACCCACCCAGTGAACAATCGGGTCTGAACCAGGCGATCCAGTGATTGATATTGTGAGCAACCATAGGTGTGAGTAGGGCACAAGGATACGCAATCAGCCAAGTCACTAAATCTTAACCATTCAGTTGCCAATAACGACAAGCATTACTGGGGACCTATTCAAACTCGGGATTCCCACAGGGTGATATATTTCTGGGGACACATTCTAACCTGGAATCACCACAGAATGTGGACTGGGCCTGTTTTTCATAGGGATAGGGACATAATCACACTCCTTTCTGATATTATCGAGTGAGAGAATTTTGATTTTACATCACTATGTATTTCAGATGAATTGTTGTTTGTGGATTCCATGTTCGAAAGGTCCCCAGCAAATCATGTTGGTTGGTAGAGCCGATCCATTTGACTGGGTTGCTCAGACTTGGCGACATGATTGAGTGCGTGTCATTGGAGTGTTCACAATGTGAATTACTGGATTTACTGGTCCAGACTTGATTATTTAAAGGCTGATGTCACATAGCTGGAATATTGCTAGGCGTGGCATTAAACAACAAACAAACAAACAATCAAACAATCAAATGACCGAGTCAGATTAATGTGGGTAGGGAGCCCAGAGTAACGAAGGACCAAGCCGTTCACCACTATGAAGAAACCCACGGGAACATACTCCTGTTATTGATCACAACAAGCAAGGTGTGGTTGCACTGCTTTATTGAAGTACTCCAGTGTACAATGAACTGACAGACAGAGCTGATACAAATATACACATTCTGATTACCTGGTCTACCTCACCCAACAGGGTATCTACCTGCTACCCGTGACAGGACTACACATGTCCATCCTGCGACCATAAAAGTACCAAAACATGTTTCAGTGAAGACACTTCCGTAATGGGCCTAAAGACACAAACTCCCAGTATAGGTTAGATTCCCGGTCCGCATGATCATCTTTACACGACCCCAAAATGGCCACGTCAGGGGGATGCAGGAAGTATGTACCTGCGTCGGATCCCCTGTTCTGATCACACCTGACTTTGGTTGTGTGAGGCCCCAAGGGTAGGAACCATTGGTCACATCCAACTAGTCCAGGACTCATCTCAGACAAGTGGTATACGTTTGGGAGCAAACAACTAATCTGTCTAAATTCTCACTTGCCCATACATATTTTCACTTGTCTGTCTAAATTTTCACTATTCAGCATATAATGGACCAGTGGTTTGCATGACATCCTTGGCTACAGTGAGTGAGTTTGGTTTTCAACACTTTTAGCAATATTCCAGCAATATCACGGCGGGGAACACCAGAATGGGCTTCACACATTGTACCCACGTTGAGAATCTTACAAGGGTCTTTGGCGTGATGAGCAAACACTTTAACCACTAGGGTACATGACCGCCCCCATCCAGGCTTACAAAATCCTGTATCAGTCACTGGTTGTATCTTTCTGGCACCGAGGCCTTGTCTGATGGTTTTCCACCTTCCCATACTGATGATCTCATGTATCTGACACGCATGTGTTGGGGTAGGAACCCTTATGAAACAACCACCCAATGTCCAATACTGGAACAGGCTTGAAGATCGACAACCTCTCTGGTCAGTACACTCCCAGGTCAACACTCTCTAGGGCCTGTTCTACAAAGCGATCTCAGCACTTGTGAGAGTCGTTACAGTCGTGGTGATAAGATCTCTCTGTGGCACGGGGCCCTGCTCAGTTTTCACTGTACCTGGACCCACCCCTGGACAAGACATCAATGAACTAATGCCATCAGTGCACGCTGGGACGTGTGGAAGTAGGAGCGGTACCGGGACGTGCGGAGGAGGGAGCACTACACAGATATACTGGTGTGTGACAAGGAGATACATCACTGGTTGATACATCTGTTTTAGAACAGCTAGGACAAAATCGTAACATTTGATTCTTCAATACATCATCTATGTCAATAATCCTGCTGACTAGGCATCTCTCAAAAACTGATTTATCATCTTTATTGAAATGAGTTGGCAAACAATTCAATAAACATATTTTACTTCTGAACGACATCTTAAGTCCTTGAACAGCTGGAGCTGAATCCTGGGCCAATCATTAGATGAAATGTCAATATTTAGGTACAGCAAGAAATAGATGTCTCTGAAGCTAATGAACAGATCACATGTGACAAGATTTCATTAATGGTGACAATATCATAATCTGACATTTCTACGTCTGCACCACCTAACAGATACTGTAAATCGTGAAATTATTGCGTCTCCAAAAGAATGCGACCACTGCCCCTAGACAAAAATGCGACTTGATATGAATGCTACATCCCCTTCCTCTCAAACATCAGTCCATTCTTATATTAATCCAATCACACACCAAATACCACCGCTTATTAGAGCTGAGTAGAGTACTTCCGCTCAAACAATAAATGCACGCTGGTTCGTGTTGGCCTTTGATGCCGTCGCAAAAACAAAGACACGTGTTGCATGAGCGACGTCTGTCTGGACTTGCAGGTGTGATCAGTGATGACATAAGTGTCTTGACCCCAGCAGTGACAATTCCCAGGATGTAATTTGTGTTTGAATGACATTGTTTACAGTATATACTTGCTACAATAACAAGTGTGCAATACATAGTTGTTTGTTTTCAGCGTATGTCTAAATTGGTATTTCTGCTATCCAAAATGTCTTATTTTTTATATAAATGCGATGTTTAATAATACGAGCAAATGCCGTTCGCATTTTTCGCACTTAATTCACGCTCGCGTTAATTTCAAGATTTACAGTATGTGGTGACAATATTGCCTCAAGCTAATATCCTCTACGTAGGTCAAGTGATGGAATACTCTCTATATACAGAAACAACATAATCTACATATAAGTCAAATACACAGCCATTTGATGAGAAGCCTATATATAGTCTCTACATAACACATATATCACAGTGAAATCTGGTGTTGTCTCCCCTTAATACAAGTCTAACTCACTAGGTGGTGTTCTACCATAACATGGTATGATGGTATGCAATGATAAATTGATTCAAATCCCTTTCATCAGTTCACAATATTTTAAATTAAGATATAGTTTTGCACTGAAATAATTGTCTAAAATGTTTCAATGGATATTAGTTTTCCAGAAGCAGTAAAACATATTCAAAATTTAACACAAAAAAGGCAACGACATTAAAGATAAATAAAACAATTATCCAAATGAGCTTTTAGGAACAGAATAAAATATTACAAAAAAACCTCCAAACAGTCACAGATTCACTTTGTGAAATGATGTATAAACAATGCAAATTATTCAAATTATCTCACACATTACAGACAGAATTATTTACAACTGGAATCAAACATACTTATGTCGACAAGCAAATAAACAGGGCAAAGTATTGACAATGTTAATATACATGGTTCCCCTACCTTCTGGAAATATTGCCAGTCAGTCTACTACAAACCCATTAGTGTCAAAATCAAGATACACATTTTCAAATTGAAATATTAAATGAATGATATAATGAATTGATATTGTGGACTTGGTTAGTTTGAAGCAGGTAATCTTTCTCTACACATTTTATAACGGTAACTACACACCTGTCACAGCACTTTCAAACAATGGAATGTTGTTTACTCGTGACAAATAATTCACAAAAAACAGCTTCTCGTCTCTACTTAAAGACGTTGACTTTACCAGTACACTTTCCGAGACATTACTAATAATGACTAACATTTCAGTGTCATGATGGAATAAACGCGATCTCTGTTGGTTACTTTGAAAGACTGACAACCAAAACAAAATATATCATTAAATCATAAACCACAGACAACAAACACAGAAGGGACTTAAAGAGTATAAATATCATTTGATCAAAGAAGAGTTACAAATGTCGCTATTCCTAAGATATACTATTCAAAAGAAATCAAGGACCAACAATTCTTTCATATTGCTAAAGTAAATCTGTCATGACAGATTTATTATAGTATTACAAAATAATGGGTGGTCCTTAACATCATTTGAGTACTATAATAGCACTGATGATAACCTGATAAACATAGATCTCTATAACACAAGTGGTATGTTCATGTGGGAAAATTACAATTCTAGTGACTGAATGTTGCTTTAAACCCAGTGAGCAATTAATATCAAGTCAATCAGCCTATCTGCATTCACATTCAATCCACCATCTCCAGATTATCTCATATCATCTAGAATGTTGCACATTGGATTCTAAACGATTGACTACCATCAGAGAAAATGATTCTATATATGAAACATTGCGTAGTTCAATTCTTGTGGAACATGAAGACGGGTTCACACATATATATTACTATGATTCTCATCTCCAGCACACTGACAGGGCTGTGGGACAACATGAAATCTGTCACTCACTTAACTTCCAAAGAATTTATTTGTAAGAATAATAACAAAGGTTTCACAAGACTTTGTTTGAACAGCTCAGCTTTGAACAAAACAACAGATATTTCACTTTGAATGGTGTCATCTAATATCAAATATTAATTTGACAAAAAAAACAATAGTTGGGTCCATAACATTTTGAAGAGTGAGTTTCACAAAAACCAAATTTGATAGGGAACATTTGATTTTATTAATATACACCATCCTAAAGTTTACTGTCTGGACTGTCTGCCGCAAGGAATACTGCAAGCTGAGAAGTGTCGTGTTACCATGGTTACAGATGATTGACATTACAAGGATGTGATCTGGTCCTTGGCAGCGCTAGCGTGTGAGCGGGAGGCGTCCCTGGGGTAGTATTTGGCGAGTGTGGCCGCGGGGATACGCTTCAGCATTTCTTTGGGGAAAATACGCAGTAACTGCCAACCGATATCCAGAGATTCGAAGATTGTTCTGTTCTCATAATGACCTGTGGGAAGACAAAAGTTGTTAAATTAATGTGTAAACTTAGTAATAGTTGACACAGTTAGAAAGTCTGGAAGAATGACGTTTTAGCTTACAGCATACTTGAGTGGGTGGTTGCATAGGTGAGTGAGTGAGTGAGTGAGTGAGTGAGTGAGTGAGTGAGTGAGTGAGTGAGTGAGTGAGTGAGTGAGTGAGTGAGATGGGTTCAATGTTGCTGTCAACAGTTATGTTAGCTTGAAGTGATGCATACTCAAGTGAGTGAGTGAGTGAGTGAGTTCGGTTCAATGTCGCTGTCAAAAGTTACATTAGCTTCAAGTGATGCTATTCAGACCTCAGACAAAGGATCATATTCAGTGAGAATTTGGCATACAACGGATAATTCTTTTACACAAAGTGATAGGTGATACATGTATCAACAGTGTTGTAGTCGTGTTGAGGTTTAACAGCCTAATGTGTGAGGTCACAGCTCCAAACACTGTGGGGACACACAGGAATGGAGCAGACAAACCAAGGATGATCAGGATGAATCTTGGAAGCTGTAAACGTACCTTGTGAGATGAAGTTTTTCTCGAACTTGGTGAGGAACTCCAGATAGAGGAGATCCTCCGGGGACAAGGCTTCCTCGCCCACCACGGCCTTCATTGCCTGCACGTCTTTACCGATGGCGTAGCACGCGTACTGAAACAGGCACACAGATTTACTGGTTGGACTGGTGAAGTCTACTTTGCTTAAACAGGCAAATTTAACTATTTCATTAACAGTACACAAGGGACGTAGGTGGTTTTACGCATCCCACATTAGGCTATATACCACGAGCCGAAGGTGAGTGATACTGCTACAACAAATTTATCTTACCGACATGTTTCAACCTGCCATTGTAGAAGATGTAAAACAAATTGAAAACTGGAAGAAACAGCTGTTCGTATGTGCTTAGGTTTAATTGTGGTGTGTCATATGACTTTCATTGACTCTTAAACAATGTGCAACTTTTTGCCTCGTAGCAAAGGGACCTATTCTCTAGCTCAGAAATTTACAGGGTGGAGCCTGTCTTCTTCATGGTGGGGTATAAGGGATTTCTTCTCCCATTAAGAAATTTATTTCCCTCCCAGGCAGGATACATCATAAGTTGTCAACTGATCTCGAGGGGTATGTGGTAATTATGCATCCATTCTGCATCAGAATCCCAACAGACATAGTTTGTTACAGGTACACATGTACTCACCAGCTGATTGGAAACGTCGGAGTGGTCTTCCCTTGTCATGCCATCGCCGATAGCGGACTTCATCAACCTGGACAGGGAGGGCAGCACGTTGATTGGTGGATAGATCTGGAGACAGGTAAAAAAACATCACATCACAGGAGCAATCTCTCAACATATCGGTACCTCTAGAAAAACCATCAAAAGAATTGCCTGATAGTATTAATTTAAAATGATCCTTTGACATAGTGTATATAAACGTGAAGAACTGGTGATGGAAATTGTTATTGTAATGCTTTTATTAACAGTACTGTCTTGATTAACACAGTGATTGATACTGACTAATATTGATTGATCCTGACTAATATTGATTGATACTGACTAACACTGATTGATACTGAATGATATTGGTTGATACTGAATGATATTGATGGATACTGAATAATACTGATTGATAGTGACTAATACTGATTGATACTGAATAATATTGATTGATATTGAATAATATTGATAGATTTAGAATAATAATGATTGATATTTGTATGCTGGCTACCTGTCTGTTGTGGAGCTGTCGGTCAACGTAGATCTGACCTTCTGTGATGTAACCAGTCAAATCTGGGATAGGGTGGGTAATATCTGCAACAGACACCACACAGCATAACTACACAACACACGATGCACCCCAAACAGATCCACACAGCATGAACTACACACACAACACACGTTGCACCCCAAACAGATCACAGTGGCTAGGGTAGTTCTTGTATACAGAGTGTATAGGGAAGTGCTTGAAATACATTTAGGTGGATCTGCCCAACATACAAAGGGAGTGAGTCTGTATAGCATGTCATGTCACTTTTCTTTTCCGGCACAATTAGAAGGAAACCGAGGCATGGACGTCATAAACACCTAAAACTTGGTGAAAGAGACTGGTTTTGCAATGTTTTCAGCAATATCATGGAACACGAGAACCATGAGAAATGGACTTCACATGGGGGGAATTAAACCCAATCCATCGACATGAGGAGCAACACTTTAACCACTATGCTACCTCACAGCCCATTACTAATTTGGTGCCGACAGATGACTGTTGGGGTGAAACAGGGATTTTACTTCAGTAGACCCAGGAAGGATGAGTGAGTGAGTTGTGTTTAACGCCGCTTTTAACAGTATTCCAGTTATATTGCGGCGTGTCAGCTTAATGTGGGAGGAAAGCCCGAAGTGATGCAGGTCTCAGACGTTTATCACTTTGGTGAAACCCACGAGCATGGGTATGGTGCTGACAAACCTAGAAACATAATCAGGGCGAACCGGGATTCAAACCCACAATCATAGGTTTCTGGCGTGTCCACGGGACGCAACTCTGCACAGCGAATCGCGGCGCCTTAGACAACTGGGCCACCCATGCCCCCCAGGAAGGATAAGTGGAAATTACCATTAGTAGCAGAGGGTCAAGCTCTAACTTTCATCTTCATGTTTTGGTAATTGAATTTTGTTAGCTAACCAATGCACCACTCGGCTACAACGTACCATCGTTGGGCATAGTGAGGATGGGGATCTGTGTGATGGAGCCGTTCCGCCCCTCGACACGACCAGCTCGCTCGTAGATGGTGGCTAAATCTGTGTACATGTAACCAGGGAAACCACGACGACCGGGCACCTCCTCTCTAGCTGCTGACACCTGCATCCCAAATACATCAAAGAGTGATAAAGTGTTGTTATGGTCAAGAATTGATTGCAAAACGTTCCCGCCTCACATATTTCCGTATAATGTCCATGACCTACATTCAAAGGGGAATTGATACTGTGATTTCTGTGACATTCTGGAGTGAGTGAATGTTGTTTTAAGTCTTTCAGCAATGTAAGGACAACAACTTCTTTTAGTCTCGAACATGTAACACCAAAAATGAACATGGAGAGAACTTTGTATTTTTGTTAGTTCTTTAAAGCTGAACTCGTCAATATTGAAGCTATATTCTGTAAAAGATCAAATCTGGACCAGTGATTGATAACATGAGCACCTTCCACTCAGTCACGATGACATGAAATCCATTAAGTCCATCAGATTCATTACAACCAGCTGGGCATCAATTCTAATTCGAAATCCGCAAGCAGCATGCAGACAAGTGTTACACCATGGCCAAGTCTTGTACTGACCTCTCTCAAAGCCTCGGCGTATGAACTCATGTCAGTGAGGATGACCAGCACATGCTTCTCACACTGGTACGCCAGGAACTCGGCCACGGTCAGAGCGATACGGGGCGTGATGATACGCTCGATCCTGGACACAAGAAAATAATGTCATTATGATTTTGCTGAAACATATGCATTCAAATCGGATGGAAAATAATAATGGGTCAGGCAGCCCAGTCTAGACACAGGACATCTCAGTCTGCAACCATCTTTGACTATTCCCACTAGCCACTGGTCATTATCAAGTCCTGATTTCTGCAGGTGATGATTATACATTCAATCGTGAACAGAACAAAGCCAGGGCACTATATCGCTGTAAACAGCTATGTGAATAGTTAATACCATTCTTATCATGCTTATTGAGAAACTAAAAGTGAGTGAGTGAGTTTGTTTTTACGCCGCTTTTAACATTGTTCCAGCAATATCACGGCAGGGGACACCTGAAATAGGCTTCATACATTGTGCCCATGTGGGGAATCGAACCTGGGCCTTCGGTAGATGAGCGAACTCTTTAACCACTCTACCTCATCACCCCAGAAACTAAAAGAATATGTCCAGCAACTCTCTACTGAACTACTGCTGTGTGAAGGTAGCATTAGGTAAAGAACTCACGTAGGATCGTTAGCTAAGTTCAAGAACAAGCAAACATTCTCCATGGAACCGTTCTCCTCAAAGTCGTGTTTGAAGAATCTCGCAGTCTCTCTGTTGACCTACAGACAGAACAAGGAGAGTTCTTACAGAACTGTTGATGCATGTAACAATCGCACTTGAGAAGTTTATATACTATTCTAAGACATGCCTACCAAATTCCATACAGAAGGAGTTCAATATGTACTGACATACTATGAAAACGCTAAGCGGAATTTGGGAAATAATTTTCTGCAAACTGACAGAAAAGAAGAAATTGGTATGTTGTGAGGCCTGAAGGTATGCTACATTGCATTAATGTTGTCTGAGTTTGAATCCTCATTCACCGGGACATAATCTTCAAGTCTCTTGATACTTATCAAGAGTCAAAATCCTCTATGTGTTTTCAAAGAGTTTCAGTATATCTATAGCATACAGTGAATCTAAAACATTACAGGGTAACTCCACTGAGCCTATCAATTCATCTAAGATGACTGCCACATGACAAGGTTAACATAAGGTTATTGACAAATGAAGCATGGTCATGATGATAACCCTCCTGTGCCTACTTACACCCATGGCAGCAAACACAATGGCGAAGTTGTCATCATGGTCGTCGAGCACACTCTTCCCTGGCACCTTGACAAGGCCGCCCTGGCGACAGATCTGGGCAGCAATCTGAACACAAGAGTCACATTAAGTGGGTTGTTACTATGGTTACTGTTAGCATCTGATTACTGGAGCAATGAGGTAGTGTTTGCAGGGAATAGAGTTCATGATAACATAGAGCTTTTCTGTTACAGCATCAGAATCTAGAAACCTATAAATCCTTTTCATACTTTCTTAACTGTTTGTTTGTTGTTTAATGCTGCACTCAGCAATATTCCAGCTATAAGATGGTTGTCTGTAGAAAACAGTCTGGATCAGACAATCCAGAGATTGACATCATGAGCATTTAGTGACACCCAGCATTTTTGTCAGTCAAATATCGCAAAATGTGTTGTAAATAGCGTTCAAGTTCACTATTAAAAATAAACGCTATGAACATGTATCTACAGCTAGCTTTTCCTTTTGAACCCGCTCTGAAATATTAATAGTAAGAAGTTTCCATGTGATACATATTTTATAATGACCTATGTATCATGATACGTATCGTATCATGACCTATGTATCATGACACATATTGTATTGTGACCTTGTAATGTTTTACCCTTAGCATCCATGTGGGGAATCAAACCTGAGTGTTGGGCATGGGCTAACACTTGAGCCACTGGGCTACGCAGCAAGCCCCGACAGTGTACTCACTTCATTGTGTGGCAGACCGGCGGCGGAGAAGATGGGGATCTTCTGGCCACGGGCAATACTGTTCATTGTGTCGATAGCGGAGATGCCAGTCTGGATCATCTCCTCGGGGTAGATTCGGGACCAGGGGTTGATGGGCTGACCTGCCGTTCAGGAGTTAAGTGTGTGTAGAACGCATTTATCTTAACACACTTGTTAACTGCATGCTTCACTTGTTCGATATCACTCTGTTATTTCACCAGGAATGGATCTGAACTTTTGTCATGTCAGCAGTTTTAAGCTATGTATCACCAGGAAAGGAAATTATGCCTGCTTTATATAGCTGAAACAACTGAGCAAAGTATTTAGGCCACTGCGACCTAATTTCCAATGGTTTGTATTTCAATGAGCGAGGTAATTCAACAATTCTGGTTGAAGAAAATTTTACACAGGAATATCATGGGTACAGTAATGACATGTCTCAAAGATACAGAGGCAAAACATGATGCTACTACGTGGCCTCCATTAACCCTGGCCAGGGTTGACGGTTGACAACTGGCTGCTCACCTTGAATATCCAAGAAGTCCTCTGCCAGGACGGGAGGACCGTTGTCGATGGGCTTGCCAGATCCATTGAACACTCTCCCTGGGAAAACAAGTAAGTATGGAAGTGTTACCTGTGAGATGTGTCCTTTCATATTAAGTAAAATGGCCGCCATAAAATGATTATCTGAGCATAAAAACTGCCACAATAACTTTTCTCTGAAACCTGAAAATATATTGACGCCACAATGAGTGATAACTTCAGTTACAGGTAAATTACTGCCTGGTCAACACAAGGTAAAAACTGATGAGGATGCAACACATACAATGTGGACTTCATATTTGTACAAGCATGACTGCCAACTCATCACTTTGGCAAACAAGTAATTTAGGACGTTTAAGAGGCCTGAGATGTGCTTACATAATTCTTCAAATCTGATTCATGAAAAGCATCATCTACAGATGATGAGCATGTAACATGTGATGTGCAGCCAAGTACTGCTCATCGTCACAGCACCAGATGGTTCGGAACAACTTTCTACAATCATGATGATGGTAATACATACCCAACATGTCCTCCGACACCGGCATCCTCAGGATGTCGCCAGTGAACTCGCATGTTGTGTGCTTGGCATCAATACCTGATGTGCCCTCGAACACCTACACCAACAGAAGAACCAGCAAGGGTGAAAGAGTGATAAAAACAGTATTAGATAGTATCAATCCAAGTGGACACCACCACTGTTCAATGTTCATGACCTTTGTCAATGTTAACACCCACAGTTAGCACTATGCTTCTAGTCAACCCATGTCAGTCATAGGAAGATATGTCACTTGTGTGTGTGTGACCTGTTTTTTTTAACAGTTTTCAATCATATCATGAGTGAGTGAGTGAGTGAGTGAGTGAGTGATCGATCGAGTTGGTTTATTGCCACTTTGTACCGTATGCAGGTTACATCACAGCCTGTCAGCCGGATGAGGGAGGAAAGTGATGCAGGTCTTTGATGTTTACCACTTCGATGAAACCCACAAGCATGGGTATGGTGCTGACAAGCCTAGAAACATAATCAGGACAACCTGGTTTCGAACCCATTACCCTTGGTTTCTGAAAGGCCCAAGGGAGGCAACTGTGCACAGGAAGTTACAGCACTTAAACGATTCGGACAGTCATCCTCCACATTGTGAGAGGTTAAATGCACACATGGGAGTAATGTGTGTGTGTCTATCTCGTGTCCTAACCCTGGGCATCCTCTGTCATGCGTGGAGCACCTGCTTCTGACAGTGAGGTCTACTGTGTCATCTTGGATGTCTCATTACAGGAACAACACAACGGCCATGTAGTATTGTTACACAAATAAGGTAATACGTCACTGATCTGCAGTATGAGTGAGTGAGTGAGTATGGTTTTAAGCCGCTTTTAGAAATATTCCAGCAATATCACGGCGGGGGACACCAGAAATGGGCTTCACACATTGTACCCATGTCGGGAATCGAACCCGGGTTTTCGGCTTGACGAGCGAATGCTTTAACCACTACCCGACCGCCCCCAGATCTGCAGTAATACAAGGGATGACTTCCTATGTGATCATGTGACTTATCTGGAGTGTGAGTACAGCCAGGTTGTCATGACAATGACTATGTGAACATGATACACAAACCAATCTTCTACAACTATAGGGGTCTAAAGGTGGCATTCAGGTCAAGACAGAAGACTGGGTGCTAATTCATTCTACTGTTTCTGAAACCTACAGCAAAGAGAAACTGTAAAACTACCAAATCAATGGTGCTGCTGTTGAATTTGAGAACAATGTGAAAGAGCTGAAATGTCTAAGAAACTGTTGCATATTAAAGTGTCCACAGCTCACACTAAACTCTCTAATCACTACTTCAGCAACTGTTTTACTGAAACGTGTACCAGTCCAAACCTTCACATTTATCAAATTTTTGCATGTTAGCATGTGCAATATCTGCACTTGAACATATGTAATAACTGTACTTTAACATAGTAACTCCTGCTTTAAAATATGTAACAACTGCACATTAACTGCAATTTAACATCATAACTGCACCATAACATTAACTGGGCCTTAACCATGTTAACATATCTGATAACTTTACTTTAACATATGTAATAACTCTACTTGGTCATATCATGATATGTGATAACAGCACTTTACCTAACATATGTAACAACTTAAAGATATTAACATATGTAATAACTGCACCTTAACATCTAAACTGCACCTTAACATATCTTTTTGTTCGTTTATTTAACGCCGCGCTCAGCATTATTCCAGCTATATGATGGCAGTCTGTAAATAATCCAGTGATTGACATCATAAGCATTGATCCACGCAATTGGGATACAATGACTTGCATCAGCCAAGTCAGCGAACCTGACCACCGGATCCCTTTAGTTGCCTCTTACGACAAGCATAGTCGCCTTTTACCTAATAACTGTACCTTAACATATGCAATAACTGCACATTAACTGCACTTTAGTGAGTCAGTGAGTATGGTTTTACTCCGCTTTTAGCAATATTCCAGCAATATCACGGCGGGGGACACCAGAAATGGGCGTCTAACTGCACTTTAACATATTAACTGGACCGTAGCACATCTCATAACTTTACTTTAACAAATGTAATAGCTGCACTTCAACATATCCTGATATGTGATAACAGCGCTTTACAAGATATTTGTAACACCTTATTGTATGATCACATGTATGCTGATCTGGCTGATTGATACTGATCCACCTGATCTCCACCTGAACACATGTGACGATGTGACCTGTGCTCGTCATGTTGTGTGTGAGCAGTGTTATGTGACCTCCGACCTCGCAAGTGACTTAAAACTGGGTCGCCCACTTGACTGATAATAGGGTCAAAAGTGAACTTGTCAGGTTTCGTCAACATCAGGACCACAAACAACATAGAACATCCCTTCATCGCTGAGATCAAGGATGTTAACACACTATTGAGCAGAGGGCACACCACACAAAGCACGCTACAATCGTATTTATTTGTTTAAATTTTTGGATTTTTACAACATTTTTGACATTCTTATAGATGTATTTCTGTACCGTAACATGGTTATTTGCCAGTAAAGTATGCATTATTTAAACATGTTAAAGGTTTACTGCTTATTAAGTATATTGCAAGTGATTCCATGGCTAACCATGCAATTTTTTCTTACGGTTAAGTTTCTGTAAACCAAAAAACAACATTGAGGCCATGCCCACGAATGGACAAGTGTTTGTTTGTTTTGTTTTGTTTATTTGTTGTTTAAAGCAGCACTCAGCAATATTCCAGCTATATGACGGCGGTCTGTGAATAATTAAGTCTGGACCAGACAATCCAGTGATTGACATCATGATCATCGATCCACGCAATTAGGATACGATGACATGCATCAACCAAGTCAACGAGCCTGACCACCCAATCCCATTAGTTGCCTCTTACGACAAGCATAGTCGCCTTTTACGGCAAGCATGGGTTGCTGAAGACCTATTCTACCCTGGATCGTCATGGGTCGTCAAGTGATTCCTAATTGGCTGATGTGTTGCTTTATTGAGCTGAGAGATGTCCCTGACATCGGAATGTTGTCTTCTGTGTTTTTGAGTTAATGATTAAAAAAGGCAGTTTCTGTTATTACTGTTGACATATTTATTCATAAGAATTTCTTCAATGTTTTGGCAGGAATGTCAATGTAAAAAACAGTTTGTACATTTTCAGAAAATCTGATACGCGTGTGCAAATCACTTTTTATGTTATTATTGAAAAAAATACTGAAAATGTTAAAGTCTTAAATAAACCAATGAGAAAGATTTTGAATATTTTGGAAAGTTTCCTGGCTGAGAAGAGTTGTCACTCTCTTTGCATTCCGTCATCACAGTCGTCAATGTATATTTGAACTTTTCCATATCACACAAAATCCAGCGACTAACAAGAAACAGGAAATGTTGGTGAGTTGTTTATATGGTAGACAGCTGTACCAGCTGTTTGTGGCCTGAATGCAGGGACCTTTTCTGCCTTGAATTCCCCACATATTTTGAAAAGAAATGCAAATTGCTCCCTGCAGTTATGTAAGTTAACAAGTTTCTCCTGTAACATATACCACCCAGGCTATCAATTCTGTTATTGTATCCTGCATGTGTCTAATGGTGATCCTCCAACTCGGGACACGACCCATCTAATGGTGATCCTGCTTTATGGGACATGACCCATCTAATGGTGATCCTCCAACTGGGGACACTCCCCATCTAATGGTGACCCTCAGATATGGGACAGGGCCCATCTAATGGTGATCCTGCTGTATGGGACATGACCCATCTGATGGTGATCCTCCGACTCGTGACACGACCCATCTAATGATGATCCTCAGACTAGGGATACGACCCATCTAATGGTGATCCTCTGACTTGGGACACGACCCATCTAATGCTGATCCTCCGACTTAGGACATGACCCATCTAATGATGATCCTCCGACTTGGGACATGACCCATCTAATGGTGATCCTCCAACATGGGACATGACCCATCTAATGGTGATCCTCTGACTTGGGAAACGACCCATCTAATGGTGATCCTCCGACTTGGGACATGACCCATCTAATGGTGATCCTCTGACTTGGGACACGACCCATCTAATGGTGATCCTCCGACTTGGGACATGACCCATCTAATGGTGATCCTCCAACATGGGACATGACCCATCTCCAGGTGATCCTCAGACTCTGGACACAACCGGCACTTTCCCATCGCCCTATTGTATCAACGGAACATCGGGTCATGTGACTGACCGGTACTGACCTGCACAACAGCCTTTGACCCGCTGACTTCCAGCACCTGTCCACTTCTCTGACTGCCATCGGCCAGCGTCAACTTGACGATCTCGGCAAATTTGGGGAACTGAAAGTACAAGACCACAACATGAATGAATGAAATAATGTTGCTTAACATGTTTTCACTGCGGTCAGCAACTGTAAATAATTGATTCTGAACCAGATAAACCAGTCACTGAAACATGAAACTTATCCTGGCTCTAGTGATGGGAGTGATGATATTGACCAGCTATCAGCCAAGTCAGACAACTTTCACTACTTCATCCAGAGTTCGAAATTAAAGATGGGGACCTTGGTGTCCACTCCTATAATGTCTGAATCTAGGCATTCTTGAGACCCCTTATAATTTTAACTTTTTAAATTTCGTGTTATGATAAAGACAGCTTGACTACAATGCTTACTTATTCCATGTATTAAGTGCAATCTTATTAAAATCAGATCTTAGTTCTCGCTATCACTAAACAAAGATCTGAGGACATCCCATTAGGGGTCATGTCAGAACGACCTTTCATCCGACCAATCAAAGCGTCGCTTACCAGATCATGAAAGTGACAGTCGGAATGTTTTTTCTAATCATGCAACCGTTAACACGGGGTATTCCGAACAACAGTTACATCCCTTACGACTGATTCCATCAAAATAATTGTCTATCTCTCGCTTCCATGGGATAAACATTTGAACGGAGGAGGCGTTACACAGTACGTGGAAAGCACTGCCACACTATCTCAACCATATATTAGACATTCCGGAATGTTCGTTTGCTCAGTTTTCAAAGTTTTAATCGAGAACTGTTTCAACATATTTTTCAAGCGTAGTCTGAAATGGAAGGCTCCAGGTTGAAACGAGTGCCGTAGTGCGTGAGAAAGCTGCTTTCTAATTGGCTAATGTCGATTTGTTAGTCATTTCAGTGGTCAGTCAAAGTTCATGAAAGGTCATACTGATGTGATCTGTAATGGGTTGTCCTCAGATCTTTGTTTAATGGCAGCGAGAACTTAGATCTCATTTTAATGAGATTTTATTAAGCGCGACCAAATTCTAGACTAATCTGTAAGAAATCTTTATACAAGCGCTGCCTACTAAGACTGAAATATACAAAACAGTCCCTATTTTCTTGTTAGTAGCGTGTCAGGGGTCATCTTAGTTTCATTGATGTTTGAACTAAGCCTCTCAACTAATGTTCGATCAACTAAAACAAACTTAACTTACTGTGTACAGCTTTAATAAGCGGCTGCCAGAGTCAGTTTTCTACGTGTCCGGGTGGGATTGTAAGATCGAATACAGTAATTTCAAACACTGAATTCATCCATTAAAGTTGAATGTTACAACTAACCTAAGTTACCATGGTTACAAGAGACTTATTCTACCATGCTCATGAAGGCATCCGCATGAGGAAAACAACTGATTCTGTAATTATTGCATCTTCTGAAAATGGCCACAACATTTAGGCACAACAGAGGTACCTCTAACACTCAACATGGGTCAAGGAAATACCTGGTCAACTGTCAGCAGTATAAACTATTGCAGAAATATGAAAACGGGCTTAGAATAATGAAATAAATCATTTTAACATGCTTAATGATAACAGCAAATTCTGGGATTCATCTAGACCTGCTCAGTGTACCTCCTCTGAATTTACGAAAATGTGAACATTGAAAAATTATAAATAAAATCCACAAAAAAGTCTCATATATTCAATATCATGATTTCCCCCCCAAGTTGCCTGCCCACCTAGATGAATCCCTGTAATTACTGTTTTGGGTGGTCCTATTTTGTCTCTTCAAAAAATTGTTAATTCACAAAAATAAATTGCCTTCTGATTTCAGGGTAACAGTAATACAAAATTCCTAAGATATGTTCACACACAGTTCCCAACTCCTGGACACACAAAGGGCACCTGTTAAGTCACTGGTTGTTGTGTAGAGCCAGGGCTGACATGAACCTAGAACACACTGGCTGTTGTTCAGAGTCAGCTTCAATAACAAAACATCCCCAAAGCCGGGTCAGTGTTTCACAACTTTCTACACAGGCACCTACCTGCACTGAACAGTGTCTGCACAGTAGGATGTGAACAGCATCATTACAGAGGGGTGTTACTCACTGCTTTATCTCACAATATTCACAGGCAGGTTTATTGGTTGAAGGAAATTACTGAACTCGTGTAAAACATTATGTACTTGTTCTCTGAGGTAAAGGATAATTAATACTGAGGTGAAAAAAATCCATTCCCGGTCACAGTGTGGGCAGCAATTTAACACCAATATCATGGTGACCTTCACAGTATAGGGCAATATTACTTCAATATCACAGTGACCTTCAAACTTGTCAGCAATTTAAAGGGGCACTGATCTAACACAATTTCCGGGACTGGTTGTTGCCTTTGTTATTGTTTTTTCCCCCGTGAGTACCCGGATGATACGCAACGCAACTGAGCGTGACCAGTGACTGTGCTACCGCCTGCAAGGACAGCTAAATAAACTTGGAGGCTGGAGGCAATATTTGTTTTACGAATTTTTGTATAAACACTGATTTGTTAACTGTGATCTTTAAAGATTTCGACAAAGGGCGCATGTAAATTAATTTCTTCAGCCTAAACAAACAGACAAAAAGAAAGGCGGAGCTCATCGAATTTGGAAATACCCCAGATGGTTATAATACGATTACTACTCCCTTGTTGTCATCCACGTTTTCTCGTATAACCCTACACTTGTGTATTTGTCGTCATTCACTTGATGCTCAGTTAATGAATTTATTACAGGTACAGTTAGTGGTAGCACCACTTAGATTACCTGACAAAGGTTCCAATTTGGCATTTATTGTGTAATTATTCAATCTAAATCCAGGTTTGAAGTGAGGTGAAATGTGTGTTATGTAATATGCACGTGGCCGACCCTTGAGACTTGACACCTATGTGAAACACCTGAAACAATCCAAGTGATCAGTTGAGGAACGAACACGGGTTATAATATCCCGAAACGATATATATCTTTTAACATATTTGATTGTTACAGAGACACATGACATCGAATAAGTTTCTTTGTACAGCTGCAGACGAGTGGATATTCACGGATACATTCCTCGAACAAAGAAGCTCCTGAAATTTATACACATAAATTTGGTAGGTTGCAATTATGGTATTTGCATTTTGTTTTCCTTCATTTGAACCGATTCGTTCTTGTTTCTCTATGTCTTGGTTGGGAAATTCTTCAATACACGATAGATGTTGTTTTCACAGGTCTTTTCCTTTGTAAGCGTGTATATATTACCGTCAATTTGTAAAATGTGATTCTCTCAGGGAATTTATAAAATGTGTAAATATTTCAGTCATTTTGACTAAAAAATCTGTCCAGATTGATTAAGATGATCAAAAGGGCCCACAAACATCACAACAGATTATTATGTAAGATTAGAAGCCAAACAACATAGAAATGTACTTTTCAACGTAACATTTTCAGTCTCTTGGTGATGACATTAAACATCAAAATGTTTGGAATTCGTTATCATAATAATACAAATGGAAATGTTTTTAGTCAGTTTAATAAATTTGAAAATGTTACACATATTGACAGTAAAAAAATATACACACTATAAAAAAGCATATGCTCAGGTGAAATATTTACTTTGTGTTGCAAGTCAAAATAGTGTAAACGAAAATCGCAAAATGACCAAGCAAGTGACTTATTAAAACTTCGTCACCAATACCAATGCTACCCACAAAGATACCTACATTTCCTTATTATCTCGAAAACTGTATTTCATTTTGTTGATCAATGTGACCATACGCCCTTATTACTATCCATAAAAGTGACTGATGCGCTTACGAATGGCGCAGCAGAGGTCTCGAACTAGTCTAGATTTCTGCTATACATCCGGGTACTCACTGGGAAAAAACAATAACAAAGGCAACAACCAGTCCCGGGGAATTGCGTTAGATCAGTGCCCCTTCAACACCAATATCATGGTGATCTTCACTGTGTAGACAGCAATATTACTTCAATCATGTTCAATATCACAGTGACCTTAAACTAGTCAGCAATTTAACACCAATATCATGGTGACCTTCACCATGTTCACTGTGTAGGCAGCAATATTACTTCAATATCACAGTGACCTTCAAACTAGTCAGCAATTTAACACCAAGATCATGGCAACCTTCACAGCGTAGGCAGCCATATTACTACATTATCACAGTGACCTTCAAACTAGTCAGCATGGCAACCTTCACTGTGTTTGACTCCCCACCAAGTACTTCAACTGAAGCCAATCACGATCCCGCCTATACTGGTGGAATACTGGTGAATGAATACTGGTAATTGTGGCATCCAACCACTCAATAATTTCAGCCTTCGCTCATAAACCTTGTGTAAAAATAAAACATTTCACAGAAATTGTAAAAAGACTAGTACCAATGGGACATGTTGGATACAGAAAACATATTGAACCATCTATGAATCCTAGACGGGTAATTACAGTGGGTATATCATTCACTTCACTTCTGAACATTTATTTACAGGTAACTTGAGGACCGTGGGCGGTCTGGTTAACAGATGAGAGTTTTCAGATCAGGTATCCAACAGATGTCCACTAAACTGATGGCTAATCTTTGTGCATAATATTCAGCTGACACCAGATGTTCCTCAACGTCAGGTCATTATTAAAACAAGCAGCATAATGTGTCACCCGATCAGTCAGAAGTTGATGTCAATTTGAAAAATTCAATTTTCAGCCTGATCTTTGACATGTTCAAGACATAAAATATTTTTCATGGAACCTGGTAGGAGGAAGGAGAATAACAATGGTCTTGTGACAAAAACACTTATCTTTCAGAACGTCCAGTATGTCGAATGTAAACCTGAGGGAATTTTTTTTTCCAACGCTATCTGGAACAGATTTTGTTCAAAATTCAAAATTCCCAGATCCCTTGCACCACCAGCTTAGATAATGCTAGTGGTAGTTTACCAGTTGGGGGAAGCCACAGTATGCGTTCATACACCTTGGATCATAACTAAGATGAATCTGGAATCAATGAATCCATCCCAGTGGCCTCCCTTAAGCAGCTAAGGGAGGCCACTCTGCACAGTGATCATACCTTTGCACCCAGCCCCAGAAAACACCAAAAAGCAGCTTACCTTGACATCGTCCAAGATAACCAAAGGTCCATTTACGCCCGACACTGTTTTGTAGGCTGGAAAATAATATGCAGACAGTTAATACTGGATGATAGCAACATATGGCGGAATTATTCATAGGCATCATAATGCAGCTTGAATATAATTACCAGGGTCATAGTTGGGGGAAAACAGTTTAGACGAACAGCTCATGTGGGCTTTGAAACAAGTTTATTCTGAGTCTAAAATGTAATTAGTCTGCCTTGTGCGGCTGACCATGTTTACATAAGATCAAGATGCAAAGAAGCAAATAGCTGACATTATGGTTATTGTCTGTACCATAGTCTGTCATACAGACCCTGAAACAAATATATCCAATACAACTCCTGAAAGTCTTTAATACTTAGCAAGTTTTTCCTTAAAAATTGAATCTCTTGGCTTCTTTTCATCATATTTTCTTAATATAATCTAACAACTGTTATTTTCCTGTAAAATAGGTTCATTTCAGAGACTAGATGTTAGCCTATCTGTTAGGGGTGGGACGGGTACCCACAGGACTACCCGGACCCGTGGTTAGTCATGTGATATATTGTTTAATGAAAAAAATCTCGTACTCAATGGTTACACTAAAAGTCACTAATTTCTTTCTGACTATGCACCCATTCCTTCTGACTTTTTATATGGTTGAATAAAGATATGACTTAAATCAACTTCAGTGTATGCATGACCAGATTGTTTTATACATGTATCTAAATACGTTTTGCCAGGGCCTTGATTAAAATAAAATCCCAATCGGATATTTTGTACCTATCTCTTGATCTCCTGTAATACCCATGGGGTATCTGAAATATACCTACTCCTCCCTGTAATCCCTAAAGGGGAATCAGAAATAGGGGACCTACTCCACCCTGTCATACCCATAGGGTATCTGAAATATGGGACCTACTCCTCCCTGTAATCCCTAAAGGGGAATCAGAAATAGGGGACCTACTCCACCCTGTCATACCCATGGGGTATCACAAATAGGGGACCTACTCCACCCTGTAATAACGATGGGGTATCTGAAATAGGGGACCCACTCCATCCTGTAATCTCCATGGAGTACCAGAAATCGGGACCAACTCCACCCTGTAATACCCATGGGGTATCTGAAATAGGGGACCCACTCCACCCTGTAATACCCATGGGGTATCAGATATCGGGGACCTACACAGTTACCAAAATCAGGGGTACAGTATAAAAGAGGCCTGTGGTGTATGTTGACCGTCCCCCACACAGGGTTTAGGCCTCCATCAGGCAGATTTGATCAGGATCGATGACAATCAATGCTTCCCTGCAGCAGCGGTTGACTTTCAAATGATGAATACCAGCGTCCCTTATTCGTGTTGATCAATAACCACAGTGAGAGACGCTCCTGCCCACAATGTGCACTCTCTCCGAGCTGGAGACATATTGTCTCATATTCCTATCAAGTCTCTTTCAGATCAGAAGTAATTGTCAAACTTGTATTCACCCATTGAGCTATTTGCTCACACTTAGCAAAACTTAGCTGTTTATGGTTTGGTGCAAATTGTCCGTAATTCCGCATCAGCATGATCAGTTTCTTAACAGCTTCCAAATACTGCTCTGATGCGATTCCCTCATAAACATGACAAAAAGACAGTATAAGATAACAATGGATTTGGCAGACTTTGTTCTCAGCAATCAGTACAGATATGGTCCACGACCCACTGCTTGAGCCCTGACTCAGGACGGATTAGGCTGTACTCTACTCTGTGATTGGGTGCTTGTTCTAAATTTGTCTCTCAACAATCAGTTAGTACATAGAGAATCTCACCCTTGTGCCTTTTGATCATGATGAGGAGTCAAAATATTTGATATGAAAAGACATGGTGGTGAGATTCTATTTATCATCCAAATCATTCAATTTCTTTGGCTTGGAAACTGTACTAAGAGTCCTCAATGCAAAAAGCACAGCTACCAACTTCAGCGGTTTGATGTTATTTGATTGTGATGTCATGGTAACTAATGACATCACAATGGTCTGCAACACATTTCATCTCCTAGACACATACACGTGCATGCACGTCGCTATATAAGTGCAATAATCTTGGACGCGACGTTAAACCCAATTTCACCTCACCTCACCTCATCTCCTAGGAGATATGGCTTAACCTCCCCCAAGTTTTGGATGATAAACATGATAAACAGTATTCCATGGACATTTCTCAATGTAACATAACATGGTCCTTAGATAAAACTAATGTTCCCAGCAGTAAATTAAGGATGGGATATCCAAACGTGGTAAAGACATTCTGTACAGGATAAGTGGAAGGTTACCCTAAAGCAGTGTTAGAAATTGGCACTGGCCAAACTGCCCAATAGTTAAGGTATCGTAAGGACTAGTAGCAATTTGCCATATTTATGGGTTTTGCTGTATGACCACACAAGAGAAACATACTTTCTTTATTGTCTGATTATGATGATTCATCATAATTTCTTCAACATGTTTATGATAGAAAACTAAACTCAAATGGTTTGTCTGTGGAAAGTCATGACAAACATATTGGAGCATGTGGCATGTTTGGGACATGTGGGAAGGGTTTAAAAATATTCTTTACATTTGGCATGTTTGGTTGAGTGTCAAAGTTTCATAAAACCCTTGCATGAAATATCTTGGCCTGATAACCAAAATAAGAAATGGCAGCTGTTACTCCATCATAGATAAAATGCTCCTCCAAATCGATGGAAATCAACTGAATTTAACATGTTAACACAAGGAATCTGGAACCACTGAACATTATACAGTAATAGTTAGTTATACCACATCTCCAGCCCCAGCTGGGTAATAAAGAACCATAACTCCCATGTACATCTCACCATTTCCCAAGATAGTACTATTGATTAAAGCAGGCAGTGCTTCACCAGACACTCTGTATTGGGAACACAAGATGAGGATTGAAGCAACCGTAATGAAATAACTATTCCACTGATGGATCTAAATAAGTCTTTGCAATTACATAAGTATTATACAGCACAAAGGCATCTAACTACTTGACGTGGTTTAGCTCTTTGAGCAACATCTGTAACGAGGTTGGCATTGACAAAGCGGGCACTATCACCAGCTCATGACTTATGCAACTCTTTGCTCATAAACTTTTCATGTCACAATTTTATGACCAATGAAATATTTAACAGTCTACTACAAAGACTAATGTCAACTAAACCTGATCACACGAGTGTAGGGTAAAATCAATTAAATAACCTGCTTTCATAGATTTTATTTTCCAGTAAATAAATAAGAGAGAGGACCCCAAACAGTGCCTTTTCTTTTCAGGTGTTTTTCCATGTATTTACTCACATGGAATTATTCACTTTGTGTATTGATATTTTTCTTTGGGCATTAAATTATGTTTTGCTCTCTTGGGTCCAGTCTATTGGGTATTTGTAAACCAATGAGTGAGCCTGTTTCAAACATCAGTCAGCTTAACATGCTGTTTTATAGACCTTCTATTTGTATCTAACGATGTGATGCCCCATGTGTGTCACATATTGCATACGATCATAACAGCAATATATGTCTAAGTTATACAATAAGCAAGAAGTATCACTTTTTTCATTATACACTGACGTAGACTTTGAATTCATGTACCGTATTCGACGTAATAAGCGCCCAGGGCGCTCTCAAAATTAGAAATAGGGAGCTCTTATTAGAATATTATTTGGGTGGAAAAAACAGAGTTGAAAAATAAATTTCGTGGTTTATGCTGACGGTCTGAACTGTTTATATACGACAGATATATTTTTCCAGAAATTAATTCCCATAATTAAGGGTGCATATAACACATGAGTGCGTATTATACACGAATAAATAAGTCTTGTGTACATTGACCAATCGGAAGGGATTCTAATTGGGATTGTTCACTTGCCAATATGTTGGCAAATATCGCCGTGAGCGCTTATTATGTCGAATACGGTATATGCGATGCTTGCATCAGTTCAGTGAGTAAAGATCTGTAAACACGACAAAGACATACAGGCACACAAGGTGAAGAGTGACACAGTGTCATTATACCATTAGGTTGTTTATTTTCTTCAAGCATAATTGTTCCCAAGCAACACAAACTTGGGGTGATGGTCAATTAGTGTGTGTACATATTGCCAATATGCAGCTTGTTGGGAGCTCTGCTTGTGGGAGAAATAAAGTTCTAGAAATGCTCACATTTTTAATCTGATCATGCAGATGTCTACATGTGTGATCAGGACTGTGTGCTTTCATCCATGGAGGAGATTAACAGCGAAGCCTCATCTTCACACTCACACAGCTTAGCCTGAGATATGATGAATAATGAGCACTTTAACCTACTTTTACAATCTCAAACACACCAAAGTAGGATCATACACAAATCGCTTCCTTTAACACCATACACTTGACATTAAACGTTGAACATGTTCAGCTGCAACCGGAACACTGCCACCACATACTGGTGGATGTCACAAGGCAGCAGATGATAGCAGAAGGGACAATTTCAGCTTCTTGGATTGAAAACAACATATCAAGACAAGAGCAGACCTGGATAGGAGTTGAGACGTGAAACAGCTCACCACCACAACCAGTTGTCCCAAGTGCAATTCAACCCCTGAAAACATGATCAATTCAGCTATCACACTATCTGCTGTCACAAGCATGAGGTATGCTGGGTTAGAAAGTAACATAAACAGCATAGTAATCCAACATGATCTAAGGACTTCCTTTATATTTAAGTTTTAACATACCAGTATCATACAAAACTACAGGTACGAGGGAGGAGTTGGCAAATTCCAACTACATGTACTTGTTATCTTGCTGATGGTGAAATGAGTCACCAAGTTCGCAAAATAGATCAAAAGTATTCTTCTACATGTCCTAGTTGGAACACATCAACTCTACGCACACCTAAACATCTTCACGAGCATCCGTATGCACACTTGATAAACAATGCACTTTAATCCCTGCTTTAAAAGAAAATGATTTGACAACTTTGTTCACGAGTATCAACAATGGAAACTTTAACGCCAGCCATGCCGGGCAAATGTAAACACCGTAAAATAATAAAAACTTGAACCATTCAACTATTTTAACCAATAGGCATGGTATGATATAATGAACCCTGGACAAGGTCATCTGGTTAAAGGTCATAAAAGACATTTGCCATTGTACGCCTTCTTCAAGATTCCTATCTAGCATGCAATACAAACAAAGACTTCACTTTCACTAACATCAGTTTTATGGCAACTAGGATATAAACACACAGGAAAAACTATTGTGGCCTTTTTGTTACAGATGCAAATTTGATCCATATCATTTATAACTCCAAAAATAATATCCCTTGTCTGTTTGAGACCAAGAACTCACAAAACCTTTGTGAATATTTATGAAAACAGCCTGTATCGTCTTTGGCTTAAGTTGATAGCCACTACAATGTTTCTTTCTTGAGGGACGTGAAGGAATGAAGTGTGTATGTAGATTGTGCCTTCTGATTCTCATATCGATAATGCATACTTTATACATGCACACTCCACGCCCTAGGGTATGCTCAATGTTCTGCAGCGTGAACACCAAGTATATACAAGTGAAGGAAGGAAAACTGATCAACAGTTGTGCCTGTGTAATACTGGGAAAAGAGATGTATTTAAGTCTTGATTTAAACAAGCCCATATTGTCAGTGTCTTACATGCTGTATTGGAAGATTTCTCCACAAGACAGGAGTCGTAGTGGAGAATAAAAAGATACGTAAAACAAAACTAAGGGATTTTTATCTAGACCTGCTCAGAGGCCGATATTCGTCCTCAAGTCTTCAGTTAAAGCCAGTAAAGGGTCCCAAATTTGAGTTACAAATTTTCCAGTTCATGTCAATATAGTTCAAAGTAATGTGAGTGAGTATGGTTTTACGCCGCTTTTAGCAATATTCCAGGAATATCACAACGGGAGACACTAGAAATGGGCTTCACACATTGTACCCATGTCGGGAATTGAACCTGGGTCTTGGGTGTGACGTGCGAACACTTTAACCACTATGCTACCCAACCGCCCCTTCAAAGTTATGTTGTGGTTTTGTACAGGTGAGTCTTACTTCACCATGTTCTCTGACGACAGGACCAATGAACATGAAGAAGAAGAAGCGCTTTTAGTGATGAAATCCAATAAGTCAATTGAAGGGAATCTAGAACATGTTAAATTAAAGTGAAAATACCTCTGAATATAGGAAAGTAGGAACTTTAAAAAAAAAATCCAATAATTCAACAAAATCAATTTTTCCCAATTGACTCCAGGGCACTAAGTTTTGAACCCTAGATAAATCTCAGAATCCGTGGCAAAACTGTTCATGTCTACTGCCCTAGTCATATCTACAAATGTTTTACGACAGTACATACTAAGCACTATGATTCCCTGGTAGCCAGCAACATGGGAATGTGTCACTAGTGTAAGAACGACCATGCGGCCCACTTGGAACAACCTGACCCACATGCCAACTCCCTCTTACTGACCCCCTCTTACTCCTTCAGGGGCTGTCCACCTATCTACATCATGTAGATAGGCCATGAGTAGGATGATAGACATGGAGAACAATTTCATGAAAAATTTAATTGTCATCAAATGTTTCTCTTGGCCTCCAAAGCTTGCTTAGGTCAAATTTGGGAATTAATATTTCTTTTTGATGATCTTGATATTTGCAGCATATTATCTTGTAAACAAATGTAACATGACACAACAAGTAATATCAGCATTCCCTATCCAACGACAAAGGGGAAATGGTGTGAATGATCAATTATCAAATAAATTTATTAATATTTTATCATAAAAAAAACATGCTAACATTCATCATGGTATTCCACAACCCTTCCCGGTTAACCATATCTTGTTAGAGAGAACATTCCCACAAGCATAATCAATTATTTTATATAAAAAGTGCTCACATTTTCAATAACAGGTCTCAAATTGTGCATAATTTTTTAACAGCTCCTAACCTATTTTACAAATTATAATCATGATAACACAGTATATATATTCAAAAATTAATTGTGAGCCTCCTGAAACCTAAGTTCAACAATGTTCAATGTTTTGCACTCTTCTGTGTTGTGATTCAACAAACTGTCTGCAACAGCAGTACATGACAAACACGAGTAATGTTTTGAAAGCATTAGCCAACTGCTGGGACTATTCCAGTGCAAGTTATGGAAATGTTGAATGCAGTTATATAGAGTAGAAATTCTGACTGAACAAAATACATCCTGAAATGTGTAGTTCATAGCCTCCAGGCATAGGACTGCTTGATTAGGGACCAACTCATCAATTATTTTGACAAACCAGGAAAAGATATAAATCATTATCCATTTTAACTGATATGAGAAATAATTAATCACTTATGCTTGGAGACTTGCACAGTAAAATGTCAAAATGCAGACTGTAATTAAATGAGTGAAATTAAAATGTGCATGAAGGCGAGATTAACGTCCATTGTCTGATGCCCATCAGTGTTGGAGATGAGGCTGTAGTTATGGGTTGTGTGAAGCTGAATGATGGCTGTGTCATGCTTGTGTGATTCTGGTAGTACTTTATCATTATTGCTTTACTGATCATGTTGATCCATCTCATAAAACTTCAGTAAATTTTATGCCAACCCACAAATCCCTAGAAGCCGTAGCTCAACCTCTCTTAAACTATGGTAACATGTTTAACATATTTAAAGTCTGATAAAACTTTACAGCAACATTACTTAATGACCATGACTTCACACATAAATAAAGTGTAAATATTTCTTAATCTTTAACAACATGAACATTACCGTACTTGTGTTAGTAGTGATAAGATATGCACAATGTATTGATTTAAAAAAGTACAAAATAGGACTAAACATCCATAATAGAAAAAGGCAAGTATTCAGAGTACTTTAACACCCCCCCCCTAAAAAAACCCACAAATTCTTGCAGAAAATGCTTTAAAAAACAAACAATAATGCTATAGTCGGTTGAAAGAAATAATACAGTTGTGTAAGCCATTCAAGACACATTGTTGTTTCTTAAAACAATTTTTTTCGCCCATAGTTTTGATTATGAAAATATATCTGGTTTTACAGTTGAAACGGAAATTTGAAAGCCTGTATTCAAAAATTACTTTTCTCACCCTCACCTACAAAAATGCATAGCTATATAAATTAAGACAATACCTGATCTACATGTAACTGGCCTCCATATTACTTATTTAATTTGACAACATAGCAGACCATGCTTAATAACAGCAGCTCATCATGCCTACATCACATCCTGTGTATGATCACAACACTAGGGCACATTCACCTTGATCTTCAAGTTCAAACACTAAGGTTATCTACCCCTAATTGTGCAGGGTACTGTCATGATAGCATGGGCATGGCTGTATTTATTAAAAAGTGGTATACACATGTAAGTGATTTTCTGGGTATTACCATGATTATTAGCTATAGTACAGCTTCATCAATGTTCCGATATTATAGACACAAATAAAAACAGGCACATGATCTATGTAGGACAATGAGAACTATCACTATAAATCAACTGAGCAAGTAGGATTGTTTCGTTTACCACAAATAACATAAAACACTGAAAAGATATTTCATGAACAGCCTTTGTCATGTTATATGCATATTTTGAAGCTGTGAAACATGTCAAATGGAGTCTGGAACAGATCTACAATTGTGATGATATCTAGTTTTCACAATCTACATACAACTGTTACATGTAGGAATAGAAACTGTAGACCCTGTGATAAATTTAGTGTTTATCTGTTTCACATAACATGATAAGTCATGAGTATAGAGTGACTACAGATGCTGTGGTTTGAAGGTAATGATAATTTCCTTGTTAACAGCTGTTGGATACAAACTTTCACTTTCAAGACGACATTTGCAAACACACTGTTGAAGTTCCATAAATCTCATAAGTCAAACCAGAAATAATTTAAAGATTTTGTTCCTAAATTTCAGTTATTGTATTCTCAATGTCAGAAGAAAAACAAATAGAACATGTTAATACAATCATCATTTCGGGATAATATGTAATCAAGTGCTAGGATTATGTGATCATAGCATTGGTAACTTGAGCGTATTTGACAATGACATTCACCCCCCCACGTAACATAAATTATAGCAAATAATCAATAATAAACACCTCAAGAATTCAACCTGAAAGAAAATTATTACAATTTGATTTATTTAAATGGTCCATATGTTTGTCAACCAGACAGATGTGACTTATGTCCGGCTTTAGTTGAAGAAACAAAGCCGGCACATGACCACATACACAGTTGAGTTTCATTCATGTATGCAGAATCATGTGTTCATGTGTCGGCGTCCGATGTTTTGGTCTATCCGCTTTATAACTTAATCTCAACACGCAATGTGAACGAAATTAACTTACTTATTCTCGGCTGTGAAATGTAATTTCTCGACACCGCCAGATGGTGTGTTCTTCTTGCTTCAATATCACTGAGAGGCCCATTCAGCGAGCGCATATCTATCTGCCCACCTTTCGACGCCATCTTTGCAAATCTGTCATGTGACTGCTGTGTCACGAGTTCACGAAGGGACGTAACTCTAATATTGATCACAACAGGCGCGTGTATATGACGCAGTCATAAAACGCATCTAAGTTTACCATATTGCTCAAATGCACTCATTACCAATTCAATAAAGTTATTTTAACGGAGTCATACTCATATACGATTTAGTTCAGCATTTGTAGCTGTTTTGAAAGCGAGGACTTGTAAGTTATTTTTTCTTGAAGCAATTATTTTAGGTTTAAGCGCGTACCCGGATGAGGTATTCAGCCTATTTCAGGTGCGATGTATTGACATGTATCGCTGGACAATGCTGTGTAAATATTTGTAAGTGAAACACCTTTTACAGCATGAACGCTGTAACAGTCAGTTAATTATTGTCTGTATAAAAGCAAGGACTGAGCGAATCCGGTTCTGATTTGGAAAAGCAAACACGGAACAGACACATCCTGGTTTGGCTGTTCGGAGAATAGTTGACCCCTGCACCCAACGTGACGTGCATAATATTTTCGCCTGTTCACGAAAGTGCTATTGCCTTATTTCGTGCAGTTTTTTTTACAAATCAGATTTTAACCAGTTTGGCTGTACAACTATGTTTTCAATGAAAAAAAGAGGTTACAATTTTACAAAATTATACGTCATTATGCTAAATATGTATTAAACTATTTTGATTTTAAACACAAAGAAACATTTATCGGATTAAGGTGCTGACGCCATTAAGGCAACAAGTAAAATGGAAAGGCTATCGGAGAACATGCAATTTTTGATTGAAATACATGTATTAATATGCAGTTATGTGTTTGTTTTTAACATTACCGTACTTAAAGCAAAAATGGTTTAGAAAGCGAAAAGGGCCAATTGGGGCATAGTGGCTACTTTAAGTACATGGATAGGGTAACCAGCTCCTTGTGTAGTTATGGCAATAACTAACTCTTTTAGATTGATATACAAAAATATGTTAGTAAGCTTAAAAACAAGATGGTATCTGGGTTATTTCAATTAAACTTGCATTGACACATATTTTGACCAAACCTAGTCTCCTGAAGATGTGCATGTATTTGGTGAGGTTCACCATACAAGATGAATAAACTGCTAAATGGACCCCAAGCCCTGGACTGCATCAATGCATGCATCACTACGCGTGGATGGATGGCTTTATGCAGGGTTTACCATTCACGGGGACAATGACGCAAATTTGCGTTCGGTAATTTCTGAGACTTTGCCTTTCTCGATGGACCTGTGGTATTTCTCAGAGGAAGCGCATTTGAATTTGTGGTTGTTTAAAGACTGGGTTTTCTACTCTGTGTTTAATAGTGGGAAAAGTGGAACCGGGTATCAGAAATTTGATCCTGCAGCTCATCATGTTGATTCAATCTTATTAAAATCAGACCTTAGTTCTCGCTATCGCTAAACACATTTTTTTAGCGGTAGCGAGAACTAAGATCTGATTTTAATGAGTTTGCATGTTGATTGTAACTTAAAGAAGCTAAGTTTAATGATTTTTGGCATTGGTTGTTTACATTTCTTCTATTAAACGATGCTAGTGTTATTTTAAACATGCTTTTAATTCCCGATACTTAACCCTTGATGGAGGACGTGTATAGGTTTGTTTGTTTGTTGTTTAACGCCGCAATCAGCAATATTCCAGCTATATGACGGCGGTTTGTAAATAATCGAGTCTGGACAGGACAATCCAGTGATTGTCATCATGCGCATCGATCTACGCAATTACGATGACATGCATCAACCAAGTCAGCGAGCCAAGTTAGTGGCCTCTTACAACAAGCATAGTCGCCTTTTACGGCAAGCATGGGTTGCTGAAGACCTATTCTTACCCGGATCTTCACGGGTTCACCATTCAGGTGTAACATACAATGAGTATTTTGAATTTATTTCAACTTCAATATAAAGTACACAGAACGCCAGGGCGTTTTACAAACATTTGCGACTGCTTGGCATATTGTAGAAGGTAGAAGGAGTTATGTCCCCTGTATGTTTCTACACGGTCGAGTTCATACGATAATGCCCAGCTTTAACACGTGGTGATTACTTGCTCCCACTGTTTATCGCAGACCATTCTGTCGAGTCATTATGTGTAATGTCCCTACACCACGTCATCTACATCACGACGTGTCAGTCCAATGCTGAAGGACAAGCCCCAGTAACACGTGTAAGACGTTGACCACAGTGGTGAAAATCGCCTTATTGGGATGACGCTGGACTAACATTTAGTCTATGAAATCTTATATTACACAATATCCTTCTTGACTCTAAAAATAAAAATAATCCCTATGCTGATTTCTTAGACGACTGTGGAATAGAGCTAGCAAGAGCTGGCTAGACTTACTTTTGTATTCGTTTCTAGATTGTTTTTTCTCTCCATAAAATAAATGTATTCCACAGTCATGGTGCAGGGCTAGGATGATGCTTATAACATGGATCTCATTCTGTTGTAGAAAGGTGAAACCTTTATACCTATAACATATTAAACAGGAAGGGCGCTATATGGGAGCGTGTGTGAGATTATCGTTTTTTTCGATCCATCAGAATTTGTTTACTCAACGTGAGTGGTAGATATCTTTCATTTTTTTCAGATATATGATGTATTAGAAATTCCTCTTTTCCATCGCAGTTACCGGTGGTAAAATGTACTCTTCAAAAAAAAAGAAACGCAAAACGGATACTTTTGGCCATAAAAGCAAAATTAGCGGACCAAGTAGTGCAAAATGTAGAGGTGTAATGTGTTATAGTGTAAGTGACAAATTTCCCGGATGAAAATGATCACAACAAGGACATGCAAACCATTAGTCGGGAAACACGTTCGATTCGCAAAACGCACCCAGTGCATTAACAAAAGGGCCAGGGAGAAGTATGAAGGGTATTAAATTGCAGAGTTTTTGATTGCCTGGCATCAGCGTCAATCGAACAGTGACAGTTCAACAACATATCAAGATTAACAGAAGTGCAAAGAAACAACGTTATAGGCCGATTGTAGACAGGGGAATCCCCATCAGCTGCAGCCAGAAGAACGTTACGCCGGAAACTACGTACAGGAAGTGGACAGGTTTGGTGGGGGTAGCGTTATGATGTGGGTGGCTATCTCTCATCATGGCAGGACAGCTTTGGTCCATATCCAGGGCAATCTTACGGATCAACGAAATTCTCCTACCGCACGTCCTCCCAATTGCAGCCAACGGCAACGGTGTATTCCAGCAGGACAACGCTCGACCGCATACAGCACGGGATCACAAGAGCCTGTCTACACAACAACAATGTTGATGTTCTCCCTTGCGTGGATCGATGCTTAAGATGTCAATCACTGGATTGTCTGGTCCAGACTCGATTATTTACAGACCGCCGTCATATAGCTGGAATATTGCTGAGTGCGGCGTAAAACAACCAACCAACCAACCTTTTAAAGTGAGTCGGATTTCATTCAACATGTGAATGCTCCTGGAGCTACATTATGGTTTGAGACTCGGTCAATGGATCAGTCTGCATCAGTCAGCTCCCTGGGGAGAATACAACCTAAGCTGCCTGTGAGGCGCTAGAATGATAACTGTCACTATTTCATCCTACCGGGTACCCATTTACTGCTGATGAGGGGCGATGGGATAGCTTAGTGATCAAAGCGTTCTCTCGTCACATCGAATGACAGTGATGGAGCCATCGTGCTCGGTGCGACCTCACTGCGTTAAACAATCCCCCATCACGCTAGATGAGGTTTTAAAGTGAATGAAGCTACTGTAAAATCAACTGTGCGCACCATAAACAGTCACCCGTCTCATTATCGGTGTCTAGCCGGGAGAGCCACATTTCAGAAATGGCTATTGCCGGTAGAGCCACATTTTCAGCTGAGTGCATTTCACCTATTCTAGCGGGTAATTAATTAATCCGATTACCGATACCTTTAAATGAGTGTCCCACATTTAAATTACTAAGCGTGGTGTTCTTTAGAGATACCTTTAAATTAGTGTCCCACATTTAAATTACTAAGCGTGGTGTTACTTACTTACTTACTTATATTGGAGATTTAACGTGCGCTTTCCGACTGCAAGCGTATGTCGCACACGGGCCCGGCCAGGCCATTTAATGTGTTTCCATATACGGTAACCTGTTAGAATCACAAAGCATGTTTTGACAGCATAGCCGCGAGAGCCACATTATACAATCACGCAACCATAACCATTGCCGCGAGAGCCACATCAATTCGGGCTATCTATTTTCGAAATGTGGCTTTGCCGGCCTGTAACCATGGTTACTCCAGCATAAAATCTCTCGCTGAGCTCATTAACATCGGATCTTCTGTTCTACAGAGGGATATCGTATAGGGGTGCATGATGGGAATTTAATGAGATTGAAACAGTTGCACTCATAAATGTTTAGGGGAACACACAGCCACGTATTGGGTTAACCATTTACACCATGAGGGATTCCGGGTTGAGATTGGCCCCAAGCAACGTATGCTGTCGTAAGATGCGATTTTATGTGTCGGGCTGCCAGACTCGCTGACTTTGCTGATTGCGTGGCATCGTACCCCAAAGGCGAATCACTGAATTATCTGATTCAGAATCGATTACTTACAGGATGCAATGACATAGCGGGAATATTACTCATTGCTGCGTAAAACAACAAACAAAACGTTGACAGACCACAGTAGAGGTGAGGTGAGGTGAAATGGATTTTAACGTCGCGTTAAAGATTACTGAGCTTATATAGCCACGTGCACGTGCCACGTACTTGCACTTACGCTCTGGTGCATGTTCCGGGTCGAGTTCAGGGTGGCCCCGGGTGTAAGGTGCATGTTCCGGGTCGAGTTCAGGGTGGCCCCGGGTGTGGGTGCATGTTCCGGGTCGAGTTCAGGGTGACCCTGGGTGTAAGGTGCATGTTCCGGGTCTAGTTCAGGGTGACCCCGGGTGTAAGGTGCATGTTCCGGGTCGAGTTCAGGGTTGCCCCGGGTGTAAGGTGCATGTTCCGGGTCGAGTTCAGGGTGACCCCGGGTGTAAGGTGCATGTTCC